TTTTGGAATTTAATTTGAAGTTCCTGAATTATTAATATTGAAATTATTTTTCAAGTTCTCACTATTGATATAAGGTATATGAAAAGAGGAGAAATAAAGAAGTAAAAGTTATATTAATGTTAGGAAATTAATAATAGAATTAATAAAAGAAAAGAAATTAAATTAAATAAATAAGCAATGTACTTTTATAAAAGAATACTAATTAAATATTTAATATTTAAAGTAAAAGTATAAAAGAAAGTATTAAGGTAAGTTCATATATTATTACTATTTATTTACAGTTAATATCAAATATTAGATTATAAATATTATATATACTTATATTATTTTGAAAATAGATTAGTAAGTTATATATCCTATAAATCGTTTAATAATTTAGGGTAGTATTTTAATTTTACTAAGAAATATATAATAAAGGTATAGTAGTAGTAATTAGACTTTTCTTTAAAAAGTTATAAGATTTTAAAATTAGTAAGTAAGAATAAAGTTCTAAAATGAAGGTTGAAATTCTATAGCCTATAGTAATTTGACTAATATAGGTATATATATGCGAATGGATTAGGTAAATAGAGAAATCAAAAATGAAGAGAATGTAGGTTGAGAGAAATTTTTTGGTCTAGGATTGGTAGATTTGTAGCGTTGCAAAGTTGGACGGTAGGGTTTTGCCCTTTTTGGGCTGCATTTTTGCTGTCCGTTTGGGTTTTGTCGTGTCCGGCGGTTTTGTCGCCAACTCTGTGGAGCAGAGTTGGAGACCCGACAGGAACCTGGACCCCTCTCCAACAAGTACCTACCTCTAGGTGGTTTGTCTTCGTTGTATCTTCCACTTAGTGACAAGCGGACAGCCAACAGAACTAGAGGTAGTGTAATGGACGCCGTGGAGAGCTCAGCCAGGGACTCAGGGGCAACACACACGTGGCTTGGGCTGACACAGCCCCACGCCAGCTGCTACCAACTGCAAAGTTACAGCGCCCCTCTCTGGGGAAATTGGAGCTACCTGGAACAACTACCTACCATTTGTTATCCATGTCGCTCGTCGCATCGCTTGATTGAATAGTTCAAGGACAGCTCTCTAATACGAACAACGCCACAACCATTGAGCGGTCAATATCAAAGTAGGGACTATTTATATCCATGTCTACTCAAGGTGCTCATTGACTCGCAGGCTTCCCGCATATAATCGAACACACTATCGGACAGCGTTTGCGCCGAGTCAACACGAAATCGAGCCATCGTGAACCTTGAAGGACCGATCTTACCCAAGACGAGGTCAACCATCATCTGCGACATCGAAAAAGGTCACACCGGATGAACGAACCTTGAATCAGTGACGCTTCGAAGTAAAACACATTTTTCTCGCGACTCCCACGTCATAATCACAGCTCGGTTATGCTCTGAAGTGCGGCGCACCTTAGCTTGGAAGATGGGAGGAGGCATCCTCGGCTTCATTCGAAGCATATACCAACTAGACACGCTCGACACACGATTCACAACACCTTCGTCCGTCCCATACAAGCTTGCGGCCGAGGCGAGAAACGATCCACATGGAGCACAAGAGGGCGGCTTGAGCAAGGGAAAGAAAGCAGAGAGATCAAAATGGAGCACACCCGAGTTCTACCTATACTACTTGGTGTTCTTGGTTGCGGTTCCTTACATGTTTTGGGTTCCTTTTGAAGTGTCCAGGGAATCCGACCCAAGGTACCCAAAGTTCCAGCGCTATCTGTCAGGCGGCTGGATGCTGGGTCGCAAGGTTGATGTATCGGACAGCCAGCTACGAACGATTAGGGGAAAGATACCGCATATTTTTGGACTACTCGTTGTGCAGCCGCTCTTGCGCCGAGTTTGGAAGCTATTCAAGCCCACACGACTTGAGCCTGGTGCCTCTGAAACATCGCCCAGAGCTGCCGAGGCGCGGCTAGAGCAGCGCATATCGTTTGATGCCTTCTTTGGTGCTATTCTCCTCACAGCCCTCCACGGAACTAGCGGGCTTAAAATCCTAGGTCTCTTGTGGTTGAATTACCAAATCGCAACTAGGCTCCCGAGAAAGGTTGTCCCATGGGCGACATGGATCTTCAACCTCTACATCTTGGTGACTATGAAAGTCTACGATGGTTACAGATTCAAGACGTTTGTGAACTTGATTCCCTTTGCGCCAGATAGCCTGCTTGATCTTGCTTCTTGGATGGACAGCCAACAAGGACTCCTGAACCGGTGGCACATTCTCTTCAACATCACCATTCTCCGACTGATCAGCTTCAACCTCGATTATGCCTGGATGACGGACAGACAGGGCGGCAGTCCCATCGAGGTACGAATTCCTGGGCTTACTTTCCAGTTTGCGCTCATGCTAACGCACCAAAGAAGAAGCAACTAGACCCTGCCAGCCTTTCCGAACGCGACCGTGTCGGCACTCCAGCGCCCAAGAGTAACTACTCCTTCCGCAACTACTTCGCTTACGCCATCTACGCCCCGTTGTACCTGGCCGGCCCGATCCTGACCTTCAACGACTACATCTCGCAGTGCCGATACAAGTCCGCCAGTATCGAACTTTCGCGCACCGTCAAGTACGGCATCCGGTGTCTGCTCGTACTCCTTGCCATGGAGTTCGTGCTGCACTTCAATTATGTCAACGCCATCTCCAACGCGCGGCCTGACTGGTCCACGTACACGCCCGCCCAGATCGCCCTGCTCTCCTTCTTTAAGCTGCACATCATCTGGCTGAAGCTGCTGGTTCCCTGGCGCCTCTTCCGCTTCTGGGCCCTGGTGGACGGAATCGACCCACCCGAGAACATGCTGCGGTGCGTGAGCGACAACTACAGCACTCTGTCCTTCTGGCGCTCCTGGCACCGCTCCTTCTATCGATGGACGCTCCGCTACATCTACATCCCGTTAGGTGGATCTAACTTTAGGACGCTTGTTAGCTCGGCATACTCGATTATCACGTACCTGGCCGTGTTCATGTTCGTGGCCATCTGGCACGACGTGGATTTCCAGCTGCTTGTGTGGAGCTGGCTTATTGTCGCGTTCTTCCTGCCCGAGATTGCCGCCGGTTATCTGTTCCCGCGTAAGAAGTGGGAGGGCAGGCCGACGGCGTACAGAATGCTGTGCTGCGTGGGCGCGGTCGGAAACGTGTTGATGATGATCAGCGCGAACGTAGTGGGCTTTGGCGGTGGGGTTGATGCTATGAAGGCTCTTTGGGAGGGCCTGTTTAGAGGGTTGTCTGGTACGTTGCTTCACTGCTTGCTTGCCTGACTGGACTGGTGCACTAACTTGCTTCGTCTAGGCATCTCTTTTCTCACAGGCTCATGCATTGCCCTGTTCGTTGGCATTCAGGTCATGTTTGAGATCAGGCAGTCGGAGTTGAGGAAGGGCATTGACTTGAAGTGCTGAGTGGTATGTGTGGGTATGCGGTCCGTGATTGTTTTCGTCCAGGTGAAAATGTCATGGTTTGCAGTATATACCACGAGTTCAACAGGATAGACGAGGATAGATGTACTTGGGAAGCAATTACATGCGGAATGTCAAGATGGGTTTTTCTTAGCTCTTGAAAAAAAAAATCATGATTCTTTATGTAAAGATATTTAAGTATATCGATGGTGTCTTTCGTTTGGAGGGGCTGTGTGCCGTTGACCTGACTGTGCCAATGCCATCATGATACCTGCCCTGGGGTTGCTACTTTACGTAGTTAGCACTCTTGGGAAAGGGGTCTCGAGGACCTAGTCCAGGGTCCCCTGAGGAGAAGGCAGGTGATATCCCATTCCTATTTACAGCGCGGCAATAAGCCCTTTCGGGAAGCGGAACAAATTGGGTCAAAGCTGGTTGTAACCGCCCTAAGGAACACCGGTTTTTTTTTTTTTTTTTTTTTTTTTTTTTTTTTTTTTTTGGCAGAGTTCCATTGCATTGCGGCTATGCGCACCAAGCTGTTATAGAATTTGTACGTACTCCAAATTGGCGCATATGATGGCGGTAATGAAGCAAACTTACAATGGAACATCCAAACCAATGCACGTAGTAGCAAATCCGTCATGTATCATAACCCAATTTAACTGGTTGTTACATGAATGAATGGATGAAAACGACTGCAAGATAAATGTGGAAATGAAAGTCTGGCCGAACAAACGTGGAATTGGCCGAGGAAGGGACAGCAACCGAGCTGCATACTTTTGCGAGGTTGGCTCCTTCCTTGTACTGCGTAGGCGCCGGGAAATGTAGATCCCCAAAGCGGAAAAGAAAACGAAGGCAAAGCGGGCATGCCCAAGAGGCTCGAGGGGGGACTCGACCTGACCTCTCTGGCTGAAGGCAAAGTACGGAACTGCTGTTGGTTCTCTCATGTGAGTCCAACTGAACTAAAAGTAGATGTCCGTGACATTTGCTAGTCGAAATCGACGGGGATATGACAGTGACAGTGCTCACTCACATGTGGAAAAGAAAGTCGGAATGTCCAGTGTCTGATCTCCCAGGGGCACGGTTGGCTTCCCACAGCTGCATCCAGTTGCATGTGCCCTGGAGATACCGGACCAATCTCGACCGGACAGCGTCTCCCATTGCAGTCACCCAGCTCCAGGGGCAGGGACGGCCCAGGGACCGCGCCAGGAACCGGACGGGAATGCTCGATGGGGCCCGGCCAGATGCTCCATTTCGATAGACCTGGATTCCCTCCCCTGGGTACTACTGGCTTGCCCTCCGCTCTCATTCGACGCCGGCTCACCTGAGCTTCATTTTATTTTCCCCAGCTTTTCTGCTATCACTGTTTGCCGGTGTCTAGGCAAGGACATTTTCCAGGCGCCATGGGTCGTCAGCTCTCAGGTAGTGCTATGAAATTCCTCGCTTCGCTTGCGAATTCGACCTGTCTTTGTTCTCCTTTTCACCAACAACTCGCGGTTGAACTGTCCATGCCTGGACGCGATTTGTGAAGCGCTTCTTCCTTTTGCCGCGTCCGTTACGCATTCCTTGAAAGTTCCAAACCACTTGCATCGGATGACGACTTGACCGCCGTGCGTCTCACCCACAACCACCAAATACGCCAACAACGCCATAAAGACCGACCATTACCCGGAAGGACCGTGATTTACACCTCTGCCGATCTGACCCCTCCGATTCCCACCCTGATAGTCCTGATAGTCCTGATAATCCAGCTCCCGCCGCCTTTTGCCGACAACTGGATAGCCCAGAGCCCACCGCGACGGCATTCCTTACCTTACGCTACCTACCTTACACGTAGTACAGCATCGCGGTTCGACATCAGGCACACGGTCCGGTTCGATATCGCGATTGACGGGAAGGCGTTCAATCCGAACTTCAGGCTCGCCCAGTTTCCACTGCCGACCCGCCCTGTCCGTCTGACAGCTGCACCTGTCCCACTGAAGGAGGGTCCTCAGCTCGCTGAGATTGCGGGTACCTGCAGCACTGAGTGCATCTGCAGTGGGTGATTGCCAGCGCCGGCCCGGTGCACTGGCTTCGTTCGGCCTGGCAGATCCGTTCCCAAATTGGCCATTCCCTTTGACGGAACGTTCACCGTACCACGCCATCGTCTACACCTCCACGCGTTCATCCCACACGCTGCCGTCGCTGTCGATCGCCGCCACAGAGAAGTCAAACGAACCCCGTCGCCTGCGAGGCCCATGGGAAGCTCGCAGTTCGGGCTCCTCATCGGTGCTATTTTTGATTGCCTATCTCAAGTTTGAACCCTAGTGGTTTTATCCACACCACAAGTGCCTATCATGGGCCGATCGTCACTCCTTAGTCCGGATGGCCAGTTTCCCATCGTCCTGATTCCGGACAATGAAGGGACCGAGGACGCAGGGACAGCCACCAACTCGGACGCAGAACCAACCGAGTCGTACAGGCACAGAAAAAAAATAAACTACGGGAACGAACGACAGCAGCGCCAGCAGCCGCAGCCACAAGCGCAACCGCGACCACCACCAGCGCCCCGTCATCCCATTCCGTTCATGCAAGAAGCCTTTGCAGAATCCCTATTCGAAGCCACCCAGGGCGGTGCGACCCCAAAACCCAAACTGCGTACCGGCGACGCCAAAACCCGTCGGGAGCAGTTGTTGGAGCAAGACAAGTCGGCCGAGCCCCCAGCGGCCCAATGGCGCTATCGTCCGGGGCAACAAACGCACGAGCTGCGTCGACTAATGTCACAAATCTCCTTCGGCGTTTATCTTTTGCTCAACGGGATGGCGAACAGTCAGATGTCGGTCGTGACAATTCTCCAAGGGCATATTGACGAGGTGGATGAGTTTCTGGAGACGGTCCTAGAGGATATTGGCCTGGCAACCAAAGATTTGAACGAGCGCATCATTCATCTAAGGTTGCCGATGGATAACATGGAGCTTTTCGAACGGATGCTGGAGGATCGCAACTTTCGGCTTAGAATGATCGAAGGAAACGAGAAAATCGAGCATATCGTGGCCCGGACACAGGTCGCCCTTCAGCAAATCATGAATGATATTGCCGAAGGACTGGAGTCTACGAGGGATTTTACTATGTATCTGGCGGAACAGCAGCACGGTCGCTGGCGGAAAGAGCGCCCAGACGTAATCGACATATTTGATGCAATGAAGGGAAATACCGATGGGTGGTTTCAAGCGTTTATGGACTTGGAAGAGAAGGGCAATGCTCTAAATAGAGTAATTGTCCAGTTGATTGGCATCATTTCCGAGATGGAGCGGAGGGCGGGTGAAGTGAGCCGAAAGACACGAGTGAGTGTCCTCTATCTATAACAAGGATGCTGCATTCCATACCAAATGCCTTTTGTTTTTGCTGACATCCTCCCAGTTCACCATCGAGCCTTTCACATCACCGCGTCATAGCCCCCATGCATCCGACGCATCCTCGGTTACAACACCCCCGACGTCTCCCATCGCCAAAACTCCAAATACACCCCCTCGCTTATCGTTGCGGCTCAGTTCGATCGTGGAGGGCAAGCAGTCGTCGCCAACCTCATACTTCGATCTAAAAATTACTCGTACATCTACGCATTCAACGTCAATGGGTATCCCACCGACAGTCCAATCGAAGGAGATTACAGAAGAGGAAGGCACAGTGGAGAATAGTGCAAATAGGTCTTCAACAGAACTGGAACTTCCAATACAGTCTCCGCCCCCGCCAGCCCGAAACCCTCACCGGCTCTCTAAGCCCGCTCCTTCTCAATCTGCGCTATATCAGCTTGAGACAGCTGAGAACAAGGAAGAAACCAACGAGGAGGAGAAGGAGGATGAGGAGGAGGAAGAAGAAGGAGATGGAGAAGAAGAAAAGGATGAAGAAGAAGAAGATGATGATAATGAAGAAGAAGTAGAAGACGAAGAAGAACAAGAAGAAGAAGAACCGGTCTACCTCCTTCAGCCCAAAACGTATACACCACAAACATCACCTCTTCCCTCTCCTCGCGTGTTCGACCGCCCGAAGCCGAAGGATGAACCGGTCAGCTACAAGCCGGAATTACCGGTGCCCATTATTGGAAAGCCGAAGGAACAGACATTGGAGGCGAAGGCGTATTGTCAGGAACCGACATTGGAGGCAAAAGTGTATACTCAGAAACCGACAGTGGAGGCAAAGGTCTATACTCAGAAACCGACATTGGAGGCAAAGGTGTATAGTCGGGAACCGACCTTGGAGGCAAAAGTGTATACTCAGGAACCGACATTGGAGGCAAAGGTCTATACTCAGAAACCGACATTGGAGGCAAAGGTGTATAGTCGGGAACCGACATTGGAGGCAAAAGTGTATACTCAGGAACCGACATTGGAGGCAAAGGTGTATAATCCACGTGCAGCACAACCCCAGCCTAGGCCACAACCTTCGAAGCCAACGTTAGCTCAGGCTGATACGAGAGATTCAAGACCAGCTTCAAAGCAAAGCCACAGGACGATACCAGAGTCACACCAGTTGAGACCGCAACCTTCGAGGCCCAAATTGGCTCCAGTCGAGACAAGAGACTCCAGACCGACATCAAAGCAAAGCCACAGAACTTCGCCGGAATCATTGCCAGAGGTTGTAGTCCATCCTGGGCAAGAATCCTCATTCAGACGACGAGTTTCACAGAAGACGACACCGCCGGACTCGATACATATACCTCGACCCGACTCACCAGAGTATCGAGACTCGTTATTCCCAACGTCCAGAACGTACCAGACATCAGATTCTGCTTATGGATCGGACATGGAGCGACCACATGTCAACTCAATTGCATCATTCGATACAGTTGCCGACTTCCCGCCGCCGCCAGCAATCATGCACCCCGGATTTGTCTCTTCACCTCACTCAGAGAGCGGAATGCAGTTTTGGCGCCCTGTCCAGGCGAGCCCGCACTCTCCTTTGCAACAAAGACCGCACACTTCAGGAACCCAGTATAGTGCGCAGGGGCAACAATCGACCTCATATCAGTCGCCATACCAGTCCCCACAACAACCACTCGGTCACCTTCACCAGGTGCCGCCACGGAACCTCCCTTCTGCTATGGGCATGAGCGTGAGGAGCAACATGACGACAGGAACGACAGCGAACCAGGAGACAAACAGTGGAAAATCACTGAAGAAAAAGCGAAGCGCGTTTGGGTGGCTGAAGAAGGCGTTCGCGCTGGACGAAGAGGAGCGTGCCGCTTTTGAGGCGAGAAGACAGATGGAGACGAGGAATCTCTACTATGATGGTAGAAGTGCCCAGTTCTTGGACGGGAAACGGATACAGGCTCCACTGCCTCGTCACCCTGGACCATACCAGCATGGGCCGTATCAGTCTCAACAGTTTCAACAGTCTGGGCAGTTTCCTCCCGGACAGTTCTGAGATCTTGAGGGGAAAACGAAGGAAAGAAAGGAAAAGAAAGGAAAAGACGGAAAATGGCAGGCATGAGGCTGGCCATCCGGGGCTAAGGAACCCAAGTCCATATGTGAGGAAAGCAACTTTGGTTACTTGTAAAGGTTGCTGGATTACTGTGACCTCATTGAGCGGCAAACATGACGGGCATCTTCATACTTGTTGAAGTTGAAGGAAAAGGGGAAAGATACCAATTGCATGGCGCGGCGTGTTAGGCGATTCTTGCATTTACTTTTTGCGCTTGTATAAACTTGTGTTCTACTTAATTCTTGGTCGAACATGCAACTGATTTATATCTGCACGTATCTACGGCAGCACTTGTTGATCGCAAGTTTGAATAGCCCATGGCGTTTTGGTTGGGTTATGGCTGCCAGTTTGCTTCCATTACAACTGAGGCTCGAGCGACCAATGGTAAAAGTCCGGGATACGATCGGCTACAGCTGTGGGGTGGCCCGGGATTTCGCAGTTCTGTTTAGTCACTTTTGCAAAACGCGAATTTTCCGAGGAAACAAATAACATTGTAGTTCCGAACGAACTTGATGAGTCCGCAAGCAGATGCTTACGACTGCAGTCCCAGGGAGCCGAACACTAATACTCTGAAGGGCAACAATGGTGACATTAGCATACATCCGCCGATCGGCGTTGGATTTAAAAGACAGTATCATATATCTTCATGAATTGCAAATGTACCCGCAACTGTCACGGACCCATCTTTATGGAATTCGAAAGAACAGGACTACATATTCTTCACATGTTTCTTCCCTGGGATTTGCTACCAACCCTAACCCTTGCATGAGCCATCCCGTTACATAAGCTCCCCAAAATTTTGACCTCATCCCGTCATCGCGAAACTTTTCTTCCCCTCCAATCCTCCGTTTGCCTCCATCATCGCCCTTCGTCCCACCCTCCAATCAACCACCATGGCAGTATCAAGAGACCATCTTGCCGATCTTGACCGGCATATGCAGCTGCTGGAGGGCAAGGTCAACCAGCTTCACGCATCTCTGACCCACTGGCAACAAACCTACTTCGAGTATGCAGCACTCAAAGAGGAGGTGGACGGCTTGCCCAAGGACCCGTCTCCCCGCACCGAGCTTGCTCGCATCCGACGCGACTATGACGGCACTATCATCACCAAGAAAGAAATCAACGAGATTTTTGGCGAAAATGATCTCAAGGAAGCTGATCAAATTTCCAGTGTCCTCGGTCGCCGTCTCGATTACGTTGAGAAGAACGTCGATACGCTGACGAAGCTTGTTGAAACGGAGGAAAATAAACTCGCGGCGGCAAAAGTCATTGCCAACCCTGATGGCGGCACAGATGAAGAGACCGGTCTTCCCATTACGGATATCATTGAGGAACTGGATGACGAAGATAATATCGTTCAGTACCGCCTGCAGAGCGGAGGTGAGGTCGGTAGGAGGGTCGAGGAAGCTCTCAAAAAGGCCGGCATCGAGAAGCTCCCGGAAACCCAGGCCGATCTTCCTCAGGCTCAGGCCAAATCCAACACCACACAAGAGAACCAATCAGTCGAGCAACATCAACCTACTGCTACCTCTGCCGCTGCTGCATCTACTACCACGAGCGAATCCTCGAGCACGACTCCGATTACACCATCTACAAGCTCCGGAAAGAGTGTCACGTTTGCCGATGATACCAAGTCCGTCGACCAATTGCCGACTACAGCTGGCAAACTCACGCAGCTCATGCAAAAGGTCAAAGAACAGGATGCAATGGATATGTCGAAAGCTGTGATACCCAAGGACGAGTCGGAGGACGAAAGCCAGTTGCGCGCCGACATGCTCCAGTACATGCAGGAAGAAATCCATCCCATCGTTGCTGAACTCGAGATTGACGAAGGGTCCACCGAGGATGAGAATGCGGAGTGGGATGAATATGAGGACGAGCTAGAAGAGGATGACGATGATGAGGATGAGTTTGGACGCTCCAAGCATAGCGTGATCACCAGTGATTATATTCAGCGCATGCAGGAGCTTGAGAAGCGCTTGGGCTTCAAGTCTGCGTTCACTGTCGAGCGTCAGAAGCCCCAGCAACCGGATGATGAAGATCGCAAGGATGCTGGTGGCGGCTACATCACTGTTGTCAGGGAACCTCGCTCAACGCCGGTATCGGTATCGGCGCCAACACCAGCGCCGGAGAACACTCAGTCAGAGCCAACCGCCTCGTCTCTGAAGTCCAAGGGGAAGGCAAAGGAGAAGAAGGGTGTGCGGTTCGCCACAGAGCTGGACATTGCCCCTGAGGAGGAAATTCAGCCGGCTGTGCAGCCGAAGCCCGCTGCGCCAAAGGTGCCCTTAGTCAATCCTGTTGGGGGTATTGTCGAACATGGAGCTGTGGCTAGTAACCCGACAACGCAAGAGCAGGAGCCGGAAGAGCCAGAGCCTCCCAAGCGTGTGTCACGGTTTAAGAAAGAACGAGCGTCAACCGGGAAAGCTGCTGCTCCGGCCGCGGCATCCCCACCTCCTGGCCCGCTCCAGCTACCGCAGCGTTTCCGCGAGTCTCATTCGGCCCCTCCTGCCGAGCCCACTCCTCCCGAGGATCAAATTCTGGTCAATCAGGTTGTCGAGAGAAATGTCCTGTCTGCGCCGCAGGAGCCGGATGACATGGACGACGAGCTCCTGTACCGGGCGGCGGCGGTTGAATACAATCGGTTGCGGAATCGCATGATCCAGAAGGAGGGAGGCTTTATGAAGCCCGAGGAGGAACAACCCGTCGTCCCGCTGGACGAGGAAGAAGGCGGTCCGCCGCGCATGAGCAGATTTAAGGCGGCTCGTTTGGCCAGATCATGATGGCCTGGTTGATCTGATACCCCTCATGTTCTGGTCCGTCCAAGAGGTTGTCGGCAGTGTCGATTTACAGCAGGAATGAACTATATCAGCACCCTCGCTTGCCTTTTGGCATTATCTGTTCCTGACGATTTCTTGTTCGCGATCATAGGCACCACTTCTTTGTCTATCTCCCTGATCAAATTATGCGATTGTGCGTTATGGACTAACATCTAGGACACTTTCTCTTCTCGTGAACCCTAGACCCCAAGAGACATGGTCCATCCATTGCTCTTGAAAACTTGCACTTTGAACAACAAGCTTCTTGATGCTCAGGCATATTTCGGAACGCTTATTATTATTCATGGATTGCAGCTTTCAGTCTGCGTTCTCATTACTAGCGGTTCCAAAATTGAATCTGGATGGGCTCTCTGACGCCATGATCTTTACACCGTGGTCTCGGCGATTCGTTTCACCCATCACATCTCTTTTGCGCACTTAGTGTGTCAACCGAGTTTCATAGGTCTGCATGCATGGCAATAGATGGTTGAGATGTTATCAGCTTATGTGTTTCGTTTTGGTTAGTCTGTGTGCATCATGTCGTGAGAAAATTTCCCGCGGTGAATGCTTCCGCATCCCGCGATTTATCCCACCACCAACAGCAGTCCCCGAAATACTACATTCGTTCATTCAAATCCATGAAGTGTAATCTCTAGGTCATCTACTGAAGCGTATGCAGTGATTTGTCATGGGTTCGGCTATTCCAGGTATGATGTAGTCCGTGTGCGGCTGGAACAGAACATCACCACAACAGTTCAGAGAAAGTGTCCATCAACAGTACTTCACCCTGTTTGATTCAATGGAAAATAAGAACGGTCATTTTCAAGTCATTAATGCTTCGTTATCATGATCATCACCTTTTACTTCTCCTCTCCCCCAAATCCTCTCAGTATCTCCAACTGCCCTCCCCCTTTCCTCCTTTCGCTCATCTACTGAATTTTCGCATTACTAAAATCCATCTCCGGATGCTGCTCCTGGAACTTCTTCAAAATATCCATCTTCTTCTGCTCATCGCTCGTCGGCAACCCCATCTCCTTTTGTCTTTGGTCGTACATCATCTTCTCCACCATTGCCCGCGTCTCGCCCTCGAGGTCCGACAGCTTGCTGTTCTCGGGGACGATCTTGCTCACGTCGATTTTCGGGGCGCTGATGACTACGTGCGGCCACCATTCGAGCTTGTTGTGCTTTTCGAGATGGATCTCCAGGGCTTTTTGACCGTCGGGAGCGGGGGACAGCGTCCAAGTAGAATCGTCGAGGAGGATCGGGTGGGGGAGGTCGCCCTGGTTTTGTGGGAGGTGTCAGAATCGAGCTACTCGGCATGCGATATTGGGTGGTATGGTATAGCGGCGTTGGAAAGTTGCAAGGGTTGTGAATTTGTAGATATGTAGGCAAGTAGGTTGGTTACCTTGATGACGGGCTCTTGACCCTTAATACCAGCCGTAAGAGACTGCTTCTTTATCTCAACCACCATATCTTTGCCCTTTAGGTTACCAGGGACGAGAATGGTGATGTCAACGTCGCCAATCGTCTGAGTCCACTTGTAGGGGAGAGCCTCCTGCTCGGCTTGTTCCTTGGCGCGGGCAGCGGCCTCCTCGGCGGGGGTGAGCTCTGTTACGTCTGACATTGTTCAGTCAGTTGATTAGTGGGACCTGTTGATGGCGGATGGACTTTCTGATCTTGAGAGCAAAAGGAGTCGAGCTCTAAAACGTACCTTTGTCAGCCATGTTGAAGGTAGTGTTGTTTATTTCGGTGTAGATATTGGGCAACGACGACAGCTTGGTGCAGTGGTCCAGTGTGCGGTAATGTAAGTAGAAGACGATGGAACGCGCCTGAACGCGATGACCGAATTTCTGGAGGGGCAAGGTAACCCGCAACGGCGCAGGCCGCCCAATCCCAATCCTAGGAGCTGCCCGCGAGCGGCTGCTGTCACTGCCCTGGTAGCCCCTGCTCACCCCACGCTTGCCCGCGTCCAGTCCCCTGAGACAGAGCTGCCAGATGAGCGCGGCAGAGTGCCGTGCTGTGAATGGGGATATAGGAAGCCCCACCCTGCACCGCCAGGGTAGCGTCCATTGGAGCGCTGGCGCGGTTGGGGGCCAAGTGGAAACAAGGATTATTCAGCCCAAGCATAACTCTTCCTTATCAGTCCCTCTTTCACCACATCGTCAATCTCACTCGGGTTTCACCCAGACTTCCACTTTATTGATTTTCACCACCTTCCCTATCCACCGTTTAGTATACATCACTGCGTGACCCGCAGTCTCTGCCTAGCCGAGTTGGCATTTTAGAATAACATTCCATCATCTGACCAGACGAGTACAAGTCCTCATCGCCAAATCACGATCACCAAACAGATATAAAGGAAGATTTGGGCCGTGATCGCCACTCACTCACCGACACACCAAGAGACGTCCCGAGTTCTCAGATACGGACTACTGTCCCTTGAAGGGAAACGCCCACTCCTCGCTATAATCCAGCATACATCTCTCTTGGCCATCATTCAATCTTTGGAAATCCCACTTCAGCACATCGATCCCCGTCTCCTCCCTCGAAGCGAAATTATCAAAACAACCAAAAAAAAAGTAACCACCCACCATGGCGCGCCCTCTCGACCCCCTCGGCTTCGAAGACGAAATGTGCCCCGTCTGCAAATCGCGCAAGTACCTCAACCCCGACATCGTCTTCGTCTTCAACCCCGAATGCTATCACTCCATGTGTCTCAACTGCGCCAACAGACTCTTCAACGACGGACCCAACCAATGTCCGCACGCCGGCTGCAACAAAACGCTGCGTCGCAAGGGCTTCCGCTCGGCTTTTTTCGGCGACTTGGCCGTCGAGCGCGAGGTCGACATCCGCCGTCGCGTGGCTGCGGTGTTCAACCAAGTCGAGGACGACTTTGAGACGCTCCAGGATTATAATAATTACCTGCAGATGGTGGAAGATTTGACGTTTGAACTTGTCAATGGGACGGATGAGAGGAGACGGCAGGCGGAGGCGCAATTGCAGGCATGGGAGGCGGAGCACAGGGCGGATATTGAGCGGAATAAGAAGGCGGGGAGGGAGGCGGATGAGATTTCAAGAAAGAGGCTGGCAGCCGAAAGGGATGCTGTGCGGCAGAGGAGGATTGAGGCTATCAAGGAGGCGGAGGCGGAGAAAAGAGAGAGGGTGAGGAGTCGCGAAATGGAGCTGGATAATCTGGCCAAGGGAACCACTGCTATGACAGCGGAGCCGGCGACGAAGGTGCAGCTAAAGAGGCGTGGGCAGGTGAATCGGGTTGCTGAAACAGCTTCCAACCCTACCATCGCAACAACGGGAATGGGCACGGGCGCGTCAGAGGTTGAGCGCTTGTCCATCCGCGGCTTGAAGGAGAAGCCGAAGGCGCCGGCGCCACAGGGCCCGTACGACCCCTTTGGAGGCATGGACTTCGCGCCTAGTCGGTACAAGCTACATGGAGGCTTGAGTCACCCGCTCATGGAGAAGTACCGGTTGGACAGACAGCACGTTGCTGGTGGGTACAGCTTTGACGACTTTGCGGCGCGCGCCTTGTATGAAGCGTTTGCTGGGTTGGGTGTGTTTGTTGAGGATGAGAAGGAGGCTGGCAGTGGTATTGGGTTGTCACAAGAGACGAGCATGGCGGCGGGGATGGCCGCTGTGGGTGACGCGGATAAGATGGATTTGGACTGAGAGTGGTTCTGGACCGGTATGCCCTGGCCTTTTGGTTGGCGGTAGTGGTGTTTTTGTTGCATAGCGACGGCGTTCACTCAGCGATTGAATACTTTTCTTTTTTCCTCTCCGACGGATCTTGATTTCGGAACACACATGAGGCGGGGCCAGCATCATATAAATCAACTTCACACTCGGTGGATTTAGAGGGCGCAAAGTTGTGTGAGGGATTGGGACGACGATAATGGAGAAAAGAAGGGAAAAAAATTCAGACTAATAAGAGTGCGACGATTGACCACAGGGATGCCCAAGAAAATATAGATTAAGATTTACCAAGTAAAAAGAGCCTCCAGGCTTCCTACTGCAAAAATGTGTATGCCTCCCTTGCTGGACATTCCTGGAGAGAGTATTGGCAGCCAATCCTGAAAGTTTTGATGGTATGACCATTTATCATACCTCTTTCACTCCTCTATCTCGAGATGCCCGGACCCCATTCCACCGTTTTTATGTAGCGTATCCATTCCAACTTACCCCCCCCCCTCTCTCTCTCTTTCTTGCGCTGCGCTGCTGAGCCTTGTATCTGGCCCTGCCTGTCATGAAGCACTCGACGGCGGAAAAAAAACCTGATCTCTTCACAGCCAATCCTTGACTGTCTTATTGCCACCCATTTTGAACGTACGAGCATCAAACCGCCCTGCAACCCCAAACATTGGCTGTCCATTCGGTAGACTAAGGAGGGGCACCGTCAGAAAACTCGCGGCAACAATGACGAAAGATCAGGATTGCCGAATCGAATAACGAAGGCGAGTGAGAAAAAAGAGCTGGGCTCAAAAAAAAAAAAAAAGCAAAAGGAACGCCGCGCTAGATGCATGACTTGCCGGTTCGTGCCATCCCGAACAAACCAGACAAGCCAAAACGAAAACAGCAGAATGACAGAAAAGCGGGGCAGTGCGCCTGTCAGCGACATACGCTTGCCCGTATAGCCCTTAAAATCCAAGATCAAGAGAGCTAAGTATTACGCGGCTGTCAGAGGAGACAACCGCTCATCATTGCTGCCATGGCGTTTGCTGTGCTGGCCTCGGAAACACCGGGATTGTCTCGAGTTGGTCGAGCCCGCCCCCTATAGGCTGTTGGTTATGTTGCCACCCCATACCGGTAGCATGGTTCACGAACGCACCCTGACGGAAAGGATTTGTGCTGCCCGTTGGCATCGGAAGAAGTGGGCCACTAGCAGTAACGGGGCGCTGCTGCTGTTGTTGTTGGACCGACTGGGAAGCCGCGAAGCCCCTCGCGAAGGGGTTGGTTCCAGTCGGCTGCGGTTGTTGCGGTGGAGCCGACTGGAAAGGCGAGTTGGCTGGAGGAGAAGCGAAGGGCTGTGCCGCCTGAGGAGATGCGCGAGCAAATGGGTTGGTAGACTGTGCAGTCACAGGACGCTGCATTTGCTGCTGTTGCTGTTGTTGTGGTTGTTGCTGCTGGAAAGGGGAGTTGTTCGCTGGCGAGAATGGAGATCCCGTTTGTTGTTGGTTCATCATCATAGATTGTCGGAAAGGGTTGGTGACTTGCTGTGGTGGCTGAAGACCGGAGAAGCCGGTGGTTGTGGCCGTCTGGAAACTGGCCATGTGATCCTGGGGACCAAGAGACAACGAGGTGGCCTGGAAGCCTTGTTGCTGGGGAGAAAAGCCACCATACCCAGCTCCCGTAAAAGACGGTTGCATCTGTTGCTGAGGAGCCTGCGGAACTTGACCATAAGTATCCATTGTTGGCTGCTGCTGCTGTTGTTGTTGCTGCTGCTGGAAAGCTTGTTGGAAGGCAGCCTGAGCCACAAAATCGTTGGCTTGAAACGGCTGAGTAGGTTGAGGCTGGAAAGCGGCCTGTGCCCAAGGGTTTGCGCTCACTTGCATCTGTCCATGGGTTTGCTGAAGCTGTGGCTGTGCCTGAACAGCCATTTGCGTCTGGTTTTGCTCGATCGAGTCGAAGAAATCGATGAGGTTGGCATCCGCCGACTTGATAGGAATTGCCGGCCTGGATGACTCTTCTTTGGTGCTTGTGGTCCCTGAGGCAGTATTCTTCGTGGATGACTCTGCTTTGGGGAACTTTGATACCGAGGATGACCCCCCTTTCTTCTTCGCCTCCAGCTCGGCCAGATACTGCCTCCGGTGAATCTCGAAGTCAGGATCCTTCAGATAATCCTCTAGCTGCCGTCCCAAATTCACAGGTGCGTGCTTGAGCTTGGGAACCTCAACTCTAGTATGGTGTTCATATTGTCGAGCGACACTGAGGTACTGTACCACGAAATCGGTTTGACGAGCAAAATTCCGGTAGATGTCCATAGCTCTCTCGGCATCAGGCTTTGACATTTCGAAAAAGTGGCCTAGAAATAGGTAAGCCTGGGGCCGCAGCGCGTCTGGTTGAGATGGATAGATTCATACCAAGAATATTGATCATGGCCTGGTTCAGAGCTTGGAACAAGGCAAGAAGATCTAAAACCAAGAGCCTGAACACGGTAACCGTAATTTCGTTTTCTGGTTCGTTGTCCATGACCTGCCCATAGTGTTAGCAACAAGCGTCAAAAACATTCACCCGGAGAGCAACATACATCACACTTGAGCAACGCTGTGAGTTGCTTCTGAACAGATTCTGTCTCTCGTAGCAAGCCTTTTTCGACTGAGAGCTTCTCCAACCGGTTCTCCCTGCCTCGAACCCAGTCAATCTTTGTGTCACGATACGCTCGCACCCTTTCGGTAAGGTAATCATAGTAATGACGGATGTTTCGGCCTTGTGTTTGAACTGTACGGCCGCTTGTTAGTTACTTTACGTACAGAGCAAAGCAAGACGAAAGGACCTAATGGGTTCGGCATCACTCACCATCTGATATCATGCCCAGACCCAGCATACTCCGGTGCTTAGCAAGATATGCTAGGGTAACGTCTGGCGAACCCTCTCGGATCATAAGGTGTACAGTAATCAGACTCTTGAAGACAACGGTCCATGTTGAATCGCGCAACCGAGTCTGCAGTACCCTAAAGACCTCTCCAACTCCCGCCTCACCCGAATGTGTCGCGATAAGAATATGCTCGATGTACTTCGTCTTGGGAGGCGCGGCCTGTTGTCATGATCGATTGTAAGCGTCAGCCGCTGAATCGCAAGGCTCTGAAATGGCAGTGTATGATGAGTGAGACCGGGTAACGAACCTTAATTTTGGTCGCGCCCTTGACGGATTTTTCAAAGGAGCTCGCCATCTTTTCCAGCTAATCGCCACCAGCGGGCGACTTGCTCCCGAGTATTGAGAATGTGAACTTGTAATATCAACCTCGGCGCGCGAGTTCCAGCTGGTTCGTCGCTCGGTCGCTGTCGGGTATCGGAAGCGTATGGAGGGATTGAGTCGAAACGATTGTAAGAGCAATGATGTCGTGGGTAGGTTTGTAACGAGTGGCGGGCGGCCTAACAGTTGGTACCGCTGTTGTGTTGGGTTGGGGGTCGCGGTCGGGCAGCGTCTGACCTCAGAAGAGCTGGATGTAACTACTCGAAGTGTCTGATGTAATGACGGAGGTATTCGTTGGCTGGAGGAAGTCGGTAGAGCGGGAGAGTGTAGAGTATAGATGCCTCGTCAATGCCGTAACCTTGGACGTCGGATGAACACGAGTAATCTATAAGGAACCGCCCTGTGCAGCACTTTTGACTGGGCCCCCGAAACAGGTACTAGCGTCCTGTAGGCGGTTCAATGTGTAGGGGGGAGCCGAAGGGGGGCATGGTAGGGGGAGCGGCAGCGGTAGGCCCGGGGGTAGGTACCTACGCAGTAGGGAGATTTTCAAGCCAAAACCTATACGATTGCCTGGAGGTTGTACCTCCGCTACAGGGGATAGCCCCAGGTGCATGGGGGACGGGAGCATGGAGATACGGGAGAAGCGCAGAAGGTAGTGTCGTTGTACCGTAGAGACTCGCCAGATTGGCAAAAGACTATCCCTCTTTGAGCGCCCGACAGTAAGCACAGGAGGCAGCATACCGAATGTGCTCTGCTGGCCCAGTTTGAGTGCAATTCAAAAAGGCCGACTTAACAAGCCACCGACCAGTGACATTGCCCTCCACCTTAACACGCACACATTTCTGTGCAGGAAGCCGGACGTGAACCTTACAGGACTGTACTTATTCTGCCCAAATAACCTGGTTTTCTGGCAGTAGAGGTTTGCCAATCTGGCGAGTCTCTACGGTACCCTGACGGGCAGATTTCCTGGCGGACACGCGCTAAAAGGCAATACAAGGGACATGAGCACCTCCAGTCGCCTCCGAGCACAGAAGTCCAAATGTGATCGACGACAATCATCGCCCGGATTCCTTGTTCCACCTCTCTGATGTCGGGCGCCGGTCTGAATGGATCCACGTTGAGAATCACGGCCGAAGTTGAAAGAGTGTTGCATCCAGAAAATGGTGTGCATGACCCAAGGGTCTGGGGTTACGATGGGGCTTATCCTCAAATTTCGACATGATGCGCTTGGGGAGATCGCAAATCACGCTATTGCCCATTTTATTTGGAGATTACTATATTCCACACTTTGTGCGGGTACAAAGCGCCCAGTCCAAGACAGCAATATTGTTCGACATGACATCAGCGGTCTCGTCTTAAATCAGCCTCAGTGAACCCCAGCTTGCGGAGGAGAGAAGGAAACCACCAGGCTGTCTGAGAAGGACCCCGCGTACCACCGGGTAACAGTCTCTCTTTCTTCATCTGCAGCAACGTGTTGCCTTTGAACCCAGACTCGTAACAGTGAGCAGCAGGGTATTGCAAATGCATTCAAGGGTAGAATCCAAGCCTAAAGAGACGGAGAGGCGTAGGGTCAACTACCAGGGACAAGCGAAGAGAATATGTACAAGAAAAAAGAAAACAAGAACTCCTTCCTTCAGATAGAATCAGAGTGCCGTGTTGGCGTCCGATGAGTAACAAGGTCGGTGTGCCGAACGCTTATTTCAAAATTCCCGCCTTCCCTCACTATCGAACCACTTAAGCCCCGTGAGGGGAGAGTTCGAAGGGTCAGGAAGGAGGAAGCTTCATCAAATTAACACCTGGGCTTTCATCATTTTGTTTTGAATGGAAGGGTCATGAAGAAAAAAAGAGAAGAAAATTCTCAAAGGCCGGCGCGCGGCAGAGGGTTTTGTTCCCTGCGGGCGCGACTGTGGGCCCCACTCGAAATTTCGAAGCGCGCTCGGGCCAGCACTTTGCCGACCAACGAGCAGCGAGTGGCAGCTTTATGTGGGGCTGTCCAAGAGCTTGTATCAAAGCTCGGGCCAATCTTACCACTCCCAGCTCAACCCTCACTCGTCTCGTCCATACTAACCCTGGACCGGGGCTCACACCACCGACAACACCCTTCACGATGGAGCTCTCTCTGCCAGAAGCGGAAGACGGAAGGTTGACAGACGTTGACGACATCAGACTGCCATGGCTCAACCCCGCGTCTCTTTGAGACGGCTCTGTAGACTTATACCGTCCCAGAATTCGAGACTCTACACAAGCCGCATAAACCCTCACTGGCAGTCGCTGAAATGCCTGCCCCGGAACTCGCAACGCCTGCTTCACAATTCCCCAGCTCTTGCTTCACCATCCGGTGATAAAGTAAGCGGCCAAAAATTGCGCGAAGAATGGGCACAGTACAGTAGGTATTGCCGTGTATACTATGCCTTTTATACCTGAGCTTGGCTGATGCGGGCCAGGCCAATTTCCCAGTGCATCCAAGGCCGCTGACTTCGTCGAGGGCAACAAGGTCACCGTCCATGGCTTTCTCCTGCGACGAAGAGTCAAGAGCTTAAAACTGGTGTTTGCCGACATTCAGGTTGAAAATGGCCCATCGGTGCAGGTCACATCCACATTCAAGGAGGATGGAAGCCCCGAGCAGTTGGTCACGAGGGCCCTGAGAGCAGTCCCCTTGTATAGCCCCGTGAGCGTGACTGGAACCGTTGCCCGGCTCCATGGCAACCGTATCGATCTGGACCTTGACGCCATCCAGCCTCTTAATGCCTTTCCCAAAGACATCATAGTCTCCGAGGGCGTTCAATTTCCTGCCTCTGCCAGACATCTCCAAATCCGCTTCTCAGACCCCCTTCGCTCACGGCTGCTGGCCCGTCCTCAGATCGGCTTCCAGCTCAGGAAAACACTCAATGACCTTGACTTTACCGAGGTGGAAACGCCTATTCTGTTCAAGTCTACTCCTGAGGGAGCAAGAGAGTTCTTGGTCCCGACAAGACGTCGCGGTCTGGCTTATGCTCTGCCCCAGAGTCCGCAGCAATACAAGCAGATCCTCATGTCGAGCGGTATCCGTGGTTATTATCAGTTTGCTCGCTGTTTCCGTGATGAGGACTTGAGAGCCGACCGCCAGCCAGAGTTTACTCAGGTATGTCATGTCGAGTATGCTCCCTATCATCTAGTCATACGCTAATACGCGACATAGCTTGATTTGGAAATGGGCTTCGCCACGGGCGAGGATGTCATGCGCACTGTCGAGACTCTTGTCTCTCAGCTGCTTCCTGCTCTGAATGCCCAATTCAGCGTCGTCAGGCAAGGAGACGATATCTATCCTGTACCCAAGCGCGACTTGAAAAACGGCGAATCGACCGAAAATGGTGACCTTCAATGGCCTGAACCTACCGCTCCTTTTCTTCGGCTCACGTACGACGAGGCCATGACAAGATTTGGTATCGACAAACCCGACCTACGGATCCCCTTCGAGGTATGCAAGACGTCTCTAAAACTGAAACCAATTTAATCTAACCACTTCTTCCAGCTACACCGTGTCGACCATGTCCTCCCCGCCCAGTTTGTTTCTATGATCACGCACACCGAGCAGCCTATAGTTGAAGCCTTCCGCATCCGTCCCCAGTTTGACGGAGAAACGGTCACTCCCGGTACCATTGCTGAGTTCGTCGACAAACTCATGGACCAACTCCCCAAGCCTCTTGCCAACAATCCCGACGGAGCTCCCGCCGCCCTCATGTTCAACTCCAAGAAACCTCTCTGCGGTCTCTCGTCACTTGGCTTTGAGGGCTTTGACGCGCTCACCAGTATGGAAGCCTTTTCCGACCTTGAAGACGGCGATGTGCTCGTCTTCCAGGCGCGCAAGAACGCCCCCTTCCAGGGTGAAGGCTCCACAGCCCTCGGCGTTGCCCGCACGCACTTCTACCGCTCCTTCGTTTCCGCTGGTCTCCTCCCGCAAAGCTTCGACCTCAAGTTCCTCTGGGTCGTCAACTTCCCCATGTTTACCCCCGACGACGGCATCGATCCCGGCCAGGGCGGCCAAGCCGGGTTCAAAGCCACCCACCACCCCTTCACCGCGCCGCTCACCGAAGCCGACGTTGAGATGCTCGCCACCGATCCGCTCAAGGCGCGCGCCGACCACTACGACCTCGTCGTCAACGGCGTCGAGCTTGGCGGCGGCAGCCGCCGTATCCACCTGTCTTCCATGCAGGAGTATGTGATGCGCAACATCCTCAAGATGACGGATGCGGGTCTGGCCCAATTCTCTCACCTGCTCGAGGCGTTGCGGGCGGGATGTCCGCCGCATGCCGGGTTCGCGCTGGGCTTTGACAGGCTGGTTGCCATATTGACGCACACGGATTCTGTGAGGGATGTGATTGCTTTCCCCAAGAGCATGAAGGGAGAGGATCTGACGGTTAAGAGCCCGAGTAAGATGACGGCTCAGCAGTTGGAAACTTACCATTTGGCGATCGCTAAGAAGGAAGAGGTGAAGAAGCAAGATGTTTGAGAGAAGAAAAATGTGTGTGGAGAAGGGAAAGCAGCCTCCTGCGCTGTGTGTTTGGCCTCCGACCTAGGTCAACGGCTTTACAGACAATATGCTGCGCTGTACATTAAATGCAGGATCAAATGTTGGTGTGCTACCATGCAAACATGGCACAACGCAGCTTTATGGCCTGAGAGATTGTGTTTTATAGGAGATCTTCGCAGGCTGTTCCACGCGTTCTACCTCAATCCCGGACGCTGAACATATTCTCAGACCACAACATTGCAAAACATCGTATGAGATTGAAACAGCACGATTTCGCTGTTCTAATCTCTCGGAGACGATCCGAGATAGACGTATGAAGAATGGGATAAAGACCGTGGACCGTCATGCCCACCAAGACTCACCTAAGTAATTGCCATTGCATTCATCTCAATTTTGTTCAAGGGTCTGGGTACGGTGAGTACTCTGATGAGTACGGTTGCACCTGACCCCAAACACGAAAAGACATCGTCAAGCCATCACCAACACGATCAACACTGAGAAAACCTACAAGCAAGTTCAAAGACTTCGGAGAAAAAGTCCACAGGCTCAAAGAATAGATCAGGCCCAAACACCGCTTCAACATCTGGAGAATCCACAAAATGTGAGAATGCCATATTTCTATACAAAATCTACCCTATCACTATCATACAGAGTCATTCCCACAATCTTTCGTGTTTCCCCCGTGTCCCCTTGTCATCATTTGATTTCCAACACTAGCTCGCCTGCTCTGTTTCCATTTGGGATATAGATCTAAATGAACGTATCGAACCCGTGTATCTGTCGTTAAATTGCAAAGGCATGCCAAAAGAAAGATCTGAAAAAAAAAACATAGGTATAAAAGAGCGACAAAGCCAGAGGCAACTCGATCAGGAGCCTGTTCGCATTGCAACCCTTCGTTCCTCCAAGTCGAACTAATTTGACACAATAACTGACCAATAACTAATGCGTTGCCATAGTCAAAACCGAGCAGCAAAGACCATGATCTCTCTCGGTTGTTGGTTTCCGCCTGAACCGGTTCCGCAAGGGACCAAACAATGTCAAGAGACTGTCAACCAGTCAATTGTACTTTTTAGTCCGTCGAGAGAAGAAGAAGAGAGAGAGAGAGAGCATTGAGAAGTACCCTCTCTTTTTTTTTCGGTCAGGGGTCGCCACGCCGATTCGAAGATGAAAGAGCCCTGATGTCACTGCCCTCTCACACAGACCAAGGGAACATCAGCTTCTTAAAGCTGCACAAACACCAACCCAGCCAACCCAACAGCCAAGGCAATCTTAGCATCAACTCTCTGTCCAGCAGCACCAGCCAGCTGCACGTCCGCAAATTCCTCACGCTCCTTACCGTCCGCGCTGTCGTCGGTGGCCGTAGGAGCAGACAGGGCAGTAGACGTGACCCAACCGCCATATCCACCATAGGCCCCATAGCCACCATACTCGTACCCGGTTTCAGTCGCTACGCCTTCAGCATCCTCAGAGTCCTCTTCGGGGCAGGGTTCCTCGCCTTCTCCCTCGTCCTCGTCCTCTTGCTCGCCACCAGCAGCGTCGGCGGTGGATGTGGGCGAGGCGTCCTTGTCATCGGCACCGTCAGCGCCGTCTTTGTCGGTATTTCCCTCATCCTCATCCTCATCCTCACTATCGCTGTCGCTGTCGCTCTCGTCGCTAGCGTAATCCTGATCCTCAGCGGCGTCCTTAGTCGGAGCGGCGGACTCGTAAGCAGCGGCGGACTCGCAATCATCGGCGGACTCGTAAGCATCGGCAGACTCAACGGCAGAATAAGCGGCGGAAGAATAAGTGACGCCAGAATAAGCGGCACCAGAAGACTCAGCAGCAGCGGTCTTTTCGGTGGGGGCGGCGTAGGAGTTGGCAGCTGAAGACTCGGCCTCATAGTCGGCGGAGGAAGGGGCGGCGGAGGACTCGGCGGCTTCGGCCTTGCCGGTGGAGGCGGCGTAGGAGTTGGCAGCCGAAGACTCGGTCCCATAGTTGGCGGAAGACTCGGCGGCTTCGGCCTTGCCGGTGGAAGCAGCATGGGAACTAGCAGCGTTGACCTTGTCCGAAGCAGTTATGTCAGCAGCAGCCGAGCTACCAACCGAAGCGGCCTGGGCGTTAGAAGAAAAGGCAGCAGCCTCGGAAGAGAGCGCGGCAGCCTTGCCGGCTGCACTGGTGGAGGCGGCTTTGTTGGCTGAGTTGGCTTTATCAGCATCGGCGGCAGCGGTGCTGGTCGCTCCACGCCTCTCGAGTTGATCGGCGGTTACTACTTCCACGACCTCGACGACGGCTTTCTTGATTAGGTCGGTGTCGGAGTCGTCCTCACGGGTATGGAGGGAGCGGGGGACAGAGAAAGCAGACACCCTATTATTTCTACGTGTTAGCAAAGGGGTAAAGCACGGGAAAAGTACAGGATGGTGTGAAGGACGTACACTCTCTTGAACAGACTGGCTTGCGCCAAGTCTCTTTTGCTCAGAGCCACATTTTCGTCCGGGGTAGCAGAAGCTAAGATGTTGAAAGCCAGGGCCTGAAGGACGAAAGAGGTCGTCCAGGTGGATGAACGCATGGCTACTACGGTCTGCCAGCAGATATGCTGGAGTGACGGATGGTGATGGAAACGATCGGAAGCGTCGAAGTTGGTGCCGCCAAACGAGGGAGGAATGTCTTTTCAAATAGAAGAAGCGAGTAGATTAGGGCTTGAAGCTGACAAGATTCGGTGAGGAGATCTCTGAAACTGGTATAATTTATCTACTCCTTTAGATGGCAAAGTAGATGTTTTCGAGTGTGGTGCTCATAGGAAAACAATCCGTCATTAGAGGGGAACTGGAACTCCTTAAATATCCGAATCCTCACGCTGAATTAACAAGTCCAGCTTCCATCTTCCCAAAGGTTCAACCGTGAAAGCAGATACTCAGGCCCAATCGGGTCCAACAAGCAAGTTACAAGGTCCCGACATGCTGTTTGAAACTGGAAATCAGCACACCTGCCTCCTGCAGGTGCCGATATGGAGGCGAGTGGCTCGGTTCTGCATGGCAGCTTCGCTTTTTGACTCGAGTTTCAGAGACTCGGGGATTCATAGACCAAATACTGCCCCATTGTCAAAGCGAATCCGTCCTGTCACATGCAGTGTTTCTGCAGTCCTCCCGTTTGAGGACAAGAGAAGACCTCTTAAGCTACGGGTAAGATGAGGTGATGAACTAAAACATTCCTAGGTTTTCAACAGCGGGCGAGAGCACCTCCACAATTGGTAAAACACTCCCATCCATCTCCTTACAGATATTCACCAGAATGAGAAACCCCAAATGAGTTATGGTTCACAACCTCAGCAGTGAGTGAGTGTTTAAGCGCACTGCAGATGAATGAGATACAACTCACTCGCATAACAGCACATGGTCTTGGACTTGAACTCCAGCATCTCGGTTAGAGGTAATTTGGCATCAATATTGTGATGATGCTGAGCCACACACAGTCTAATTTTCAAGCCACTTGACCTGTCCAGTTTTTTTTCTAAATGTTCAAGCATGAAGTACGATAGCGGTCACGCGTAGGCAACTTGGTTGCCGCTCCTCCAATGGGCACGAGAATGGCGACAGTCGGGGACGCAGAAAGAATGCGGATGCGAGAAATTTTCCTCAGCGCGGCTGGAGCGTGAACGTCGACGGTGGAAGGTGGACGGAACCTCTTCACCACCAAGACCTTCTACCCACCGCGGACTCGCAGAGAGAGGATATGTCCAAGGTTTTCATGTTCAGGTTCAAGGTGTTCGACAATAATTTACATGTTCCTTGACGGCTGTCAAGAGCCAGTGACATACCTTTGAGCTCACCTTATTTATTAATTTTATTTATTTTAATTTTTTGAAGAAAAATCTCTAATCTTCGTAACATCTCTTCCGCCAACTGGAGGCTCTACATTGGATTCACCATTCTCTCTATTATTTCCCCCTCTTCTTCTTTTTCTTTGGCTCAGAGATGTCAGCTTAGGTAGTCACGATCAGTAAGAGTACCTAGAGCTACTGAAGTCGGTATCGGGTATCGAATATACAAGATGGCACTTGCTTCAAAGGCTGTATTGCATAGGTACCTACCAACCTACCTCTAGTACACTACAGACATGTAAGCTCCACGTTGACAAAGCATAGTACAGGAAGAGATGCAGTTACACACATGCAAACAAGAGGGGGAAACCAGGCATACATTCAGTTCCGTCTGTACCTACCTCTACCTACTGTCAGGTCCTCAAAATGACCCGACTACCAACATTCTGGGATTGCAAAAGCGGTGTTGCGTCAATGAGACATTCACAATGATCGATGATTCTCGGAACGATGGGAGATGCACTAGAGTTGGGTACATAAATGGAAGATTCGAGAACTTGGAAACGCGGCACCTGAATACCTCTAGGTGTTCTGTACCAAGATCGATGTCCAAACGTACCTAGAGGTAACTAACGTGATAACCCTCAATACAGTACACTCATTTCGCATGAGCGAGGGACATTGGCGATGCCCAAAGGAAAGGAGTCTCCTATGAGGTGCAGTGCGTGGTCATAACCAAGATTCGCGGTAAGCTCAGAAAACAGCAGTGGAAGAGGTAAAGAGGTGCAGTGGCCAACTTGTATCGCGCAGAACACCCAAAGAGGAAATAAGTAAACACGAGTGTCGGACTAGCCCCTTTATTCCATCGACGAGTGGTCATGACACTCATCACAACCGAGGCTCACGCAAGGCAAGCATACAGGTACTCCAGAATCGATCGCACTGCACGCAACCTGAAGTTTCCGAGTCGACATTTTCTCAGCTCGCTCTTTCCATCTGCGCACTTGACTTTTGGGTCCAACCGCGGTCGCTCCTCCCCCCGGCTCGCTGACTTGATGCGGCGGGAGCGAGAAGAGAAAACGACGAGACTCGCAAGTACCTCTACCTCTAGAGGTAATTTACGACCGTGACACTCCTGAACTGATGGTCTGATTGCTTCTGTTAGTGATGGCATTTCTTGATTATGTGAAAATCAATCGCTCTACTACCCCTTCTAACAGCTGCTGGGATCATTACTAGGCGGGCCGGGTGTGAAACTTACAGTACCGTACTACTCAACTCAGGCGAACCGGAGAGTTTCGTAACCGACCGCTGCACCGCACCGCACCGCACTGCACTCGCTGGTTCAAGTTAGTCGTGACGCCTCCTCAACAACTCGGATCGATCTGACCAGTCTTTTCCTGCGGTCTAGGTACCCTAGATTAGTATGACACAGGATGTCCAGATAACAAATTTAAGGTCGTTTTGCCAGATACGGTGACTTTGTCGGACGGACAGATAAAACAGTACCTACTAGTACTACCTCTAGTTACACTGCGCTCATGCATCCTTTGATCATGATCCGGCATTAAATAACTTCATGCCGCCCCGACCCCCCGATAGCCCACTTCTTCCGCTGTTTCTCATACAGTACCTACTATTCCAAACCAAAAGCCAAGCTCGCTCGCTCGCTTGTCAAAGCACGTCGAGCTTCAAGCGCGCGCAGACCAGCTGTCTGTGCTTGGCTGAACGTCGGATCAACTAAAGTACAAACATGCGGCCAAAAAGGATGCCGAAAGCAGCTGCATAGAGCAAATTGGCCGTGCTGAACTCGAGCCTGCCGCCGCCTCCCTGAACAGGAGACGAGTCCGAGTTTGAGGGTGAGTTCCACGACAGCGTCCAGTTGGATGCCCATGCCCCTTCCTTGAAGTTGTCCTGCAGCTCGGTTACCAAAAGGAACTTCCCTTCGGGGTTGTAGGACCAAGAAGCTGATCCGAGCAAATGACTATTAATAGTCACTCTCAGAGGTGCCTCGGCCACTCCCAGAATCGTGACGTTGGCCAGTGAGTTTCGGTCAAGGTACTTGCCCTGAGGTGTCACTCGAAATGAGTTCTTCTCAACCGTGAACTAAAAACAGCCAAACCCGGTTAGCACTTTCGACCTTGTCGCGCGAGGAGCGAGTCGCCAGCGACCAACTAAACGCTCATGGCAAAGAGGGAAAAAGTGGTAGAAAGAACAAAAGGAAACTTACATCAACCCACTTCACATTCTCACCCGGCTCCAAACTCTCACCATCATCCAGATACAACGTACCATTCGCCTTACCCGCACCATCAAGAGCAACGATGACACTCCACTCATTTTGTCTGCTCTCCGTCGTAGTCATGCCCGGCTCTTGCACTGGGATGACATGGCCACCCCGTAGAAAAACCGGAATGTGTCCCAGAGGTGCATCGATCGTTACATTCTCCCCAGGCTGAACACCCTCACTGGCGGCCTTGTATGTATACCAATCATACCAGATGGTCCCATCGCCAACTCCAGGAAACACGCCGTCCACTGTATTGGCCCCTTGAACAAGACATGGTGTCACCATCACCGCGCTGCCCAACATGAACTGGCGATCCGCATCCGCCAACCACGGCTCTTGCGGGAACTCCCACGAGAGTGCGCGCATGACCGTATTTCCAGACAGGCTGGCCTGGGCCATAAGCGTGTACATGTACGGGAGCAGGAGGTATCGAATCCTCATCGCCTTCTTGGACGCATCGATCACAGAGCTCCACACGTAGGGCTCCTGGCTGATGGCGCCACGGACGTTGTGGTTGCGGTAAAATGGGAAGAAGGCGCTGAGCTGCATCCATCGTGAGCACAGCTCGTGGTCGGTGTTGCCATTGAAGCCGCAGGTATCTACGCCGAACATGGGGAAACCGAAGATGGAGAAGGACAGGGCCTGGGGAATGCTGAAGTACAGAAACGCCCATAGGGAATAGTTATCACCGCCCCAGTGACCGGCCCATTTGCCAGAACCCGCAAAGGTGCTGCGGCCGATGATAAAAGGACGCTTGCCCTCAAAGACTTTGAGAAGTGCCTGGTAAGTTGCGTGGAGGATTTGATGGCCGAACAAGTTGTGGAAGTCATAGTCAACTGTGCCGCCATGGTGGGTACCATTGGGGCTCAGGGCGTGAGTGCCAAGGTCGCCGTGGAAGTTGTTGATGACATATGGTGGATAGTTGATATTGCGCACTCCAGGAGTCGGTGTCGTCCTGAGGTAAGAAGTAGTGCTAGTGGTGCTGGCTGTAGTCGTGGGGTCTGGGTACTGCGTTTTGTAAACCGACGTTGCAGAGGATGCCTCACTCGCGTTGGTTTTTTCAAAACCTTCGGGGTAATCGAGCACAAGAGCACCTGGCTCACCGGGAAGACCCCATGGTGGATGAACCGGATTGAGCGTCAGGTTGCCCGTGCCACAGCTTCCGATGCAGAAAGAAGCAACCTCGCTCATGTCAATCCAGATGCCATCAAAAGCGACCTTCTTATAGTACCTAACAAACTCGTCCGTCCACCAGCTGACGGTACCTGTACCGTTGAGGGCCGCACCAATCCAGTCCGGGAACACGGTGTAGCCAGGCCACACTGCACCGATATAGAGCGAACCGTCTGGGTTCATGATGAAAGCATCAGCTTCGAGTCCACGGTGGTAAGGTTCGTAATCATCCTCTGGCTTGTCAGGATTTGGAACATAGATGGCCGAGTCGACAATTGGCACGTAGTGCTGGTGATTCTTGTGAAGCTCCTCGAGGAACTTGGCGCCTTCCTCGTAGCTGAACTGATCAGGGTCGTTTTCAAAGTCACGATAGCCCTTCATGTAATCAATGTCGGCTTTGAAAAGTCAGTAAAAGCATGGATGGGGAAAATTCTGATGCTAAAGGACTTGGGTTCACTCACTCCAGATTGTCTCCAGCGGGATGCCAAACTTGCGGAAATTGTCAACGACATCCTTCACAACAGTCCAGTTCGAGTATCCCCAACGACATTGGTGAAAGCCAAGAGTCCAATACTGCTGCATTGCAGGAAGACCAACAGTACTGAGCTGATAAGACTTGATGATATCCTGAGCCGAAGGTCCCTCAAAGAAGTACAAATCGATGCTTCCGCCGAGAGTCCTCCAGGTGATACCTTCGGGTCGGAGGAGCACTTCCTGTGCATGAGCATTTCGAAGGAAGACACCGTTTGTATACGAAACATATTTGGCATTCTTGTCTGCCGGGTCGGTAACGTAGCTTAACTTTCCAGACTCGTCCTTGGTGAAGTATCTGGTGTCGAGATAGATCGGGTGGTTGCCGTAGATGTTGGCATCGAGGTTGTCGCCCACATCCGCAGCGAACAGCGTGCCTGGAGATGGTGTTAGTCAGATGCAATCCACGATGCACATTCATTTTAAGTTGAGACTTACGTGTCAGATTGTTCCCCAGTCTAAAGCCATGCATAACTTCGCCGAGACCATACAGGTTGTAATTCTCGGGTAAAGAGGAGCCGAACTCGATGAACTGATCCTCATAAACAAGAACACGGCCCTCGGTCGTGAACAAGACATCTCCAGTCTCCTTACGCTTCACTGTGAAGGAGAAGGTGGGCTCGTTCGACCACGAGATTTCCAGCTTGCTTCCAGCCGCATTTGCATCAGGCTCGGCCTCTGGTCGGGGCACGAGCACCTCAGGAAGTATGAACCAAGTTTCATTACCGGGGCCAGTATAGCGAGGTTGAATCTGGACATTGATCCGATTGTCCGCCTGAAACTCAACGGTAAGCTTCAGGTGCTCGATGTCGTTGCCATAGACATTGCAGGGAGGGCCAGCAAGGGTCAAGTCAGCCGTGAGTCCCTTCTCCGTCTTTTGTGCATTAGTAGCTGTATATCCTGGACAGACGCTTTGAACATTAACTGCTTGTGGGTCGAAGATGTTAGGTAAGACATTTGGTCCGATGTCAGCTGAAGCTGGGAAAGTGAACATAGGGGAATCCCCTGCCACCGTCCCGCTCAATGCACCAGCTCTAGATGACGTTGCAACCACAGATACATGTTGAGCGGATGTCCATCGAGGGACAAAAGCCGCAAGAAGGAAGAAGGAAGCCGATGTGAAGACGGCCATGACGAGTAAAGCCGGATTGACGGTCCCCCAGACTTGTCGTATCCCACGTCGACCTTGGGATACGAAGAAGATGCCCAACAGGCAATATAAAAATATGGAAATACCCAGGTACGTCGATGCTCGTAGATTGTCGCCGAAGGAGCCCTCGAGCTGGTAAACTCCGTCAAAGTCGAGGAAGGATTTCGACACTAGTTGTGTGCCGAATATTCCTGAGCTTAGGTTGTTCTGTCTACTCTTCGAGGCCGCGTAGACTGGGTTGAGGAAGAGCAGCTGAGCGAGGAGGACTGCTGCTGGGAGAGGGTGATTAAGAGTCCAAAACTGGTAGAGTAGCTATCCCAACGTTGTTGGTCAACCCCTTGCTGCTCAGCCAAGCAAAAGAAAATGTAATGGTTGGAGCTGGAAAGTGAACATGCGAGGGAGCTGAATATAAGTACCTTTCATGATGCTGGATACAGATTCCCGGCTGGGATAGGAAAGCGGGACTTACCTTGAAAATGTCACAATCTCTGTGCCCAAGGTAGCTTCCGGCGACAGGCACGGCAGTAGGATTCAAGTTCGGATGTGCTTCGTGGGGTTGCTGCTGCACTTGCGCTTGCAACTGCGAGCCGTATACTTGTGTCATCCATGCCAATCCTGGTGTCGTAGCTGTCTCCAGTTGTGATTGTCCAATCTTCCCCGGACGCATCATGGTCGGACCTGATCGACGTTGGTTCCCGCAGATTTGCGGGCACCAATCAATAACGGGAGTTCGTTAAAGCTAAACCAGCCTCCCGGAGCACCTGCCTTGGTCGGACCGAAACTTATATGCCGCCGCAGTTGGCAAGGTAACAACGTCTTGGGGAACCAGGCAATGAATATCCGGGGCGGTAGTTGTTGCCGAGGATGACCGCAGAGGCGAAAGTATACAACGCCTTTACTGAGGTGTTGTCTGGTTGAGAACAAGTGCCGCCGACATGCCCGGCGTTAGGATGTGAAGCCGAAATGGTCGCTGTCTGAACTAAGAAAGGGCTATTCGGGGCGGAGAAGTATGAGAGAAAAATGGAAGATTTCCGGTCGGAGGAGTTATCAGTCGAATGAATCGAAGATAATACAAGCTAGGATAAATCAAGTCACTAAGTCGATGCGAGCCGTGAGGCAAGACCAATGAAAAAGGAATGACCACGAGATGCCCCAAATGACCTATTAAACACCTCACGGCTACGCAATGGCTTTCTCTGTACTACCCGATATCCCAGGCATCACAAATTACGAAGTTCCAGATCTGGCTGTTTTTTTCGTTCCCAACTTTAAATCGAGTTCGGATGATCCAGATCAGACGAGCTGAACCCAGGCGGCATCAGCCGATTGACATCCTGGGGCAGATATGGATGGTATCAAACCTTCACAAGCATAGGATCACCTAGATACTCAACCTTTGATGCTACATCGTCCTCCCTCAATAAATGTAGGTACCAGTAGTACTGATGTTAGTCGCTGGTCATTCGTGCCGTTGGCGTTTAGACGAAGACAATGCAGCGTGGCGGGTTCCTCCAGAGAAAATCGTGATGCCCTTCCCGCCAGCATCACTGCAAGGTTACTTGCATATTCCGTTTGGGGTAGCCTCAGAACTTCATCAAGCACATCCCGCTTCTCTGTGACACGGGCTGTCTATATTGCACAATGAAATACATGTGCATAGATGTGTCACGTTTCCATCAACATGATGCCACGTCGTTTGAGGGTCGTTGTTCGCTGTGATGGATATAAAACCCAGCTCGCGCCACGAAGAGCTCCATCGTCTTTGATTGCTTGACACAATAACCTCATCAGCGCCCAGATAACTGCACCATGTACACTGGTTGACTTGCCCATAACCAACAATGGGCAGACAGACATTCTGTAAAGCATCCGATGGGTGTCATCCGAAGCCCATGTCCCAGGGATATGGCCTGCAAGGAACAAAGCGGGATCAAGAGCTACAGCGCCCCAAAATAATGCCACCCAAAATCAAAAACAAATATTCAGCATGATGATCAAAGAGTTGATACCCAAAGTTTTTATTCCCAAATCCAAAAAATCTCCAAACTCCAACACGCTAACTCCGTCGCTGATATCCAGAAAGCTCGAGGGAAATTGTAGCCCAAAAGCGACCGGCGATTTCCCCACCCATAAGCGTAAAATCAAAACAAAAAAAACGTCAATAGCTGAGATCGATGTTGCCCAAGGATGCCACAAGTTTATCGTCTTGTGACGCCCCGGTGTTATTGCTCCCGCCCACGTCGGTTTGAGACGTACTGGAGTTGCTAGTGCGTGACTGCGATTGCTGTAGGTCAACTTGTTGGTGTTGTTGTTGGTGATGTTGTTGTTGTTGTTGCTGCGGCTGCTGCGGCTGCTGCTGCAGCTGCTGCGTTGGCGGTATGCCGTTATCGGAGAAGCCAAGGTCTCGCATCTCCTGGAAACTCCAACTAGGTTCGAAGCGCCTGCTGTGCCACGCATGGTCAACTCTCTCGTACATCTCATCAATTTGTTCGAGACTGATCTTGCTAGTCTCGTAAACCATACACCATACAAAGCCGACCGCTACTATGCAAAACGCGCCCCATACGAAAAACACTTTAGAGCCGAGATCTATCGAGCTTTCGTCACTCGCTGCGCTGTTCGTTTGCATATACGGGGTGCCGTAGGCGATGCCAAAATTGAGGAACCAATTTGAAGCCGTAGTTATTGACATGGATTTGGCTCTAACCTTGAGCGGATAAATCTCGGAGGTGACGACCCATACAACTGGGCCCCATGATGCAGCAAAGAAGAAGATGTATATCGCAACAAAGGTGATGAGGACCTTGTTCTGTGCTGATAGGTTGTTGGAGCCGCTGGCCGTCGCGAAGGCAGCGATCAGCAGCTGACAGATGGCCATGCCGATGGCGCCCACCATCAGGAGCCGACGCCGGCCCCATGATTCGACCACGAACAATCCGGGTATGGTCGATGCTGTGTTGATGACTTGCATAATGAGAGAGATCTTGAAGGGGTTTCCGACGCCAGCGTTATTGAAAAAGGTGGTTCCATAGTACATGATAAAGTTCACGCCGGTAAGCTGTTGTAGCATCTGCAGACAGCAACCTGTGAACGTGCGACGGCCAAGGTGAGGTTCGCCAAAGAGAATGTCCTTGTAAGAATCGGGACCCAGTGCCATCTCGTATTGATGGTTTGCTTCGATTTCGGCAAGCTCCTCGACCAAGGCAGGGTGAGTAATGTCCAGTCGACGCAGCCGACTGAGAGAAAGGGCAGCGGCGTTCTTGTCTCCACGTTTGATGAGGTAACGAGGAGTTTCGGGTAACACAGTCAAACCCAGGACCAAGACGCAGGCCCAGGTTAGCTGAAGTCCTATTGGTACCCGGTAGGCAGCAGCTGTCTTCAATTTGTATGTGAGGATGTTGACCACGGCAGCGGCAAGAAGCCCCATGGTGATGGAGAGTTGGTAGGTGCACACCAGTGTTCCTCGAATCCACTTGGGTGCCATCTCGGACTGATATAAGGGGACAAGCACTGAGACAATGCCGATACCAACACCGGCAACCGTCCTGATATTGTCCACGTTAGTTCAGGAATGAGCCAAGCAAAGCCTAGGGGGTAAAAGTACACACCTTCCTGCCACCAACAGATCGATGTTATATGCACAAACCTGCAGGATGGCGCCGATTACGAAAATTCCGATGGCGCCAATAAGGGACCGGCGACGTCCATAGTGATCTCCGAGAGGCGCAGCGAGTAAGGCTCCGATGGCGGTTCCGGCGCTGAGCATGGCAACGATTAACGCACTCTCCTTTGGGTATATGCCAGGCTGTCCGTTGCCGTCGATGTAGCCGGTCGAAAAGTGGTCTTTGAACGATTTCATGGCAAGGATGCCGTTGATGGTTCTACAAGCCAGAGGTGCATAGTTAGCACTTTAGTTTGATGTTATCTCAAGGGTCTGGTCGCCTGGTCTGCGGCAACGCAGCATCAAGCCAGTATCCATCGCAGATGCCATTGCATGTCCCATGGCATATCCGTCGCATCGACGTGCTCGCCGCGCCCGAGTGCATTCAGAAGAGAGGCTTACCCAGTGTCATAGCCAAGGAGTAAGCCGCCTGTGGCGACAAACAGGCCGACCATGATCGCTGGGGCAGATGAGCCAGCGACATTGTCGGGCTTCTGCCAGCCCATGGCGAAGATCGCCATGGCGCAAAAGGTCGAGGGCAGTCAGGCCAGGGTTCAGTGTCGTTGCCGCTGGGTTTGTCGCGGACTGACGGTGATGAGGTTGGACGATTGTTGAACCATTTGTATGGGGGTCGATGTCTTGGGGTCCCCGTAGCGAAGCGACGGTAGTAGAGGAGGTGGTAGTGGCCGGGTCACTAGTGGCACTTGAGGCTGTCGAGGGCGGGAACCACAGAGGTCTGTGTAGGGTGTCGACTGTGGTTCTCGACTGGAGATCTTGACTGTAGGCTGTATGCTTGGGTAAAAGTTGTGGTTTATTACTTTTGGCTATGGGATGACAGCGACAGTCCCCGTCCGACTGGTATCCCGTCTGACAGAGAGCCGGGTCGGGAGGCCTGGCTGGTGTCTTTACTGTCCGTGTCCGCGTCTGGGTTTGCGCAACGACCTGGGCCAGAAAGGTAGCAAGACGACAGGACGCAGCAAAACTGAAGCCAGAGAGAAGAAAGGTAGGAGCGAGGATGGAGTCCTGGCAGCCAGTGTGGATGACCCGGGGTGGATGATGGGTGGACGGGGTGGGTGACTGGATCCAATGGATGGCTAGGCGGACTGGACGCTTCGAGATCACAGTTCCTCTCAGCACGGGAGGGGCGCGCTCTGATTGGCCGGCCTACCCCAGAGCCCAGACACCGACAAGCCCGTGCTCAGTTTGGCCTCCTTTAAGCCTGCAATTGCCTGGCCGCACGCCGCCTGCAGGCCTGGTAAATTCTGGGGCTGTGAAGTGGAAGTTTTCCGTGTTGGAGGGGATATCCATGATGAGCCGAAGAGAGTACCTCCCTAGGTATTGCCAGTATCCAGTGCCACGAGTGCCTCTTGCCATGGGACGACATCACTCAAGACCATGCCTATGGGATGGATGCGATCCAGATGGGTTGCGATGGGATGAACAGGGCATCACGCACAGGAACCGCACCTACATCCGATAGTAAGCACCCAGGGCACCTTCCCCAGAGGCCCACCAAAATGCCTGCGCGTCTCCATCCACTCTTCTTGTCACTTTGCCTCGTCCATCCCGAAAGCCTTCTGAGGTTCCTTTGACATCCCCAGACTAGTTCCCATTGAGATGCTACACTAGTGCCACATGCTCCGGCTGACCCCGGTGACCTGCAGGACGCTCGGCTATTCGCACGCCTCTCACTTCAGTTCGTGATGCCGTGACTAGAACAATTCGAAATATGTTCGATCATGACAGTCAAGTCCTTTTGCGACGCGATTTTTGTCATAGTCCTCTTGGTTTGCACCAGACAGCTTCAAGCGCGGGACGCAAGCGACGTTGAAGTTTTAGCAGAAGTGGCAGACAATCATAAACCGAGCCCAGCGAGATAGATGCTTCTACACTATTGGAGCCTGTCTTGCATTGCAACGATAATTATATATGTTCTTGGTTTTCCAGATTTCTCATGAACTAGCAGACACTGTGCTGACCCAAAAGTATTTGTCAATCTCCGCAGCTGTCCTGTAACAGTACCATGAGACGCTCCCTGAGCTCGACAGCCCACGTTGCTATTTGCTGGATGGCGCAGAGATTATTCGCTTGGTGTTAGGTAACCGGGGCACACCTGTATCGTGAAGTGCTGGAAGGATCACATCAAAAACGGCAAACCCGCTGTCCAATACCACGCCAGAGACGTGTCTGACACGCAAATAACCCAAAAATATCCGTTACGGTATCTCCCGTCATTCAAACCATCAGGCATTCGTCGCTGTTTCGTGCCGTGGGGAAAGGCCCCAGGCCAAGTGCCCCTGGATTTGACTCCAGCTTCTTAGTTTCATAGCATTGTGGGGGGCTAAAGAGGCATCATGGATGGTTTCGACGCTTCTACATATCTACCCCATGAAAGAACACCATTCAGGGACGTCTACCTTGGATGCTTTTCTATACGCGAAGACTTGGTTACTCCGGAAAGGTCAATTGTCATGAACAAACTTGCCAAGGTAACGATGCCTACATTTGTGCCCCGTGTCACTACTTCCAGGGAATCTTACTTGCCGCCTAGTGGTGCTTCTGAGCTGCCGAATGGCAACACTGGCAATTGAAATCAATGGCTAACAAGTGTTCCACTAGCGCATCTAGAAGACATTCCCGGAATGTTCGTAAGGAACTTCAACAGTCTATGACTCCATGGCTTGTCCATGTCTTGATGGCTTCAGCAAAGACACTCCACTCCTCAAGTACGGAGACGTCATATCCGAGTGTGAGGAGATCCAGGTATTCCACTAGTCGTGTCAAGATATATTCCGGTGGACGGAGTGGCTGAGAATGGGACCCTTACCTCATATCCCTACAATCCAACATCCAGTCTTCGCTCCTTGCGCTTGGGAACTTCCCCGTGGCACAGCATGATCCTGCCTTACGAAGAGACAACGAACCAAGCAGCGTCATTCAACACCATGTTCATCTCCAGACCGTGACAAACATGTTAGCTCGATACCTATCTTAAACTAAAGACAACGTTTAAGAATCATGTTACTATGTCAAACCTGATTTGGCGCCGTCAAGTGCACCTGGATTCCACTGCCCAAGCAGCATGCGAAGACGCATATTGTCATTCTACCAGCGCACCCTGGCAGACGCCTTTGTTCTTCCGCCTCCCTTTAGGTGCCTATATGCTTCTTTTGATTCGTGGTTTGTAGGTCTCCTATTCATGTCTTACGAATCATCACTCCACATGTGTGAAGTATTTCTCTTCCTTCCACTACCCATCTCGCTGTGGTACCGAGACACCGAACGTTCAGCTTCGCGTGGGTTAAGTCGCCTACTAGATAGATCAAAGAGCTACCAGTACACATGAGATGACAAAAGCTCGACAAAGAGACGCTTCAAGTCAATACAATGTGGAAAGCTAGAAATGAGTTCAATCTAGCAGAATCGTACAACTTATCTCCCTCACTCCCAAGCCATACTACCGAGACAAACTATTGGCTGACCACAGAATAATCAAGTGTGACTTACGGGCCACGCGTGATTATTTACAGCTTATTACAGAATACTCAAGGGAAAAACGTTGTGTGCTGATTACTCATCCTTAGCCACGAGCGGCGTGAGTGGGAAGACAGTATGCTATACTTGGACATGGACGGAAAGCACATATCTTGTAGAGATATTCTACCAGATACTTACTCTTGAGCGAGGCACATACTACAGCAAGAATTCCTGGACTCGCTTGCAAGCAGAAAAAAATATGGCACACATCGTCACTGTTGTCATGGCGTTACTGGTTCCTCCTGGCTTGAGGTCTTCATTTTCATATGAGGAAGACCATAGCCGACTGATAACTAGTTGACCAACAACATCTTATCAAACCTCTCTGCAATATCTGGACTCTTCATCTATACACATTGCATCGCTGTCGTAGCAAGTTCGTTCTCCAAGGAAGCCTTTTGTTCCTCATCTCAATGCTTTGACATCTCAACTCTAAACGATTGCCTTAACTTAAGAAAACCAAAACCCCTCTATGTTGAAATATACAAACCACAATAACCACCGATATTGAACCAGCTCCCTCTATCCAGTCGTTAGTTACACTTGTCATGCTTCACCCGCTTCGTGATAAATCAGTGGAGGCAGCCTATAACAACGATACAAGGATTTTGTACAAAGCTCTAGTGTTGTGTGTATCCGGACCCAAATTTCCTCACTGTTCATCTACGATTGTTTCCACTCTTCTGATTACAAGATCAGGCTGTACTTGGATCTCGGAACATTAGAAACGTCAATGCCTCAAGTCAAAGACATACCTCGTGGATGGTCTCGGACTAAAAGACTTTTCACTGAGCACCAGACACGTAAAGTGCTTGCTACATCATATGCATTTTTAGCTAAATCAAAGCCAACGAAAGGTAAACTTTATCCAATGCGGATGTTCCATGTATGTGTCAACATACTCCTCACTCCTCTGATCAAGATGCCAGAGGCTCTTTGTTTTGTCGAATACCTCATCGACTAGACAGCTAGGCCATATAGCGTTATCGTCAGTATCTACGTACTGTCTAACCCATGAAGATTCCCCATACGTACCCCAGCCTTGCCGTTGCGGCACCGGTTCGCCAGTATCACACTATAAAAGAGACACGAGAGAGAACTAGAGGCACGTACCGAGCCTTGATCCGAGACAGGAACGAGCTGGGCTGATCTAGACCTTCCAGGGATATTCTCCACAATGCCTAAGAAGTAACCGCTCAGCGTAATCTTCAAGATAATAACCCAAGCCAGCATACCGGCGGACTAAAAACCACAGAGTTGAACGAACGTGTTGAGACTGAACTTCGTGTCTCTTTTATTCATCTCCCTTTCTGCTCCAAAGCGAATTCATGGCTATCATCATGACATTAGAATAAAAAGACTACCCATAAAAGTACAAACATGTGGCGCCAGCATGTATTCCAAACCGCTAGTGAAGATAAAGATGCAAATCCCGGGCAAATTGAGTTTTACACAACCGCCGAGACTAACCAAAACCCATCATTCCATTTCAACTCCGGTGTTGTTATTCCTTCTCGGAACCCGTCCAAGTAGGGCTGGTATAAGCATTTCTTGGACAGGCAACTTCGCGAAAATCAATTCAAACCTCGAGGGTAACCTTCTGACCCTTGACGCGGCCGATGACTTGCTCAGGGGCATACTTGGGAATGACCTCATCGTCATGGAGCATCTCGAACTCCTCGGTGGCGTCACGACCCATGAAGTTCAGAAGAGCTTGAACACCACCGGGGTGTTCCTCAAGCCAGTTGGTGAGGTCAAGGACGACACCCTTGACGACAACCCAGAGGTCCTCCTTCTTGTTATGCTTGGCAACCTCCTCCATGGTGTACTCCTTGTCGGGGATGGTGAAAGCCTTGGGATTTTCCTTTTTGGGGGCAGCGGCGGCAGTGTCCTTCTTAGGGGCCTCAGTGTTGGCAGTGGCCTGAGCACCGGACTCACCGCCCCACTGGACGGAAATCTTGCCAGGCTGCGAGGGGTCGATGTGGAGAGCAATCTGACCAAGACGGGCAGCGCCAGCGTTGCCCTTGAGAGCCTCCTGGAAGAGGTAGTTGCTGGCAGAGTCACCAGCGACACGGCCGTAAACAACGCAGCCAAGGAGGGAAGAACCACCGAGACGGTTGGCACCGTGAACACCACCGGCAAGCTCACCGCAGGCGTAGAGACCCTCGAAGGGCTTCTGCTCAGAGTTGAGAACCTGGGCCTTGTCGTTGATCTCGATACCACCCATGGTGAAGTGGAGGACAGGCTCCATGATGGAGACGTGGAAGTCGTCGTTGATATCGACGGGCAAGTTATGGAAGAACTTCTTGCCCCAAGGATCCTTCTGCTTACCCTCAGCGATGGCGTTGTAGGTCTGGAAGGTCTTCTGGAGGTGCTCAGGAGTGCAACCGATCTCCTTGGCAAGCTCTTGGCCGGTCATCTTCTTCATCAAACCACGACCAGAGTAGTGGCGGGTGTGGAAGTCAAGGGTCTTGGAAGCCTTGGAGTTGAGGATAAGGCGGACGGGGTACTTGCCCTTATCCTTCTCCTTGTGGATCATGCCGGAGACGTAGTCACGGTGGCCGAGCTCGTCGCAGAAGCGGTCACCATCGCCATTGAGGAGGAGACCACCCTCACCACGAAGGGCCTCAGCGGCGAGGAACTTCCACTTTGAGTTGGGGTCCTTGGGGTCGACGAGACCCGTAGGGTGGACCTGAACCTTGTCCATGTCGATGCCATTACCGCCAATGGCCATGACCATCTTCTGGCCGTCGCCAGTGGCGTGGGTGCCGTTGGTGGTGGCAAGGCCGTAGACATCGGGGCGGTGTTTCTTCAGGAGGGAGTCCTCAGTGAAATCGGCGGCGTAGCCACCAGTGGCGAGGACGACGGGGCCATCAAGGGACTGGGTCTCGCCGTTGACCTCGTACTTGACACCGGTGACCTTGTTGCCCTCCTTGTTGAGGCTGGTAACGCGAGCCTTCTTGATGATCTGGACGCGCTCGGGCTCGGTCTCGGCAAGCTCCTCAAGGCGCTGCATGAGAGCATACGTGATGGCCATACCGGGGAACTTGGCATCGTGCCCACGGTGAGTACGGGGCTGGGAGTGACCGCTGGAGGCAGAGTTAGCCGTATTACTCTTGACAGAGCATTCCGCATAAAGGGATTACCTACCCGAGACGGGAAACGAGAGTGAGGTCGAGCTTGAAGACATCCTGGAGCCACTCAACGGCGGCAGCGGACTTGTAGGTGAGGACTTTGATGAGGTCGGGCCTGGCCTTGTCACGGGCAGACTTAAGGGTATCATCGTAGAACTGCTTGACGGAGTCCTGGATGCCGAGCTCAACCTGTGTCCTGGTGAGGGCACCGTTGATGCCGGAAGTGGCCTTGGTCGAGTTGCCGCCGAAGAAACCCTGCTTGTCGAGGACAACGACGTTACCACCGGCGAGATAGATGGTGTGAGCAGCGCTCAGACCGGACACTGCATGAGAAACAAATTATCAACAAGATGTCCATGAACGACATGACACCGCCAGATGTCGAATGACGGATGTCATGGCCCGCGCGCGGGGTAGGGCGCAGTGCTCAAGTGGGAATGTTAACTTACGGCCGCCGCCAACAACAATAACTCTAGGCGCCATTATGAATATGATGTGTACCTCACAGGAAGACAAACAAACCTGAAGTGAATGAGGATGAAAGAGGGAAAGAGGGATACAGGTCAAGGTAGGTAGGTAAAAGAGAAGAGGTTTGCAAGCGACAGGAACGCAGGCCTGGTTATTATCTGGTTCGTTGTGAGGGAGCGTCGGTCGACCTGGGACCTTCCGAGCCACGGACACTACTACTAAGCAACGAATGGAACAACCGGGGCCGGGTTGTGTTGGTTGGTATTCCTAACACCCTTATTCGTGAGCCGAGGTCGAGCGTGGGTGGGCTCTCAACGAAACGACAGGGGTTAGTACTGGTACCGGGAACAGTGCAAACACGGGCGACGTCCAGCGAGCAGCTGGCAGCGTGAGTGTCGCCCCATAACGGCATTATTGATCCTGTCACTAATGGGGATCCCATCTCCATCTTTTCTTTAACGTGAGGAGTTACCTAGAGGTAGGTACTACTCCTCTCCTCTTTCTAATCTACGTGAGCCAGACAATATCCGAAACAATGTGAAAAGCTGTCACGACATTTTCGCTCTGTTTCCCCACGGCACACTGGCATCCGTCGCCAGCTCAAGCGACACAGAGGAGCCGTTGATCGAGAACATTGTTGAGACAAAGGAAGAACAAGAGATGACGGCTCATAGCATCATGACATCCAAGGGCCTTGTGTGCTTGTGTACTTTGGATCTCGCTGCCGGTTTCTAGCCGAGGACAAAGTGAGTGGACGTGGTGGACTGCGCGCAACTGGCCGTCCAGCAAATGTACCGAGGCTTGCTGACAAAGAGACCCCAAAGCGGACAACTACTGTAAGGAATAGGCAAATAACATCACGCAGCAAACAGGTACAGACCTCTCACCCACTGTGGGGTTCAAGATGCAAAACAGGAGGCTCCAGGCAACTCTCACTCCTGTTGAGATGTATCGAGGCTCTTCATCGAAGTTATGTGAAATTGCTTTCGGAGAGAAGCTTCTTTTTTTCTTTGACTGAAATCTGCCCAAGCTGATGCACACGATGCCACGATGTCCAGAATTCGCCCACTGGGTTTCCATTTTCACTCACCCACACATCTTGGCAAAATGCCAAGCTGCTAGCTATGTACATGGTACACTTGGTTCGCAACCCGCAGTGTGTAGAAATCGCCTTTGGTTACCTGGTTGATCCTCGCTCTCTCCCCGTTCTCTCATTCCCCAATGGAACCGGCCTAATCCCCCCGCCCATCCGGGCTTTAAACCCCCAGGATTCCCCACAGAGTCACGAGCCGGCCAAGCGGCCCAAGCCAGATCATAGCTCCCCACCTCCCCCCAATCAACGAACGCGGGCGGTTGCCGCTTCTCGTGTGTGTGACGGTTGGAGGTGCCCACTCTTTGAAGGCATGTGAAATTCGGCGCAACGTCGCAACCAAAACCCCAGCATTCTCGAGATTCCGCACCAATGAACCATTATGGAAAGCTTGGTTGGCTCAATGCTTCGTCTCCAAACGGAAAGCTGTACACTAGTGTCCACTACCAAGAACAGGATCATCAGATGCGAACAAATGCATCTCGCAACCTGTGCAGACATTGAACCGAACTCTGAGATCGGTCAGGGCAGCATCTCCGGGTCCCTGATACATGACCCTGGCTGCCATGCTCGGTTCAGCCATCAAGGCTTGTCAGATGATGAAACGTCCAATGTCTGGCTCCAGGTCGGGCAACATAGGGCCGGTGTCGTCCTGTTGACTCTCTGTGCTTTCCCGTGGCATGTGATATTCTCCGGTTTTGAAACTAACAGTGTGATCGGTAGATCTATGCTCTGTTGACGATCCGGATGTTGGGTGCTGTTTACGAATGCCCAGCTGTCACGAAACAAACTGTAGTCTGATGAGTGAGCATATGTTCTACCTGTTGCGTGTTGTATACAGCCTGCGCACCGCCCAATGTCAATGTTGTAGCAACCTGTCCCGCCTATATGGGCTTTAAATCAACTTCACGGTGGACCCAAAATATGTCAGGCAACGCAATTTCTAACCGAGCCATACCAACGTGACCTAACACATTTCCAACACTTGTGGAATTGATCATATTAGGTAGTTAGGATACTTGATCAACTTCGGTTCAAAGTCCGCGGACATCATGAAATGTGAAGTACACAATGGCAGCGCCGCAATCACTTACTTATGATTGACTGCTTCCCCGCCCCAGTTCGCACGTACGTCATCGCCGACATCCTATCCAATGGCTCGCTCGCTACTATTCGTTTCGCTTTCTGCCACAACGTGGGATGCGATACGTACGCCTAGTGTACATCTCTGTGCAGGTGATCGAACACCGTCGGATCGTACCATAGAGAAGAGACCTCAGCACTCGAGTTTTGATTAGTGTGACAGCTATGCGATTCACTCCTTACATCGTCCTTGCGCCAACTGCAGCAGTCGCCTTCGCTCAACTCTTTGATCCTCTGCATCGAACCGCTTCTGATATCAAGCAACAAGCACAGTCGCAGTCGGTCAACCACGCGCAAATACCACTCGCAAAGCCTGCCGGAGGACTCGGCCCAGCCATGCCGCCTTCCGGAGCGCCCCAAGCAGACGGCCCCGCGAACGCAGGGGGTGGCAGCTCTGTCATGCTTTCGGATGTTATGGGTCGAGATAAGAGCATAAATCTTTTTGCAGGGTGAGTCGCCTTCCTTGTCTTTAATTGAAAAAAGCGCTGTCGACTCTGGTCGTCCGAGGACTAGCTGACATTTCAAAACATGATAGATTCCTTAGGGGCATCGAGTCTCCATCGCAGCGTCTAGACGATCCGGCCAGGAATACGACTGTCCTCGCGCCCCTCAACTCGGCGATAGAAAACCTTCCACGGAAGCCATGGGAAGACCCGAGAGACTACAGCGCTTTGGGCGCAAATGCATATGAAGGCGACGATGGACAGGGGAGAGCGCAGCGCAACCTGCGCAGGTTTGTCGAGGCTCATTTGATTCCAACCAGCCCATGGCCGGCGGGGGAGAAGATCAAGCCGGTGAGCGGTGATACGGAGGTCTGGTGGGAGGAGAAAGACGGTGTGAAACGTGTAAGAGGACATAAAAGAAACCACAGCACAGCCTCCTCGACCTCATATGGTTATACTGACACTATGGTCACCGCAGATCCAACCTGGAGACATCGAGGTTCTTAGTGTAGGTAGCAGTGTCGTCAATGGCGAAGTGGTAAGTTCACTCGGTTCATTATCTTGCGTCCACTGCTATTGTCCTCACTGGGCATTTTCTTGCCCGGAGTTTGTTTGTCGCGGAAATACTGACCTTGAGACTTGGATCGGACAGTGGATCTTGAAAGGCGTTCGGAATGCCTCCTGAAAGGAGTTGACGACGGAGGTTAGGACGAGGGAAGCTTTCGGGTCTGAATCAGAGCATGGTACTGAACCCTGGAATATCATCAACGGGTGGGAAGTCTGATGATGAAATTGACTCGGTCACATAGCAAGCAATGAATATCTTGGTTTTCAGTGATAATATGGACAACAACTGAACAGGAGGACATCAGGTTTTTGCGATAAAGCTCGCGATAACGAGGTATCGGAGTGGATGCTTGTGGATTTTAGTGCAGTCCGGCTGTCTGAGAACTGATGCCTCTGCTGGTCACCCTAACGGTTATGGTAGGCGGTAGCCGCTGGCAAGTCTTCGAACAGGACCCACCGCATATGACAGGAATGATGATGACACCGCACGTTGACGGCGCTGAAATCGGCCCAAACGACGTCCATGCGGTAGAACACGAGCCTGAATAACAAATTGATTTTTTTCTGAGCTTTCTGCGTGATGGACTTCGAACTTGGTCAACCGTTTGGCCTCGTAAAGAGATATCCGATTCAAACAGCCAAATCCCGTCACCGGTTCTTGAAATGCGCGCCTTGTGTCATATTCGGGCTCTATCGGCGATAAAATAGATACGTAAGGGGTGAGTACGGACGATAAGAAGCCTTGGTGGGTCAGGAGTAGCAGAAGAGTGAATTTCCTGGGTTTTGATTTGCTGGAATCAGGCTTCGCGACATTTTGCCGCCTTATCGCTATCAGTTGGAAAGGCGGAAAGAGATCTGCGCCCCGGTTGCCGGTCTTGCGACACAACACTGCTTGCTACGTTTGATTTCCGACATCTACTTGGTCGCTAAAATCCTCTACTGAACCAAGCCCTGGTTGTCGACAGCCGTACCAAAATCCAAGTTCAGTCGGGATCCTCTTGAGCATTCGAAATCCAGAGGGCATTTGTCCATCGATGGTCGCAGAGAGGTTCTATGACACCTGTCGCAGCTGTACGCGCCAAGCTCCTTCCCCCCCTTCTTCGTGTTCTTCCAGCCCAGCTTTTGCCCTGCCCTGCCTGGTCCCCTGACAGAGCTCCTAGGGCTCCCGCCTCGCCGAACTAGGTGAGGCCGATGTCAGGCAAGCAACGAAGCGCCTGCCGCAGCGCACTCCCGCTTCTAAGCCTTGCCATCCTTTCACCACCTTTGACTTCATCACGCAACCAAACCTTGCTCCTCTCCAAACCCCCCACCAGCGCTCCGGTCACATTCAGCTCATTCCTGCATCACCCCTAACAAATACTTGCATCTCGCGTCGTTGGCATTGCAACTGACGCCGATCCCCCAGAGCCTTCGAACAGTCCAACCACGATGAACTCCCAGCCCCAGCCTCTGCATGGCGGTGGCCCCTTTGATCGCGACCGTGACCGCGAACTCGAGGAGCAAAGACATCGCGCCATTCAACAGGAAGAACTAGCACGACGAGAGAGGGACCGCGAACAGACCCGCGAACGCGAGCGAGAACGTGAGCGCGACGACGCCGAACGTCAGCACCGGGAACCCTATCAACCCGCCACCACCCCTCACCATAGCAGTGCTGGCTCGATCCCCATCCACCAACCGGTCGCCTCCAGAGTTGCAACTACCATTCACAGCCCCGGCGGCTTACTTGCCAATCACGGAGGCTCTGCTCCTTCCATGCCCATTGGCGCACCAACGGGACCTGCTCCCGCTTTCGGCCCGCAACTACAACATGAATCCGGTCGGCCTCCTCCACACGGCGGGCCTGGCGCTGCGCCGACAACCCAACATCAAATGTTCGCCCCAATGTCTCACGGCCCCGGCGGCCCAAATAATTCTTTAGGAGGGTCGGGCGGACCGACGTCTCTCTTTGGCGGTCCTCTCCAGCAGGAGAACGGTCGGGGGTTACAGCAGGACGGTGTGCGTGGCATGCAACAATTGCCCTTTGGCTCCAACATGGGCGCTGGCCACCCCATGCCTTCTGGCCCCAGTGGAATGCCCCAAGGTCAACAGCCGATTCTTAACGTACGTAAAATCATCTGGTTGGTCGGCAGGGTGCGAATCCATTTGCCAGTGAATGCTAACGGTATTCTCAACACAGGACGCTTTGAGCTATCTCGATCAGGTCAAGGTCCAGTTTCATGAGCAACCAGATGTATACAACAAGTTCTTGGACATCATGAAGGATTTCAAGAGCCAAACGTATGTTGGCCCTCCGTGTTCGACAGTCTCCTCTAGAAGCAGGCTAACCGGAAGCAGCATAAACACTCCTGGAGTTATCACAAGAGTTTCCGAGCTATTCGCGGGCCATCCAAACCTAATCCAGGGCTTCAATACATTCCTGCCACCCGGCTACCGCATCGAGTGCGGTTTGGAGAACAACCCGAACAGTATTCGCGTTACGACACCTCAAGGCTCCACCTCGTTCTCGATCGGTGGAAGTCGCGCGCCACAACTCGAACCTGCACAACCAACATCAGGTCCCGGTCAGGCCTTCCTAAGTGCACGACCAGGGAATTGGCCGCCATCTACTGTGCAGCACAGCATTGAGAGCCCCGAGGTGGCGTATAGCGTGCCTGCACAAAATGGCCCTGCTGGATTTTCTGGACCTAACCAGAATGCACCCTTCGAGAATACCAGTCCGGTTCAGCAGAGATCCGTCCCAGCCGGCCAGAACGGGGCTGCTGGCACCCATGCTGGGCCAGCGCCTAGAAATGCGCACACGCCTACACCAACGGTGGCCGGCCAGCCCAACTCAAACGGCAGCGTGGCTCATCAAGCAATCATTGAAAAACGGGGGCCAGTTGAGTTTAATCATGCAATTAGCTATGTTAACAAGATCAAAGTGAGTGCATTCCCGTTGGCCAGCAGCGACATAAGTGGGAGCGGTTTTCGTGGCAAGGATGGGGCTGGGAAGTACTTGTGGAGACTTGATCGTCTGAACTTGACATGGAACTTGAGTACGGACTCAAACTGACTCTTTTCAAGAACCGTTTCCAGGACAAACCCGAAATCTATAAGCAATTCCTCGAAATCCTGCAAACCTACCAGCGCGAACAAAAACCTATTCAAGACGTCTACTCTCAAGTGACCACTCTGTTTCACGCGGCGCCCGACCTGCTCGAAGATTTTAAGCAATTTCTTCCCGAATCGGCCGCGCAAACGCGACCGGCCGGCCAGCAGCGCCCGGAAGACAGCGCGGCGATGGCTGTCACGACGCCAACTCCTCAACCAGGCCTTCCTGTTCGTGATCAACAGCCTAAAATGCCACCGGTCGGCAACTTTGCGCCTCCGCCGAGCGCCAGCAAGGAGAGCAAGAAGCGTGCCCGTGTGGAGAAGGCCGTTCCCACTACCGCACCTCCTGCATCCGAGCAGCCGCCCGTCTCGAGTTTGCGGTCAACCATTCAGCCAGCGGCACCCACCAACAAGCGAGCCAAATTATCACACAAGCCCGTCGTCGGCGATGGCAACTTTATCGAACCTACTTTAACTCCTGTCATGCCGGAACCGCTTGGTCCGATCCCGCTTTCGACCTCCGGCCAAGATGATGTACAATTCTTCGAGAGGGTCAAGAAGCATATCGGCAACAGGACCGCGATGGGCGAGTTTATGAAACTCATCAACCTGTGGAATCTTGACCTGATCGAGAAGGACGTGTTGATCTACAAGGCAAATCACTTCATGGGTGGCAACCCCGAATTGCTGAATACCCTCAGGAACATGCTAAGGCACACCGGCACGGAAGAGGTAGTTGAGAACCGCCCTGAACCACCGCCAGGCAAGGTTTCTTTGAGCAACTGCCGCGGTTTCGGTCCCAGCTATCGCCTTCTTCCTAGGCGGGTAAGTGCCTTTTCGTAAAATAGCACTATTTCTTTTCTGGCGCGCTAACTATCATGGGATTACAGGAACGTCTCCGTCCTTGTAGCGGTCGCGACGAACTGTGCAATTCGGTACTCAACGATGGTTGGGCCTCACATCCGACGTGGGCTTCGGAAGACTCGGGCTTCGTTGCGCATCGCAAGAACGGTTACGAAGAGGGACTCCATCGTATCGAAGAGGAGCGTCATGACTACGACTTCTACATCGAAGCCAACCAAAAGTGCATCCAGCTCCTGGAGCCGATCGCCCAACAAATGCTTACGCTTACCCCCGCGGAGCGAGCACACTTCAAGATGCCTGCAGGTCTTGGTGGGCAGAGTACTTCGATCTACAAGCGAGTGTTGAAGAAGATCTACGGGCCAGAGAAGGGCTGTGAAGTCGCCAACGAAATGTTTAAGAACCCTTTCGCTGTTGTGCCCATCGTGATGGCTCGTCTCAAACAAAAAGATGAAGAGTGGAGGTTCACCCAGGTACGCATCACCATTCCCCTGACCTATGATTCGCTGTTACTATGTGTTTGCTAACCCAATAAATAGCGCGAATGGGAGAAAGTTTGGCAGAGCCAAACCGAAACGATGCATCTCAAGAGCCTGGACCACATGGGTATTCAGGTGAAGACGAACGACAAACGCAATCTTTCCGCAAAGCATCTGGTCGACGTTATCAAGACCAAGCATGAAGAACAACGCCGACTGCGAACGACCAAAACAAAGATACCTCGTTACCAATTCCTGTATGGGTTCCAAGATCAGGATCTTCTCCTTGACCTCCTTCGTTTCATGGTCATTTATGCGAATGTGGGTGGCCAGCACAACGCTCTGGAGAGGAGACGTATATTGGAGTTCTTTGAAACGTTCATCCCGGCATTCTTTGACCTTCCAGAAGAAAAGGTACAAGAAAGACTTGCTGATATCGACCAAGATTCTGGAGAAGAGGATGAAGAAGACTCGGCGCCCGCTGAGCTCACCAATGGCAGGACGCGACGCGGTAAAAAATCCGACCTACTTCGCGGCGTCCTTGATCCGGGCCGTAATGGTAGTCGTAGCCGGGGCCAAAAGGAAGATAGCGCAGCAACAGGAAGCAAGGAGACGACACCGGATGTCGGGTCTGCTAATGAGGAGGAGATGCCCGATGCGCCAGATGATCGGGCTGTCCCGGAGGTCTCGAATGACCGCTGGTTGCCCACGATTGGTCCCATCGTCTTGGAGAACACCAAGGATGGCAAGCCTGATGGACTTGTCGATGTCGATGGTGAACTGAAGGCGGATGCACCCTTTGTTCGTGCCTGGTACAACTTCTACTGCAACCAGAACATGTATGTGTTCTTCACTGTTTTCCAGACGCTGTACAAGCGCCTCGAGGAGGTCAAGGCCAGCAAAGACAGCGTCCTTGAGGAGATCCGCCGGGAGACTGCTGTTAAGCCCGCAAAGATCCTTGGCATGGTCAACCCAGGCCTACACTACTTCGACGACAAGAACCCGGAGACATTCTGGCCTCGTACCGTCGAGCTGATTGAAGATTTCATCAACGGCGAGATTGACGAGAGCCGGTATCAAGACGTGCTCCGGCACTACTATCTTCGCAAGGGATGGACAATTTACACGATCCAAGATCTGCTCAAGACACTTTGTCGCATTGGTCTTGCCTGCAACAACCCAGACGCCAAGGGCGAGAAGACCAAGGAGCTCGTTAGGGCATACCTGGAGAGTCGTCAGCAGGAGACTACCAGCTTCCAGAACGAGATCAGTGCTCGTAAATTTGCGGAGAAGTGCATCAAAGATGCCGATATGTTCGTCATCAGCTGGGTAAGTATCTATTGAGAGAAAGTTGAATGTAACAAAATACTAATCTGTCATCAGTATCCGGGCAAGAAGGAAGCTTCCGTGCGCTGGCTGAAAAAGGAAGACACCACCTTCTACATGGACGAGATGGAGCGCATCCAGCAATGGCAGTACTATATCTCTTCTTACATGCGTCAAGAGCCCACGGAAGGAGTAGATAAAAAGCAACTCCAAAGGGTATTCCTCTCCCGCAACCACGCCGCGGCGACAGAGGGTATCTCCGAAGATGATTATAAACCCAAGCCACTTGCATATGACGAGGGCCTGGTGATTAGGATTTGCCTCAATTCGTCCAAGATGGTGTTTGAAAAATTCACTTCGGAATGGTTCGTCTACAACACCACCACCTTCGACTCGGAAGAGGACAAGGTTTTCCACGAGGAGAAGCAGGCGTTCCAGAGAGAGCTGCGTGATGAACGCCTCAAGGAGAAGTTTGTGACAAATAACTCCTGGATGAAGGGCCTGAGCCATGAGGAAGTCCAGGCAGCCAAGGACGAGTTTCAGAGGTGGAAAGAGGGAGGCATCGGTATGGTCGAGTCGCAGCAGCAGCCGCCCCCACAATAGCCACAAGCCCCACCGTGGTATTGCGGTCATGGGCGGCGTCCTTGAGAACGAAGGGATAGGGTGAGTGACGGATGCTCATGTGACGGGCCTCAGCGTTTCATCTCCTTTCGGCAGCAGTAGTACGCTCTGGGTTGCAGCGTTGGATGTTGGTTCAGATAATTTGGTGATGGAATTTATCAGGGAGTTGAGGGAAGCGGTACGATTTGCTTTAGTCGTGGCTTTTGTTTTATTTCCGTTCAGCCTAGGCGAAGGACCGTGTGGGTATCAACAGAACAGAACAGGCCTAGGTTGATTATGAAATTTGAATCCAACTCGATATTACAGAATGAGATATAGACAAGGAAGCATACTGAGAAGGGGGGAAGAGCAAAGGAAGGGGTGGGTCTCGAGAGGACCAAGTGTAGTAAAGGGGACTCTCCGCGTAGGTACAGGCTTCTCATTACTAGAGGCTGTCCCTTGACGAGGGGTCAAACCCGCTATCAACGGGAATTATTTGATCACATTCTGTCAATCAAATATAGTTGTGTCTTTCACGTTAACGCTAGTCATCTCGGTATTTGTGCTGCAGAATACTGACTGTAAGGTCCCGACAGTCTAGTTTGCGTAGTACCCCCTTTCGACTGCGTACGGGTAAGTATGAAAGCTCGGACCACGTAGGTACTTCGATGGTCATACTTGGCAGGCACATTACTTGTAACCACCACCACTCACTTCTTCCTTAGCTCACGCAAGCTCCAAACCAAACGTTCTTCCTCTTCTTCTTGCTTTCCAGTTTGGCGGCTTTAGGTTGGGATCACAGTACCAATTAGCCGCATGGAAGAGTCGTAAACCACTCGCCTCATTGTTTTCTTCTTCTTTGCCGGTCAACCCCCATCCCCCGTCATGCTTGTCCGGCGGCCGCCGCCCTTCGGCGTCACTCTCGGCATCGTGCCACGGTGCTTTCCACGTTCAGTGCCAGTCACGATGACGACAATACCACTTGTCAAAACAACACCCACCCAAAATGTTGTTGCAATCTATCATGGGGCGGGCCCGTCACAGTCACGATGGCAATTACAGCATTTTCGTCCTATGTCTAGTGGACCGCTACCTCAGGCTCAAAATACGCCAGCAGTCGCAGAAGCCGCCCGGACTCGGGGTGGGAAGGGGAATTCTTCTTGGCGGATGATGCAGATTGTTCATGTCAGATTGGCTTCAACTTCAACTCGGTCGTCATCGGAGGTGGTGCAAAATAAAAAGGGGGGGAATCAAGCGCAAGCGCGGGCTCAGGGTCAGGTTCAGGCACAGGGTCAAACTCAGCTACGACCGACTGCTGCGAATGGGGTCCCGCAGCTTAAGGCGCCAAATCTCGGTGAGATTTTCTCTGTGCTTTCTCACCCATTTGGACGGGGTGAAACGAAGTGGGCAGTGAAATAGATGGAGATGTTGAAGCTAATAATGGGAGTTTGTTAATTTGCAGAATATCCCGAGCGTTTGCTTATTTACAATGCCGGCAAGGGGAGTAAGTATTGATGGTTCTTATTTCGTGGGATCTGTTTCTCAGGTGGAATCCGTGTGGCTCGAGAGATACAGCGGAGGTGCCATGGTCTTGGTCGAGAAGTCATGTCATCAGAGAGTTTACTTCAGATAACTCGGCCGTTTTTTCCAGTTACTCAAATTCATTGAACATTAACACTGGTGCTAATATGATATACTCGTCCAAACAGAAATCATTTTCATCGCCCTCCTCAAACTCACCACGGTACTGATCTTCTCCGCCTTCGGCCTCTTCGTTGCTCCGGCTTACATTGTCAACGGGTCTCCACTCGCCGGCGTTGCTAGTTTGTTTCCCCCATCCATCCCTCCCATTCTTCACGAACAAACTTCTGACTACTTCCCAGTCTTCACCTGCGGTCTAACCCCCTTCCTCTTCCTCGCCCACTCCTCCCGCCCCTTCGTCGCTCAAATCCACCTTACCAAGCTGCCCCCATACGCCCGCCTATCCTCAGACGTCCTCCTCCGCTTCGCGCGCTCTCTGCCCCCACAGTCTGCTTCCCGTCTCGAATTTGTCACCATGTCACTGATCGGCAAGCCCCGCGTGAGCAGCGTAGCCATATCGGATATACGACCTGTTCCTTCCTCCCAGAAGGGATTGTTCAAGAAGGTGAATTTCGTCCGGGTTGATCAACCCCCTGCTAGCTCTACAATAACAGAAGCAAAGGGCAAGAGCAGCAGCAAGCCATTGACGTCCGCACAATGGAAAATCCAACAGCAACAACTAAAAGACGGAAAACAGCATGGATGGAGGCAAAAGATTCTCTCCTGGACTCGGTTCAAGACGGTCAAAGAGTTTTATGTTACTGATGTTCCCCAAAAGACGGCGGAGAAGAGAGGGGTGAAGGAGGCGAGGGTTTGGGAGGAGATTCGGGGTTTGATTGAGAAAAGAGCGATTAGGGAGGCGGAGAGAAGGAAGGGGGGTAGGTGAAGGGAGGATGAGAGCCGAGGAGGGAGTAGGGACTGGTGGAAGCGAGTTGCAGGGTGTAGTTGTGGGTGTATGAATAGTTGCCAATAGAGTAGTGATATTGTCGGCGTGGCCAGATGATGATGCTTGTATCTGTGAAAGGTGATGTGTGAAGGGCTCATTGACATCATAGACTTGATAGGGGTATAGGTTACTCCTGTGGTAAGATCGATCGCTTACATGTTAACATTGTAACATTGGACTGACCGTGCTTTTAAAACCACGATAACCTTTCAGTGAAAACGTTTTCTCTATACTACGGTCATCCTATAGAACTATTCCCATCCAATGCTTCATGTAGATCATTAACCGTCAGCCCAACACATAGCTATCCGTCCCAGCCAGCACATGGCGCGTACATTTCTGATCACAACAATCAAGTCTCTCAACTCTGACAACACCACCTCACGAACCATTATTGACACCAAATTTGCAAGCCTCCTGATGGATATGTAACGCAACTTTCGCCTGACCGTGGTATAGAACTAATAATACAAATGCTGCAAAAGATATCCATAAAGAGACGAATGGTATCCATATTTTCGACCACCGGAGAATGGTGAACGTACAAGAGAAAAAAAAGACCTCCACTGCTTGGTGATCAAGATCCTAGATCCCACCACCCCTACGGTCTCGTCTTCCGGGGACGGAGAATCAAAATACTTTCCTCCCCGGATGATGCCCTGTTGATAGTTCCCTGCCGCGGTGTACCAGCCACCGTCGACTGGGTTTTCTTCTTCTCTTATTTTTCTTCTCCGATCGATATATACCTGATACAGATATTCCTTTTTTGCCCGTGCTGTCGAGAAGATATGACAAAATAACGAGAACAAGCCATTTCTGCTGATGCTTAGGTCAAAAGTCGTTATCATAACATCATTGAAACTCTGTCAGTGTTACACAAGCATATATGTCATGCAATGCCGTTTTGATTCGCCCGTAACCTGGTATATCATTAACCAGGAGACTATCAAATCCTGGCAGTCTCAATGTTCTCGTCCCGTGCAACAGTAGTCGGGTTGTGTGGGTGCTGGATTTGGCGCAAGCATGTGTGTGACGCGCTACGCCGCGCGATGAATTGTCCAGCTGTTATCGGTTACGCTTGACTGGCATATGGCCATCGTAATCGCCCCATGAACGCTTGAGGCCTCCCTCGTAGACACTAGCCACAGACTCTTGCCACATCGCAGGGGTGACGAAGGTCTGTACAGGGTTGGTTGGGTACTGCGGCATCTGCTGTGAAACGGGAGAAAGCTGAGCCTGGGCCGCCTGCAAGTCTTGGAGGCTAGTTTCCGAGGCGCCAGAAGAGGGAAGAGACAATGGACTGGCATGGTTGGTGAGCTGAGAAGGATGCTGAACCTGGGGATTGCCAAACTGGGCATTCCATTGACTAGGATACCGGTTAGTATCGAAAGGACCACAAATAAGTCTTTTCTCTTCCGAATGACTTACTCAAAAATGCGAGACGGGTTCCACGCGGGGGCGTCCGTGAGTGGCATTGTCTGCGCCATGGAAGGTGCTTGTGTCCCGTGACCGGAAGACATCATTGCAAGTGACTGTAAATCATGGGAGTCACTCTTGCTGTCCATTGGGCCAACCGAAATGGGCGGTGAAAGGGGATGAGTGGTGTAACTAACGTGAGAATGTTGCACATGCGTATCGAGCTGATGGTCGATGGAGCTAGTCCTCGACATATCGGATCGATACGACGGCCCTGGTGGGCTTGGATGCGAGGTTGACGATGGGCTTCCGTAGGGGAAGCTAGGCTTCAGAACAAACGGCTTCCTGATATCCTGGGAAAAGGCTTCCCGAACAGAATCAATCTGCCGCTGCATATCGGGCATTGGCCAAGCACCCATACATTTCTCTAATACCCGCATGTGGCGTGTGAAGTACTCTCGCGACTCCGCGTTGAGGGCCGGATCCGGTGATGTCAAAGCGACCTAAAGTCAGCGTTAGTAGGGTTGATCCAAGATTAGGTGAAAGCGGCTAAAACGGCAACGAAGACATACTAAATGCAATACGATACAAGCGAGGACCGCGTATAGCGTGAAGTTGATACCTCGCTGCATGCACTGTAACCCGGCAATGCCAAACTGGTTGATAATGCCTTCTTGTAACCTGCAGAGCATCTTGGCGGCTCGGTATGAGACCAGCATGTGCTGCTTCCATTGACCTCCAGTACCTGTCGGCGTCATGTGGGCCAGCTGAGGCCTGTAGAACAAAATGATGCTAAGGTGATAATACGAATGCATATTGCCGACAAACGAGGAGGGCAACCACGGAGGCGACCCATCAACAGGGAAATCAAGCTGAAGGTCATGTGGTAGGTCAGTTAACCATGCGTCCATGGCAGGCCTAATCTGAACGAATTCAGGGTCGATACCCCACTCCTTGTTTCTCTTGAGGCGTGAATAAACTCTGCTCATCCGGCAGACGTTGCGAACAACCCTAGAAAAGTAAACAAAATTTCGGGATACATGATACTCCGACGTGTCGCCGTTGGGCAAGGGTCTCGGAACTTCAAAATTGACAGTCTCTTCTTCGACCGCAAGATCCGTTTTTCCTAACAAAATATCAGTATCTCGTGTGCCAGGAAGAGAAACCCTTGACTTACCTTGAGGAGTACCAATCATGATCTCCACGATGAAAATAGTCTGCCAAATTCTGTCTCTCAGCTGACACTCTGCAGGACTTAAGCCACATGATCGACCGGCTTGGTGATCAGCATAGTGCTCGTCCAGCCCAAGGTCCTTAGCCATTGTAACACATTGGACAATACTCATCCAAGAGCGGTAGTAGTAGCCCTTCTTCGGTGCCTGTTCCCTCGCCTTGAGAAGGATCAGTGATGCCTGAAGGGTGCTCAATCGAGGTACATCAAGAAACGAATCGGCATGTCCTTGAATCAAAAAAAAAAAAAAAAATTAGCTGATGAGCAAATAGAGCAAGGACGGGACTCGTACGTGTTGCAAGATAAAGCCACTGCTGGCCTTGCGCCGCATCATCAGCCAGACGATTAGCAATCGCAAAAATGGCCTCGAGGATAAGGGGCGAAATAGCCTCCCGGTTATTGTGCCACTGATGATAGAACTGATTCTTGTCCAGCACTGGAACATAAGGATGCGTGTGCGTAAAGTAGAGATCGAAGTAGTGGAGGCACAGATCTTCCGACGGCATCAAAGCGGGCGGTATGCGAATCTTGCCCGCCGTCAAAGGCGGCAGGTTCTTCGTAAACTGGTCCTCTTCGGTCTCTTCTACGGAGGGCTCTTCATCATCGGCCGATCGCATTTTGCTGTTCAAATACGGAGCTAGAACCATGTTAAACCTGAAAAGCTCTCGAACTCAATAGCAGCCGCCTATTCTCACCTGTTCCTGCTTCGTTGACCTTGAGCGAACCCAGAAGGTCTGCCAAGTCCTGCTGCGCATATTCGGATTGAAAGTCCTCAGGTGAAGAAGGATGTTGAGAAATTTGAGGTAGCTGTGACACCTGGGGTACCTGGTGCATGGAGGGGGGCGTCGGAAAGGAATCCGGGGTCGCATATGCAGAGTGCACGGCAGCATACTGGAGGTTCTGGGGTACAGCTTGCGGCTGCGTGTACGGCACTGTATGGTACAGCGCTGCCGTGTCCTGGAAGGAGGTTTGAGGAGGATATATCGGCGTGGCTTTGGGAGCTTGAGCATGCGTAAGGAGCTGTTGGTGGTCGGTCAAAGCCAGTTGCTGCTGGTGATAACTCTCCGGAACAGATGACGAGTCGAACTGGGCACGTGGAGGTTCGTAAACTTGGGGTTCGGCGGCTCCATCAAATCCATTTGGCCGAACGCAATGAAGCTTGAGGCGGATGCATGCCGAACAGGGCCAAGTGTTGGTGGTGGCGGCGTCGCATTTGATCTTCCTTCTTCGGCATCCTTCGCAGGCTCTCATAACTACATAAGACCATCAGTCTCAAGGTCTTGTTTGGTGTCTTGATGCCTCCTCTGTGAGACAAAAAAAGGGATTGTCCCAACGAGGAAACAACACGGGTGGACTATCGGGTGGGTGTATGTTCGCTTTCTTGCTTGCTTGAAATTGATTGATGCTGAGAAAGTACATACCCTTCAACCGCTTGTGGCGATTGTGTTCGTCAACGAAGACATAGTCTAAGAATCAAACAGCAAACTGGTTAACGGACGTTCTCTTATTTTCCTAATTTATCCAGGAGACAAGACTGATAGGGGTCGCACTTTTCTGAGTTTCGCGTGGCGGTTGCTGGTAAGCAGGCGGCGCAAAGGTAAATGCACCCATCTGCGAAGTCTGCGGGAGCAGCCGGCGCACTGACGGGTCGTTCGACATGCTCAGAAGAAGCAGCGATATCGTCTGATGTCGAGTGTAGAGGTAAGATGGGATGACAGTTTCAGAGTCTGGTGCTGTTGGCGAATGGCGGGAGAATCAGCGCTTGCACATTGGCTTCTCGCTATCCTTGGTTCATGAGTCGGATCGGTTTAAAAATCGTCCAAATGTCGCGGTTGAGTCCTAAAAATGGGTGTAGTGTATTCCTGGCGGCACCGTTCGATGTGTTCGGGGAACAGAGGTGTATCCGAGATGTCGGCGCGCGAATTGAGTTCGAGGGTCTGATGTGGGCGGTGTTGAAACTGAAGTTGCTGGGCCGGCTCAATTGATGATGTAGTAGGCAGTGGAGGCCAGTGCCCGTGCTGGTAGGGAAGTGGCAGGTAGAGGTAGTTTTATTTGAACGTTGCGTTGGCCGGCCGATAGTAGCGTTGCTGGTGGAAGGAGCGTTTAAGTTGTACTGACCACCTCTGCACTATCTCTATCTAGAGGTACCTATGTGGCACTAGCAGGTGTATGGACTTCCCAAGTAGTACAGGTAGGTAGCGGTGATACCAAGAGTAGCCTCAACTGTCGATGGCCAGGGGCAGGGACAAGCTGACCGCACACAGCAAGCGCGTATACAACTTTTCCACGGCGAGGCAGTATATGTCGCAGCTTGTCAGTGGTAACAGTGAAGGAACTGAGTGAAACAAGGGGGGATGGGAGGGGATTTTAGGGATCACGATGGATTGAGCTTTTACAGGAGGTTTAGGCTGTAGAGAAAGGTATATCCGTACACCACCAGGGAAGCCAGCCCAACTACCTATTACCTTTCCACTGGGTCGTCGTCTGCGGATGGATGCGTTCTCCCGGCCCCAGCTCGTCCCTGATCTTTCACGGTGGATTGGTGCAGTGATTTGGGGTGGCCGTATGTAGTGTAGTGGCGTGGCATACAGTGTGCACTTACGGCCCGCCAAGGTAAACATTGTGCAGCATAAAAACAGGGCCTGGCTGACGACGAGGGGGTTCACCCATGCTACAAACTACACTAATCCCAATGGAAGACTGGCTTCATCAGGATCAGCCATGCGGCCTGGACATGGATCCCCTAGCGCTCAATTGGACTCGCTTTGTTCGGGGGTTTAAATCGTGCTCTCCGCTGTTTGGACACGCATTTCACTATAATCTCTACAGAACACCTCATGCAACTGACTTTTGACACTTCTTAGGATCCTATCTCAAGCCATGAATGACGTGTGCCGAGTTTGCATGTCTTGAGGTACTTTGTACAGACTGTGGCGGTTTCTTTCCATGAACAGCAAAGAAGACACCGCAGTCGGTGAACACAGAACAAAGCCGTACGGAAGGACTCGCTGGATGTGTACATGTCAGAAGCGCTGGGGTATATTACCAAGTTCCTTGCCCTTACATATACCTCGTGCCCGTTGTCTTGGGGGGGTTGCCATTACTAATACGCATGTGTACGAATATAGTAATTCGTGGTGGCACCTCGATGTTACTCTACGACATCGCACTACACGCCAGCCTGAGAACCTAGAACAAGTTGCTGCAGATGGGAAGATTGACCAAAAGAATGCATACCTAGCAGAAGTCTGGCGGCGGGACAAGGAACCCGCCCCAATGCCGCCGCCCCAAAGCACATGAAACATACGTGACAATGGCATTTGGCTGGTCCCGCAATGGAACCCTAATTCCACTGCTACCGATGGGAACCGACGGCAGCAGCTCCTCGACGGAATCAGCTCTTTTTACTGTGTTTCCGTGCAAGTGGAATGCTGCCGAATACATAGGTGCGCAGAGGTAGATATGGGGGACACCTGGGGACGGCACCTTGCGGATACTGTAGAGCATCAACCGCCGTAGACCTCTTGCTATTCTAGAAGCCAGGTGAGCGAGGCAACCTGCATTCGTATCCGGTGTTCCTTAAGCCGCAAATACTGCCATTCGCTGTTGGATAGGTTCTTCGCTGGTCCAGCTTACTATCGTACGGGGCAAAGAAATGACAGTGGCACATGGCCAACATAATCACAAAGTTCGTGCTCTGCTGTAAGGTATCCGGGTGCTTGATGACGACTTTCGGGGGCTCCCTCTTGGTTCCCGTCGTTGCTGGCTCTCTAGCCCCAACTGACGGGATGTTGATGCTGATACCCACTGCAGATTTGACGGAGGCGGGCGGAACTTGAGGTGGGAGAGTGGATGTTGTGATGGCGGGGATGTGCGGGAGCGAGGAGAGTGGCCGCGTATGGAAAGACGGACTCAAGGGGGCAGGTTCAAGAAACTGTGGTCCCGAGGTGGGGAAGAACTGGAAGAATGGGCCTCGAATCAGCATCTCTAATACCTACCTAGGTAGGTACCTACCTATTCACTCACCCCTCTCCTGCCGCCATGGAATGTACCCGTAGCAGCCCTTTGGGTTGCATCCAAGGTGAGCGTATCGACCATGGCTTCGAAAACAAGCAAAGTATTGTTTGTACTTGGCTCACGCTGGGTTCAAGATGAGTGTGCGAATAGACGCTGTTTACGCAGTATAGGCACTTCTAGGCCTACAGCTTGTCTTGGTGAGTAGAAGGGGATGTTTTTTTATTTTTTTTTATTTTTTTGACACTGACCTCCTCAGTTGACAAGGTAAATCTGGAAAGACCTCTGGGCGAGTTCACGGTAACCGGCGAAGGCATTCCCTAGCAACTCGACTACACTGAGCTCATGAGTGTTAGCGAGAGGAATCTCCATTACCACGGTCATGTGTCAAACAATCTTTGAGAAGCGTCTACCGGTGATTTTGCTTTTCTACAGTCAACTGCCCTGGCGGGATATTTCGCATGCCTGCCCATCTGGGCATGGGAGATCGATCGGGCAGAACGGGCAATCATCACAGCGGACCTTGAACCCTTTCCTACTTTTACTTAGTGCTCCTGCTTGAGTCCTGGGACCCTGTCTCACAGCGGGAATCGCACGATAACGCAAGAAGGCTAGCCGCGAACCCTCGGGAAAGACACTGCATGGATCCAGTCGAACATCTTGGCGTATCTGTTGAGAGCAGTTTGTTTTACGAGGCTGCTCTTAGCGTGGTGTCCCTTTCCCTCACTGCCCTGGCTGACAAAGCAAAGTCCACCGAACCAAATTAACAAGGGAAGTGTCTATCGAAGGACCACGCCAACAATCAACACGAGGTTGAAGTGCACAAGCTAGGACCGGCAGGCTGATGCCGGCCCATGATATGGCGGGATGAACTCCAAGTGGTCATTTCGCTGATAGTGACTGTCATGTGTAGTTGAGTCGAGTTGTCGTCAAGTGCGGTCAAGTGCAGTGCAAGTTCGCAACGACGCCACAGCAAGCAGCATTAACAAGGGTTAATCGGGCCATTTAAAAGGCTGTCACATTTCGACCGAAGGAGTGGGGTGGACAAGCCGCCCGAGAGGGAGGAAGGTTACATACCGCTATGCAGAGGATGGCGGATGGTCTTTCCATCAATCCGTCCACCAACGTCGTGCGTGGAAGTCAAACTACAGTAGGCAACCCTGTAAATGCAAGTCCCAATAATTGCAAAGACCCAGTAAGTGCTAGGAATTTCCGTGCCCGGATTATTTTAGTATGGTATAGCCCACTAACTGCTAAATGCAAGCCGCCCAGCTGGCCGGCCATAGAAATTTGCACCTAACAGGGCAGCTGACAGGGGGTTATAGCACCCCTGCCACCTACATTAGGCTATCAGAACCCCCTATCAGAGCTGTCACTGGCTGTTACAAGCCCCTGTGCAGGTGCCAGTAAGTGCAAGGACCCAGTAATTGCAAGGAAAATGCCTTGCCCCAATTCCTTGTATTTACTGGGTTGCCTACTGTAGGTACCTTCCCTTCTGGGACCGTTACACAAGACTCTTTCGACAGCTGCGACTGGACTACCTCTAGCAAAGGCACATCCGGAACCGATTTTCTCAACATCTTCTCGAAGACGCCTTTTGAAGATTGACATGAACAGCCAGCCATCCATGCAGACCCTGTTGTGCGGCAAAAGGAGACAGGAAGGCGAAATTAGGGCACAAAGGCAACTTTGAACGCCGTCTGTGCAGTCTCTCCCCGATGCCAGCACAACCACGCTCGAGCCACGTACCTAAATACCTAATCTAGTGGCTACGCAGTATACCGCTGCCACGCACTGGCCAATCCCAGACCACTCTCACCACCCACCAACTTGAAGATTGAATGTTCGGCTCGCCGGCGGACTTAGGTAAGAATCAAGACGACGGCTCGAGGGTATGCAAGTCTCAACTCGCAATTCTACCCACATCCACGCTTGCGTACACTACTCTTCTGTTCTCACCAAGTGAATAGAACATCCAATCACCATGTTCATCTAAGTACTTCAACCCACCACCTCCACCTCGGGCGAGACGATTGTGATTGCAACCCGACATGGGTTGAGGCTTGGGGCACACCCGGTTGACGGCGACCTCCACAAGTCCCAATGCAAGAAATGCCAGAAGAAATGTTCTTTCTTGAAAAAGCAAAGAGGAATCGCGGAGGAGTGCTTGAGAGAGGTGCTGTCGCATGGCATGGCACACGCAAGGCACGCACGCACTACCTATAACGCTCATCCACTACACCCAGATATAAAGTCCTCATGGCCTTGGTATACTTGGCGACTAGGTACTCCGTCACACGCAACCACAACATGTACCCCAGGCTCGGGAATCCTGTAAGGCACAGGGCTGATACTGCGGCCACCATGGATTAAGGTTTGACATCACCGAGCCATATCCTAACATTTCTCGGATCCTTAATCCTATTCCAAGCCCTTTGTAGAAACATCTCCGAGAAGGGGACCTTGAGAGGCTGAAGCATTACAACCTTGGGGCCGCCGAAGGCTGTCGGGCAGCCAAGGAGGATGCACCACATGACAACAGCTTGGGCGGGAGTCGCGGGAGCCAACGACGCCAAGGCACTGTCTCCTTCACCCGACCCTGACACTCTCTTTCCTCTGGGCTTTCACGCAGGGGTTATGGAAGCTTCCAACTTCTGTCCAGTGGTCTTACTAGCGTACAGGGAATTCCCCACGCCTTCCAATCTCGTCATGTAGGGGATATCGGTTGCATGAATATGAGGAATGATCAAATTCCCATGTTTGGGGTTCTTCCTTTCGGTTTTGTGAACAGGCGCGGCGGCGAAGTAGTACTCGATAGCTAGAGGTATCAATACGTAAAGAGCATCTCTACGAGTACCCGCTTCTGCCGCTCAGAAGGCACCGCCTCGCGGGTACAACCGTACGGATCTATATCAACGACATTATATTCATGGCCATACCGCAACCGCCTCGTCCGCATCCAACTATGGGAAACATGACGCCACAACGTAAGCGAGATCCAAGTATTCGGAAACGCCGTGCGATAGAAAATGAAACCTTATACTAGGAGGGAGAATTACCTACCGGGACCTATCTATGTCAAAAACGTACCTGTACAGCCACAGAAACTCACCTATCGTAACCTCCCGCGCGCTGGTCAGGAGAGGGTTTGATCAATGCTTCGCTCGGCGCACATAGGTGTCTTGATCTGCTCGGTGATCTCCGATCTTCAATGCCTCCTTCGTCGCTTTCACGTTCGACAACGCACAGGGCGACACACGTCCTCTCCGTGTAGGATGTAAGTAGGCTGACAAAGGCAAAGCTGGCGATAGGGGACGAAGAGGGTTGACCCGTTTTAATACGACATTTTCCAGTCTTGTACATACAGAGTTTCTGGCATGTCGTTTGAAACTCATGAGCACCCCTTTCTTGATCTCAGAAGACTGTGTGCCCCTCAGGGCCCGCCCTGGGCCTGGTGGGTCTGGCAGGACGGCATGACCCGATAGCACCTGCGGTTGAAGAGGCACCGCAACCTGCAATGCGGGGAACGATACACAGACGAGACTGGAACGCTTGTCCACTCGCTGAACGTCATCCACCAGTGCCGCCGTTTGACTCCCGCGCACGGCAACGACAAACGTCAACTTGCCCGAACCCTTAGGTTAAGTCTAAATATTCGCCTAGCCTTGGCCGTCGACTGAGTGGCAACTTGTGTGAACCGCAACAAAAAGTTCAATCACTTCGATCAGCCACCACATAGGGTTACCTCACCAGTCGTTTTTCGACACAACCTCTCAGCATGGCCAAATCGGATCTCGACAACGCCAATCCCACCGTCCTCAGTGTCTCACAACTGCCCAGCAGGAATCTAGCGAAGGGCCATGTGAGAAAGGGCCCGGATTCCAAATATGACCACATCTTGTTCCCAAAGCAGTGGTGGGCAGGAAGTTCCCTGAACACTGACCCGTCGGTGTGGACATCAGACGAGGACGAGGACGACGACTTGACTTTGGCGACAGATGAACCCATTGACGAGCAGGAAATCTATGGTGAGAACTACGACCCGTCAAGTTGCACGTGTATAGCAAGGCGCAGTCCATGTTTCAACTGCCTGTCTCACTCATCTCTGTTCTATTTTTACGAAAACCCACACCGGTGATCAGACAGCTGATGTCTTGTTTTAGACCTGCTATCAACGATATCGGACCCTGAACACCCCGTCACCCTGGGTCAAATCGCCGTCGTCAGACTTGACGACATCCATCTTAGCCCATCTCCCGCCGAGCGTCTAGATCCAAACACCCTGACCAATGTCGAGGTTGACCTTACGCCCACAGTGAACCACTGTTCTCTGGCGACTGTCATTGGTCTTGCCGTCCGTGTCCGACTCGAGAACGCTCTGCCTCCCAACTATCGCATCGTCGTCCGCATGAAGGATGGCTCCCATGCTCAGGATGACCAGGTGAACAAGCAGCTGGGAGACAAGGAGAGAGTTGCCGCTGCTCTGGAGAATGACACCCTGAAGGGCATCATCGAGAAGATGCTGGAGACTTGCGTCTGAGTACAATCCAGATAAGGGAGCTCCAGAGATGTCCATTTTCTGCGAATTATCATTCACGTTGCTATGGCTTTCCAGGCTTGACCCTACGCGGCGGTGTTTCGTGAGATTATATCCGCAGGATTGCCGTATTGGTCACTGGTGGCAACGCTATTTTATACTACGTACAACCCCCCCTCGTTACGGGGCACATGCGTGGCTATCCGGTATGTGCGGGGGTTCGTAGAGGAATTGATATGACGATGCGAGACATCGGCAAATTCTGATACCTACCGTCGCCTTTGTCGATGTTCAAATTTCCACTCAGGGCTCAGCACTCTGTTTCCCATGCCAGTCCAAAGAGAAAGGGCCAGCAGCCATCCCAACCCAAGCATTGGAATTGCAAGCTCCGAGAGTTTAAAAATGAAAGGCACGATGTCACTTGATATTGCATCCCAATCTTGAATGGTGATCATGGGCGATTTTTGCGGTGAAACCCATGTCCCTAGCATCCTGCCACGGGCTTAGGTCAATATTTATCTATGGCTATCATATGATGATAGAAAAGACACCCCACGTTACTTCTTTTTTGGTCCTCTTGCATAAATACAATCTTTACTCTTTGTGCTAATGTCACTAAGCGTCTACGTCCTCGCCGCCGAGTCCGAGGATCTTTGGACTGAACATTGACGAGGTTGACATGGTAATTACCGAGCTGACCTATCCACCCAAACAAAACAGAATCAACAAAGGTTTGAAGTGATTTTTTAGGGGCGAATGATGATTTTGGATTCTGTGATAGGAGGGTCGAAGGGGTTACTGTCGACACATCCACCTACTTCCCCCGACACCAGGCTCTAGTGTACGACAGACGGTTCATCCAACCCATGACTTATGTAATCGAGTACAGTATCGAGAATGCGGACGTTAAGAACCCCACTTTCCATTGATCGACGGAACCCATGTGCTTCATGAACTGATCTACATGATGTGGACATAGCCCGTTTTAAAGTTGACGAATTCAAGAGACTACAAAGTTGCTGCAATTTGCGTTCGGGTCATGTGGGTAGGGAAATACCATGGAAAGAAGAGAGCCCTCCGATGCCTCTCACAAGCTCCAAAAGAGCGTGAGGAAGTCCGAGGCATCTTGATCCTACCTTCACAAGAACTCATCGAGTGTGTTTATATACCACCACACCAAGCCCAACATCATCAAAGTTTCGGCACCAACACAGCCGACGTTTCAGACGTGACTTTAAATGTCCTGTTCCGAGGTTACTAGTAGAATGTAAACCTTTGCAATACAAAGAGGACTAAGTGTGATTACGTAACCAGCTCTTCCTGCCATTATGCATTACCTCCAGGGAGACTGGTGCCTGGAGCCACATGTCAGTGTAGTGTGTAGAGTCCAGTTTTGCACAGTTCCTCTGGAATCTCTGCCCACCATCGTAAACACTCATCTCCTTTCACTCCAATGCTTGCATACTTCTGTGGGTTAAACTTCACTCCACCACTTCACTCATCTTTACCCAATGGTCAGTGGGGGAACTCGTCGATGAACGGTTACTTCTATCCAGCCACATATGGTACTCTACGCGCAGGGGAAACAACACACGAATACTATCACCGCCTCCGTATGTTAACGAGCTAGTGGCCGTTGAGTCCTTTCCTTTTTAGTTGGTGATTGACACACTCTACAGCCATTCAGGAACACTTGAACGAAAACAGAAGGTCGTACCTTTGTTTCATTGCTCGCGTTCAAACAATTGCACCTATCAGTGAAAAGCACCAAAGTCACCACATCCAGTCCACACACACCCTATACTCGATACAGGCGAAGTGTGGTGTATATTACAAAAACCAAGTGGATGAGTTCAATATCTGATCATGGATCCTCTACTGAGAGGTGTCTTGGTTGACCCCATCAGCATTCCCATCTGAGCTTCCTCGCTCCCACCAAGCACCAACAAGCCTCCATCAAGTGCATCCTGTCAGCCTGTCAAGCCTGTTCGCTTCATTTCTCTGGGTTTCCCCATGTCCATCCATGTAGCACCCATGCCATGCCCAGGCCAGAATCGTCTTCAATCCTCCACATCTCCAACCTGGTGCTGATGCTACATGATTATCAAACGATCAGCAAAGGCTGCGCAAAATTGATGTATCTTACCGGACCGGGTCGGGTCGGAAAAGCGCGAACCACCCCCCATCTTCCTTCCCCCCCTCCCTCATAAAGCCGCGAAAAACAAAATTGACACCGAGTGGTTTCCATCTCGCTGTCCACATCTTTTTTGCAAGTTCAACCGAGGGAAGTCACGTTTGAGAGGGTTTGATGCCGGAATAGTATCCAATCATCCGCTCCAGATTCAAACCTACGAAATGCCTATCCACCGGAAATCAATACATGGAACACACTGTGATGGTAGTAGCTCGCCATTAGTAACTAGCAGCTTCGTGGTTCAAGCAAAGGACAACTACAGTGTACCAAGATATTATTCCGGTCTTCCCTGTACTCACGCCGTGGTGTACATACCTACAGTACTCCATACCAAGCATGCTAGATGAAGGAAGTGGAAAAGAAAATGGAAAGAGCCAACGATTAACAATGGCGTTAACGCCGAGAAGAGCGCGATAAGTCAGCGTTTGAGCTGCCATGCCACGGTACACCGGATATAAAGTGAACTCTACGTCTGTTCTAGGAACCGTACAACAAGGGTAGTAGAAAAAAGGTACTGCGCCTTATGCTCGGCCTATACATACACTGCTTGCATGCGGTACATAGGTATTCGATTGTACACTTCCATTGATCGCTGATTACGATGGATTCGTACCTTGGTATCACATCTCCCGGTACGTCCCCCTGGAGCTTTGTCCACTGGTGTTTCGGCTTGAACTCGATTCCCTTCTCATGTTCAGTTGCAGAAGGCAAATGGAACACGAACATAGAACAAAACAAAAGGGAACCGAGAACGCGCGGCAACAAGCAAAACTGATGTGGCCGAGGCTCCTTCTCAAGGAATGAACTATTGACGAATCTATCCGGCTACTCTTCCTTAACCTACACTGATAGTGTTTCGGTGTCGCACATATCATGATGCGGTCCCTATTACATCCAAGTTAGATCACCTCAACATCGTTTTCAAGAGTGACAAGACTTTTCGTGACCATTTACCTTGACATTTGAATTGAACATCTATCTTTCTTCGCTTTTTCATGCCCAGCAAAATTTTTCTCTTTGAAATGGAATCACACGAACGCCCCCCATCCACCAGGAATGCTTAGACCACCTCTACCCAGAAATCACATAAACGAGGTGAAAAAACTGACAAGTCACATTCGTCGCCTCACCCACCCAATTTTCTCTAGGTGCTTCACGCCTCACCCAGGGTGCCGCTCTCTATCAAGCTCTGGTAAAACTCGGGCTCCAGAAACTTGGCCACGCTGACATCCTCGCTCAAGCCCTTGCGCCGCCTCGTCTTGAGCACGAAGTCTCTCGCCGTCGCCTGCGCGTTAGCCATTTGCAGCGGACGCAAGACGATCTCCTTGTCCAGCGGATCACCGGGAACAATGTTCCACCTGTCGAAAACTAGACTGACCATGGCCTGGCCGGGCGTGTTGATCCTCAGATCGGTCTCGAAGCCGAAACTGTCGATGACGGGCAGCAGGCCGTTGACGCGGTAGAGCGGGGTGCCGGCAATGGGGCCATCGGACAGGACGTGGCCGCGACGGCGGGCCAGGATGTTGTAGACTGTGCTGACGGCATCTTGAGGACCGGTCATGGAAACCGAGTACATGGGCTCCATCAGGCGAGGCGAGGCCATCAAGAAGGAACTGTAGCAGGCGCGGCGGGACGTGGGGATGATCTGACCACCGCCCCGGAAGATGGCCTCCTGGGCAAGCGACACGTCAATGAGTCGGAACTTGGTGTTGCGTATTGCTGGTTTCACAGACAGGTTAGCACCCAGGAGACATGTGAGGGGGGAAAACGTGGATATCGTGGGAGAAGAGTGCCCAGAAGCGTGACTGAGCAGCTCTCGTGAGCCGGACCCATTCAGCCAACGTTGGCCGAGCTGGTGTTCGCAAGGTGCCTCATCGTTGCAGTCTGCAACTTTTTTGGGACTCCCCCGCTTGTGAACGCCCAGAACCCCCTTCTGACAAGGGCACCATGCACTGGCAAAAAAAGAGGGACCAGATCCTGTAGTGAAGGCTGCATTCATATCCTGCTTTGGGGCCTCCCTCCCAGCTGCCACTTTCAGCAGGTCACTGGAGCCCCCATACTGCAGGTCTTTACTAATGGTGTCAAGCGCGGCCGAATCTGTGGCCGCTAGGAGATATGACTGCATAGGCACGCGGCGGCAGTCGAATGCAAGACGCTCAAAGAAGAGAAAGAGATAACTTACGCTCTTCGCAAAGCGGGCCTTCCCGGACTGCCCAGTTGAAGCCTTGGCGAATGAAATCCTTGACAGTATTAAGTCGCTTTTTGTCAACCTGTTCATCGTGTTAGTAGCCAGGAAGTAGAAGACGGCCCGGTTCCGACGATCACCGCAAAAACCTGGGTATAACGGCAACTGGTGTCCCGAGCATGGGAAAGGAACTCGCAACTGACCTCTGATGGTAGGGTGTCATCCTGCAAGATGTTGGGTCCCATCTCGTCTGGACCGAAAGCCCAGATACTCCTGGCTGCGAGGAGATCCCAGCCATACTTCTCCTCGAAAAATTTGGCGATCTTTCGTACAGGATCCCGAATCCTGACCGCTCCGGACTCGATGTCCTGCGCGATGCCATCCTCCAATGGCTCCGCCACCATTGTAATGGTGTTCTTCTTATTGGGGGTAATGGCGTAGCATTTGGTTGCGGACATGTCCTGTACCGTCTCGCAGAATCGAACCACAGGATCCGATACCCTGATCTCCATATCGGCATATAGACGACGTAGGTCATGCAACACGCAGTCCATGTATAGCTCGCCAGTACCAAGAATAATATGCTCTCCCGATTCCTCCACCTTGGTGGTAATGAGGGGGTAGCTCTTGTTGATTTTCCTGATGCCGTCAAGCATCTTGGGTAATTCAGACGGGTTGATGGGCTCGACAGCAACCTTAACGACGGACTGGGTGAAGTGCGAAATAGGCTTGAAGATGTAGGCATCCTCATCATCCTCAAATTTCTTCTCCACAATAGTGGCAGTCTTCACGATCGAGTTGTCAACGCCACCCAAGAGAACCCAGTTACCAGCGGGCACGCCGTCGGTCGGGATGTTGTATCGTGTTTCGGCGATGAAGACATCGGATATCCTCGCCATGGCCATATCTTCTTCGTCGTCGATAGAATAACCCTCGCCAAGCACGCGGACCTCTGTGCCAGGGCGCGCAATACCGCTCATCACACGGCCAAACGAATAGAAGCTCTTCGCATCGGGAGCACTGAACAGCTTGGACACATACAACACAAGCGGGCCATTTTGGTCGCAGTTCAGCATAGACTCAGCAACCTTGCTGTCCAGAGGGCCTGTGTAGTACTGTTCGAGCTTTTGCTTTGCAGCCTCAGCCGGCGATGGGATATGCTGACAGACCATGTCTACGAACCCGGTAGATGGCCCAAAGAACTGCTCGCAAACCAATTTCAACAAGACCTTGGGGTCAGTCTTGTACTGCGATGGCTTGAGCTGAATGCCCAACTTTTTCAAGGTACCCTTCAGTTCTTCCGGACTTTCGCTAATCGTATGCGAGTACAACTTGTAAATCGGCTCCATGATGAAGTTGACAAAGGACCTCTTAGCCCCTTCTTCGATAGGTTTCCTTGTGAAACTTCGCTTTTGCGGGTTAAAGTAGATGTCTCCCCAGAGGCGCCTCGCAAACTCTTCCGAGTTGACACCACCATACGTGTCCGAGTACATCTTGGCGAATGACTGAAGAGTGAAACACCAGCCCATGGACGTGCAGGCAAACAGAACATTTCCTCTCTCTGGACTTAACCTCCTCTCTTCACCTCGGCCTGGAATTGTGTTCTCAATGACAGTGTTGACTTCTTCGATCACATGCTTGAGTTTGTAATAGGCATCGTTTGGCGGCAACTTGAGCTCGAGAATTAACCGGTCCATCTTGTTGACAATGAGGGCGAGTGGGATGTTCTCCAAAACGGCGTGCTTGATGATCTGTTCTGTGTTGACCTGAACCCCCTCCACAACATCGACCACCAAACAGACACCATCCACAAGCCTGAGCGAAGCCGCAACTTCGTCAACAAAGTCCACATGACCTGGCGTATCGATCATGTTGAAGAGATGTGATTTTCCTTTTGTTCCTTGGAGGACCAGGCTCATGGGCGAAGCCTTGATGGATAATCCTCGTTCCCGCTCGAGGATGTGAATGTCTGTGTACCGCAGCTGCTCGTCGCGCTTCTTTCCCGTTCGCTTCTCAAGTCTGTCCGCAATGTCATGCGTCTCTAACACCAACATATCCATGAATGCTGTCTTTCCGTGGTGTAGATGTCCAGCAAAAGCCACGTTACGGATTTGTTCGGGGAAGTTCATAAGATCGGCCATGAACGTGCGGTCAAAGTATACGGGAGGTAGGTCTGCTTCTTCGATGCTGAACTTTTTTTGCTCGACAGGGGCGATGATCGGCTGTGTTAACGGTTGCGCATCCTCCTCTTGAACCAAAAGTTCGACGCCCTCGCCATAGACCTGTGCGGCTGTCGGGTAGTACTGCTTGTCTTCATGGAGAACAACGGCGTTGGAGGGTCCTTCATCGTCAACTTCCATCATCTCCTGCGCCGGAGCTTCTGGGGCTTCCTCTGGGTAATCATCGTAAACGTAGTTTCCAGCGTCGACACCGTGTTCGGACTCTTCCTCGGAGGCTTCAGCATCACCGCTACGCATCAAGAGTTAGCACCGCCGAAAGAGAGAGTATCATAAAGTGAAAGGGATTGGATATTAGCCTCAAAAAGACGATGGAGTCTTGACCAAAACACAGCCCAGACAGACCATCCTTCTGCGACGCGACGACGTCATGGAGATAGCATCATACGTACATGAAGTTTCCGAACTCGTCGTACAAATCGTCGTCCATCGTGTATCGTCGATTATGATTGAGCGTTACTCCAAAGCCACTTTGTCTCGAAAAGGGTAGCCGTCGCGTTGTTGAGCAATGGAAGTTCAGAGATCTTGACTGGGACGTTTGCTGGATTTTCGTCGCTGTCTTTGCACAAGGCTGATGTCAACCAGTGAACTCTCGCCGCGGCGCGCAGTGGACCAAGCTTCAACCGTGTACCTAGCGCTGGACTTGAAGGTCCCTTGCAACTAACGAAAATGGCAGACTTCATTTAATGGTAGAGACTAGTGTTTTAGTAATGTGGCGCTAGCTTCGGCATCGACAACAGGAAGTGGCTGGTGCGCAGATCTACTGCTCTAATATTATCAGATCATCTGATAAAATCTTTGCGCGCAATGATGGCACCACGGGTCCACGGCAGAGCATGCAAGCAGATTCCCGCAGCGGACCACGTCAGAAACCATCTAGGCTATCGCGGTGTCCCTCAGGGTTCTAACACTCCATAAACCTCCACAACTGCCCCTTACCCAAGTCGCCACATCCTAGTCTAGAAAGACGGGTTCAAGAGGTATCATTGGAAGAGAGCCAGTTGCCGCCGGCATCGGACACCTCACACCACTTTGTCAAAGTCTGCGAGGGTCCATTTCTCTTATTCCTGTAGATCGGCACTTTTCCGGATAAAGACTGATAAGACCTCGCGTTGAAGGCGGTGAGAGGACCAGAAGTGACAGCTACAAGGTCCCCGTCGTCTCAACAATTTCCCCTATCCTGTCCCGCGTCCAAAAGACAATCCTGGTAGTTACGGGCTGAGCTTTATTAGAACAACGCTTCCCACATCTTCACTGTTGTTACCTGGCTTCACCCGGTTTCATTCCATAATCTTTAATTCCAAAACCCGTCTTTTTCCTCAACTCCAAGCTTCCAAACTAGCCATCATGTCTACCGGTCTTCCCTCCGTCTACATCGTTTCTGCCGCCAGAACCCCTGTGGGGTCCTTCCTTGGGTAAGCTACCCCGCCATGTCGGCTGACCTGGAGCTGTTGTCAGAACGACACAGGAGGGACGAAGCGTGAACTTCGCGTTGCTGATATCTCTGAACTTGTAGTCAGCTTTCCAGCCTTTCTGCTGTTCAGCTCGGTGCCCATGCCATCAAGTGTACGTCGGTTAGAACCGGTTTCGAGAGGAGTATTAGATGAAACGTGTCCTTAGCTAACCGCTCCTGTTTCTAGCTGCCGTTGACCGCGTTCCCGAAATCAAGGCTGAGGATGTTGAGGAGGTCTTCTTTGGCAATGTCCTCTCCGCTGGGTACGTAGCCATTGATTCCTTTGTGCACAGCGAACGCGCCGCCGCGACTCGATCCTGGAACAGCACAATACTAACCACATGTCTTTATCCTCAGTGTCGGTCAGGCTCCTGCCCGCCAGTGCGCCCTGAAGGCCGGTCTCTCGAACAAGGTGGTCGCCACCACCGTCAACAAGGTGTGCGCTTCCGGCATGAAGGCCATCATTCTTGGCGCTCAGACCATCATGACTGGCAATGCAGACATCGTTGTCGCTGGCGGCACCGAGAGCATGTCCAACGTCCCCCACTATATGCAGAACCTCCGCACTGGTGTCAAGTACGGCGACGGCGGCCTTGTCGACGGTATCCAGTCCGACGGTCTCCGTGATGCATATGGCAAGGAGCTCATGGGTGTCCAGGCCGAGCTCTGCGCCAAGGACCATGAACTGAGCCGTGAGGCCCAGGACGAGTATGCCATCAACTCGTACCAGAAGGCCCAGGCCGCCACCGAGGCTGGTCTGTTCAAGGAGATTGCACCTATCGAGGTCCCGGGTGGCCGCGGCAAGCCTGCCATCAAGATTGACCGCGATGAGGAGGTCAAGAACCTCAACATCGAGAAGCTCAAGTCCGCCCGTACCGTCTTCCAGGCCAAGGACGGTACCGTCACTGCTCCCAACGCCTCCCCCATCAACGATGGTGCCGCTGCCGTTGTTCTTGTCTCCGAGGCTAAGCTTAAGGAGCTTGGTATCAAGCCCATCGCCAAGATCCTTGGCTGGGGCGATGCCGCCCACGAGCCTGAGCGCTTCACAACTGCCCCGGCTGTCGCCATTCCCAAGGCCATCAAGCATGCCGGTATCAAGGAGGAGGACGTTGACTTCTACGAGATCAATGAGGCTTTCTCTGTTGTTGCCCTTGCCAACATGAAAATTCTTGGCCTCGAGCCCGAGAAGGTCAACGTCTATGGTGGCTCCGTTGCCATCGGCCACCCTCTTGGCTGCTCCGGTGCTCGTGTTGTCACTACCCTCACCTCCGTCTTGGCTGAGAAGAAGGCCAAGATTGGCTGCGCTGGTATCTGCAACGGTGGCGGTGGTGCTTCTGCCATCGTTATCGAAAACTTGCAGTAAGTGGCTGGCGCTTGTGTCTCGATCATTCTATATACCCACATATCTTTCCACATGGCTCGCGGGGCGGAGTTTTGCAGAAACGAAAAAGCATACATGCCTTGTGATTACCACACGAGGATGACATTCTAATAAAAAGTTTTGATGATTGATGATAGATCAACAACTAGCTTGCCCTTCGTTAAGTCAAGCCTTTAATAATACTAAAACCCAACCCATACACGGAATATTGTTCTCGACGTAATTCGGACCATGGCTGTCATTCAAAGAGTTCATATCATTCGAAATCATGACGAATTTGATTTCACTGCTTTACTACTCATGAAGAGACAAATCCTAGTTGGGATGGATGTGGTTCAAACCCCAATAAAACGATGGCTTAAGTGACTGCGCGCTTGCTTATACACTGGGCCGCCACGCCTTGATGCAGCTGTCCTCTCCGGCGGTAAAAACTACTTGCTGCTCATCAACAAAGCAAAAGCTGCGAACAATCTCGGATCCATGTGCCCCCGGAAGACCTACCACAGTCTCACTATCCAGGCTCCATGAAGCACCATTCTTCGATAGATGGATCAACCGGAACAGTTCTTGACTATTCGTCCCCCCCATACGTGGTTAGCACATACTCGAAAGCTGGTTTTCCACTAAAAAGGGCAAAGTTGTCCCAGGGAATAAACTCACTCCTGTGTTCCGGCACCAATTACCGCCCCAGCACCCGTCACCTTCGGAATAACGTTGCACAAATACTGGCAATCCACCACCTTGCGAATGTCGCCCAGGTCGAGCGTCGGCGAGCCCTTCTCAACCGTCTCGCCCATGTCGTACAGCGCAAACCGCTCGTCGTGCGACACGGCGTACACCTCGGTCTCGTTCAGGAAGCCGGCCCGGTGCACGGAGCCGTGGTTGAAGGCCGCGATCACCACTTCGTCTTCGTCCGTAATGCGCGTGTCGCACACGTTGACGAGTCCGTCGGTCGAGCCGGTGAGAAGGAGGTGAGGGTTAGTGGGGTGGAAGGAGAGCTCGGTTACGTCGTCGCTGTGGACTTCGTCGTAGTGGATTTTGGGAACGCGGGGGGAGCGGAGATCCCTTTTTGTTGGAAGTTAGTGAGATTTTGTCTGGTTGGAGGTGTCGAACAGCAGGTGAGCTGAGCTTGGGTACGTAAAGTCTTACCATAAAAGAATGGATGCTTGGTGGTTAGCCAGTTCGGTGCCGGCAGCTAATGTGTTTGTCTGTTCCGAGCAAGCAAGTGAGAGCAAACCAGGACCTTCGCCTGGCGTCCCTATTTGCAGCACTGGTGTGTTGGCCGCATCGCTTCTCAGATCCCAGAGCGAAACCGTCCCGTTCTCGCCTGCTGTGGCAACGATCGAGTTTCCAACGCTGAATACTTCTGCGCAGCTGATGTTCCCATGGTTGGTCTGGACTTTCTTGAGAGGTCCCTGGTTGAGGCGCAGAGGGTTGAAGATGGAGAGACTTTGGTCGGAGCCAACGGCTGCTAGCCCAGCAGACACGGGGATGATGTCTGTGATGTAGGTTGGTTCGGAACCAGGATATTTGAACCCGTCGGTACAAGAAAGGGCATACATCGTGACTGGTTTATTTTCGGGGGCTGAAAGATTTCGCTCTGGTACAATGGTTTGCAAAAGATTGGTGAGAGACTTCTCCGTTCAGTTGTAAGTCGATTTGAGCTGTACAAAGTTCTTAGTCTTGATGCTTCGGTCTTGAACGGTCCTAATGTCTACCTGTACATGGTACTCACATCAGATAAAAAGAGTAATCCGACTTCCCAAACAGATTGTGCTATCATTCACTGGTCACAATTAGGGATTATTCGAAGATTTATTGCTGTTATTCTGTTCTTTGAGTTTACAGGTGAACCTTGAAATGATAACTACATACTTCTTCAAAAGCGCACTTCGGATCGCAAGCCGCGGCAGCTGTCCGCCAGCTGACTGACCAATCACAAAAGCAGGTACGTACGCTACAACTGACGGGACGCGGCTGTCGAGGTTTTGAGCTTTGCGGGCGCCCGGGGTAGGAGCGCGGACCCCTGTCGAGCTCGCTCTAGAACGATTACAAAATGGGAAGTCCACGCTGGGTGTTCAAGTTCACTCTGGACACCTAGCTGGTATTTATGATAGATAGCGTTGGTTCGCGGCTGCTGTGGACGCTACCACTACACAACAGTAAAGGTGTACTGTAGCTACTGGTAGTGACTACGCCACGATTTATTGACGTGATTTACCTCGACATACGTCCCGTCTAAAAAGAGTGCTGATATTCAATCGACCTAACAAGCTCGAATACTTGCACCACATCTGCTCCTTTTAGGATCCCACTGCAACGGACCACCACGGACTGCAAACAACGTTATTGCTGACAATCTGTTGCTAATACATCACGAGTCTGATAATGGCATGACTCTTTCCTCTGGGTTTGCCTCTACTACTTTTCCAAAGTCGACAACCATGAGGCGCTTTCTTCTGTACATATTCCGTATGCTTGCGAACCCCAGGCCACTCTGCTCTCCTGGAGCGCCAGACACTGACATCATCGTCCCCAGTGCTATTGCAGGTTGCTGTGTTCTCCCACGCGGACGTGCCGGACAACCAACAACATGTACTTTCCGGAGATAAATCCAATGGAGCAACAGGCAATACACTCCCCCCCGAGCTCCCTGCCGCACAGCATGTACAACCAGGTATGCGCACTCGAACAAAGACGGAAGCTCAGGGCTGGAAGGACAACTAACTGACAGATAAACAGGTGCTGGCCTTGTCGACGCCGCTCTGGTCGAATTGCGAAAGCTACACCAACCGTTGCATTATAAGATACGAAAGAACCCCGGCATTTTGAGAACCGTTCTACATCTTGCTTCCAAGGCATTACCGGCCATCCGACTTACTGCTCCCTCGCCTGCTTCCTCCCACGATGCCGTCAGTGGCCCGCTCCTCCATGCGACCAGGCTCTTCGAAGAGTCCGCACAAAAGAACAATTCTGATGCGCTCTATATCCTGGGCGACATGAACTTTTACGGCAACTTCTCCCATCCCAGGAATCTCAAGACGGCCTTCAGTTACTACCAAAAGCTCGCTTTGCTCAATGGCAACAGTTCGGCAATGTACATGATGGGAGTGATGTATTCTACAGGAGTGGGAGGCGCTGTGGAGCCGGACCAGGCCAGAGCTCTGCTTTATTACACCTTTGCTGCCAACCAGGGCCATACAAGAGCCGAGATGGCTGTGGCACATCGTCACTATGCAGGGATCGGAACCACGAAGAACTGCGAGACGGCGGTGAAATACTACAAAAGGGTCGCTGATAAAGCAATTGCGTGGTACCGGTCAGGACCCCCCGGTGGCATGAGCTGGATATCGGAATCTCATCGTATCGCCGACGAGCTTGGAGGTATATATGGTGTAGGAGCGAGTGTGTCCAGTTCGGGACAGAACGCACCTCACAAAAACCCCACCTCTGACGCACAGGCTTCTATCGAGGATATTCTCGAGTACCTTGATCTGATGTCTCAGAAGGGCGATGTCAAGGCGACTTTTAACCTGGGTCGTATCTTTTACGACGGGCAGAGAAACCTCCCTCGTGACTACGTCAAAGCTAGGGAATACTTTCTCAAGGTGGCCAGTAAAACCTGGAACAAGAAAGGACAGGTTTTTGAAAACAAGACGCCCAGTTTTCACACCATTAGTTGCAGAGCAGCTGGCTATATTGGACGCATGTATCTGCGAGGAGAGGGTGTTGAACAGAACTTCAGGCTTGCTGAGTTCTGGTTTAGGCGCGGCAATGAGCAAGCAGACCAACAATCTCGCCATGGACTCGGACTGATGTATCTGAACGGTTACGGCGTGGAACAAAACCTCGATCTGGCGCTCAAGTTCTTCAATGCGGCAGCCGAGACTGTGTATCCACCCTCACATGTGCAGCTCGCTGCGCTGTACCTTGATCAAGGTCAGTCCGATGAGGATATCTACGCAGCAAACCATCACCTGGACCTGGCGGCGAAGTACTACAATATGGAGGCATATTACTATATTGGAGAGATGACCTATTTCGGTCTTGGCCGCGAGAGACAATGCGAGGTCGCGCTTAATTACTACAAAGCGGTCGCTGAGAAGGTAGAGCCGTTTGTCTCGTCGTGGGCTGAGGCTAATTTGGCCTACGAAGCGGGTGAGATTGAGTTGGCATTTCTCGAATACCTGCACGCGGCAGAGCAAGGATATGAAACTGCTCAGAACAATGTTGCGTACATACTCGACCCTCAAAAGTCCTATTTGACTATCCCGCAGTGGCTGTTTCCCAAAGCCCAGAAGCTGACACTTCTTCAAAACCCGACACTAGCACTCATCTACTGGACCCGGTCGTCAAGGCAGGGTAATATTGACGCTACTGTCAAGATGGGTGACTATTACCTTGGCGGGATAGGAACAGATGCTGATGTTGATAAGGCCGTTCAGTGTTATACTGCCGCTTCAGAACATTACCAGAGCGCGCAGGCGTTGTGGAACCTGGGTTGGATGCATGAAAATGGCATTGGCTTAACTCAGGATTATCATCTTGCTAAGCGATATTACGACACTGCTCTGGAAACGAACGATGAGGCGTATCTCCCCGTCTCTCTCAGTTTGTTGAAGCTGCGAGCCAGAAGCGCCTGGAATACTTTCACCAACGGCCGGATCAACTCTATCCAAGACGAGCCAAGTGAGCATCACCCCCTGACCAAGGACATATCAAAGAAACCCAGCTAACAATCAGCAGCCGAGAAAAAAGAATGGTCGCTCAGTGAATGGATCAATAATTTCTTACAGGATGAGATGGGCTATTACGGAGATGACATGTATGATGGCTATGAGGATGCGATGCCCGGTGCCGATTCCGATTTGGGTGCTTTTGAGGAAGGGGACATCCTGGAGACGTTGGTGATCATGGGTCTCGCCGCCGCCCTTGTCTTCTTGGTACTGTACCGCCAACAGCGACAACAAGCAGCCCGGCGGCAGCAGGAAGATGAGGCTAGGCGCCAACCGCAAGAACAGCAAGGCCAAGGCGTAGGTAGAGCAGCTGGCGGAGCGTTTGCTAATGGACAACAGCAACAACAGGCAGGAAATGGGGGTTTCTTCCCCCAACCTGGCGCTCCAGGCTTTGGGCAATGGGCTGTTGGTGGTGTGGGCCACTGAGCAGCTGGTCGGCACGGCTTTGCAAGTCTTTTTTTTTTTTTTCCACTGCATCTTTAGTCTTTACCACAAGTGGTATTCTTTGAGCTATTAATGAGCGATGGTGTACTGGGGTATTGAATACATACGCTGTATACTATAACAGACGTTAGAATGGGTATGGTTGAGAGTAGCCATACAAGCACCGTTCTGGAACTATTCTACATAGTAGAGGCCGATGTTGCTGTTAGTGCGTCACCCACGTGCCCACTAACACGTCTTTCAGGCCAAGCACTTGTATTCAACACAGACATTTGCGGGCCAACCAAGCAAACGGATGATGCTGGGAGTCGATCGACAGCAACAGAACCCGGCTCTCTTTCTTGGCCCGAATGGACTTTAATCATGGTTCAGTTGGGAGGATGCTTGCTTTGAATGATCGTGAGGACCCTCCTCTGCAGACCTCGATGCAGCGGCCCGGTATGGATAACTACTACAGCAGGTACGACTCGCTAAAATAATCCCCAGTCTCCGTTCTCATTGCGGTAGTTCTTTCATCTCACAATCACATTTCAGTCCATCATTTTTTCATCGGACTAGACCGCAACGTCACCTTGCACTTCAAAGAGCGCAACAATGAACCGCACGCAATCAAATACTACTTCTTACCCCACGAAGACCAATTCCTTCACACTCCAACCGGCGCGCAACCCCTTATCCACCAACCTGCCTCTTACCTAAGACAATGTCATCTCGCACAACACCAGGGCCAGCAGCCAAGCGCCGCCGCGTCGAGCTGGCCAACGCTACACTGCGGAGGCCTTTTCGATCTCCCATGATCAATCGCACACCGCCTGGTGGCAAGCCAACAGATTACACGGCGACGAAGCAGGGCAGAACGACAAAATTACGAGCGGCGGTGGGTAGTGGTGATGGCGTCGTTGATGCCAGGGCAGAAGGGGAGGAAGAAGACGACGAAGAAACAAGTTTCTCCTCGGTATCGACGCCAGCAGCGAGGAAAGCATCAAAGAACAGTCTCCACTATAGTGGTGCCAGCGCTGCTGGCCCCAGTACGAGTGCACGACGGAACGCGAAACCACCCATTCTGAATTTGAGCAACAAGCAAGAGCAGGGGCAAGAGCCTCGAGCTACCAGATCTGGTATCAATCAGAAGCGAAGCAGGATCGGGTCAGGGACTTCTTTTGTCTCCAGTGCCACTTCTACGCGTCCTTCCGTTGGTCTACACCATCTCGCAAGGGGGGCAGTTGTTAGTGAAGCTGGTCCAGATGGCAGTGACGACATCTTAGCCGGACTGCAAAAGTCTCACAGGGAGACGAAGGTTCATTTGGTCACTATGCAAAATCAGTTGGATCTCATCAGGCAGGCGAAGCGTATCGAGATGGCGTCACGGAAGGCTGCTGTCGAGGAGAGCAAGGAGCTACGACGGCTGGACGCAACGGTCATTGACGCGGAGTTGAAAGGGCTAGTAAAGAAATGGAAGCTCGCGAGCAGACAAGCGGCAGAGGAATTGTTTGAGCTTATCAAGGGGAGGGTGGCGGATATGGGCGGGGCCAAGGCGTGGAGGGAGACGAGGAGGAGGCAGAGGGAGGGGTTTCATTCTGCTTGGGATGATGAGGGGCAGAAAGGGAAGAAACGAAAGGGAGATGGTGATATTGATGAGCGAGATATCGAAAACTCCGATGTCAGCGACGATGAGGGTGATGACGACCGGCGATTTTCGCAAGGAGCTGGAAACAATGACGATGGAGACGGAAGTGCGGAAGACAATCGCGAGGACTCGGTAAGGTTACTGTGGCAAAGGTGAGTGTCACTGACAGAAAAATGGGGGCTAACTTCACGCACGTGTTGCTGCTAGGGATTTACCATGCTCATGATGCTGCAAAGCCTCAACATTGAGCCTGACGTCTTGGGATACGATCCGAACGAAGACAAGTGGCTGGATTAGAGGCCTGGAACTCTTTACCAAAGGGAAGAGAAAGAGAAGGAAAGAAAGAACAAGAAGGAACCCAGGAGCTGCCGTCTGGGCCCCCACAGCTCGGAACGATCACTTGACGGATCAGACCAACGGTTTCTCACCTGCCTCATCTCAGAAGGCCAAGTCGTCGCGAGGAATTAGTGTTCCAAGACACCGAATGTGTCACGACTCCGAGATTATATCTCTCCATCCGACAATCAGGAGGCCGTAAGTGTGTCTCTGTACACCAGATATACAGGCCACTTTTCATGCGGGCGAGACCTGATTTATCGAGTAGGTACATGATCTTTGCAAGACATCCGATATCCGCGGCAGGCAATGCACACAAGGGCAGCGATCTAGGACATGTCTGAACCTTTGTCCCTTCAGCGGTCCTTGTAAGTATCCGTCACAGGCCTAAGCTTGGTGTTTAGTTGTCACGGGTTCCCAGTTCCAGTATGAGCCCCGACGGCAACCTTACCCGTTTCCCCCGGATTGAATCAAGTTCGGGTTACCAGGCGCTCGCTTCTGTGGTGTTTCTTTTATTCCAGCCACAGTGACTTGCCACGGCCAGCCTACGATACCCGGGACAGGAAAGGATGGCCTAACCGCTGCCGCCAGACACTACCGGCGAAGGTAGTGACATGGCCTGTGTAACTCTTCAGGGGTTCCGGCTCGGCAAACAACTGAAACTCAGATAAGGGGGTACGACCTCAGGTCTGATGAAACCTTTCTGCCGTACAAAGCAACCGCCCGAGCACCACTGCCGTTTCGTAGCCTTTGCTACAATCGAACTGGGATCATGCCCGCTTGCATCTTCGCTACAGTTTGTGGCTTGCAGACTCGCAGTCGACCTGCCCCGGATCCCCGGGTTGCCACAGTAGCGGCCGATTTGTATGCAAGCAAGTCAAGCAAGCGCGATCTGGGGATGGACCACGACCATGCACTGCAACGACAAGAGAAGCCCCTGGTTACAGATCTCATCCTTTCTCTTACATACATGACTGCCCCTTACGGTGACTCCCGACTCTGTCCTTTATTCCGGCTTACGTACCAACTCTAGTCTACCCAGGGAAGGAATAGATAGAGACAATTTGGTGGACCACTGCCGGACGCCCAGGACACATGGTCGGCCTCCCTATCGTGAATCATGGAACCTTCCATTCAGACGTGTGCTGTGATTTGCGCTTACCCTGTCGGCGACTGGGACAAGTGCTGTTTCACGACCGAGCACGTATCGCAAGATTTTTGGGAGATGGAGTGAAGGAAAGCAGGCAGGTCTCTCTAGATCTGTCTTCTTGGTGGAGTAATCTGCTCTCGGCCCCAAGTCTTGGCAATTCTGTGCCGTCTTCCTCTCCCTCCGTCTCTCGCCTAGGTTGTAGTCGCCGCCACTCACAGGAGGCACTACGTGTGTCTGGGTCCTCTACTTCTTCTGTCTCATCGCTCAGTGCACAAACCCGGCATTACACTCTTCCTTCTCTCCTGTCTTGCAAGACCGCTGCTACTACTACGAGAGATCTCATGCTGCTGGGCGGCAGGAGGAAGGTTCTAAAGAGTGTTGGTTCCTGATCACTTCCTCTTACCCTGTTCATTCGTTTTCACTTTCTGTCTCTGACTCTTGTTATGATCACTAATTCCCCTTCTAGCCCCATCATTCATCTTATCATATCCTTCCTCAGACTCCGTCGACATTCTTGACAGCCGAAGCTCATGGTCGGCTTGTTGTATCAGAGTCTTGATATATCCAATTAATAACTACACGTTGGAATTTCGGACTTGTCTACTTAGGCATTAATGTTGCCTACATACCTCTGTTAGAGTGTTCCTGCTTGTCACACTCGTGTTCACATTCTGCTGGCTTGGAATAGACCATCATGGCGGCGTCCGAGTCGATAGTCAAACCGACTCTCTTATTATCGAGGATAGTCTCGCGGGAGATAAGAGAATATAGCAACTGTACTCGAGGGGCAGATGGCTTCATCGACCCAAATAGTTGTTATGTCCCCTTTTGGTACACAAGAGTAAGTTGTGCCTCCTCGGCCACTCGGCCACTCACTCCTCCAGCATCCATTGCGACAAAGACAGACGATCAGTAACATTCTGCCAGTTCCTTTGCTAATCCTATCATCATTAAACATCAGACGGGCGTCATCGTCAAATGGTCTCTTTTCCTCGGCCTAAGTACCTTCTTCGGGCTCTACCTCATACTAGGCTATCTACATGCCAAAAGGCGGATAACGAAGGGTCAACCACCCATGGCGTATCACAGGGTAAGCATCCATTTTGTTATTCTCTTCTCTTCTCGTGTTTCCCACAGATCCTTCCATCGTTCTCCTTTCTCTACGCCCATCTTATACCCTAACCAGTCCATTCCATTCCGCGTCCCAAGACCACAGAGACTAACACACCCCAAAAAGTGGCTCGTCGCCCGCGACGACCCTCGCTACCCTGATCCCCAAACAACCTTCCGGCCTTACGGCAACCCTGCTGTTCTTACCAGACCCGGAAGCCAACAACAACAACAGCCCTACGGAAACTACGGAATGTACCCAGTTCCCCCACCAGTCTATGACCCCGACGCTCCTCGTCCCCCGATGTACCCGGGACCTCCACCGACCATGGCCATGGCTATGGCGCAGCCGCCGGATGGAGCGACGAAGGTGGATCCTATGCAACAGGCGCCAGTGCTACCGCCGGTGTCAACAACAGTGCCACCAACCTCTGGAACTGGCGGCGATGGCAACGAGCGATATGAAGCGCCGCCTGGACCACCACCGTCGATACAAGCACAGGCGCAGACACAGGCACCGGCGCCGATAAGGCAGCAGGGAACGGGTGGAACGAATCCTTTTCGTGATTGAGTGATTGGACAAACTTTTTTTTTTCTTGGGTAGGAAGGCTTCGTCGGTTTGGGGTCCGCTCGTAATTTTGGCATTCGAATCCGCGGGGATGATTAGATGGTTGGTTGGATTGGCAGGTATAGCATTGTCTACCTTTCATATGTTTAATCTGCATTGATTGTGCCAGAATGAAGGAACAACCTTAAGGACCGTGGCGATCACTTGAGCTCAGCCGAGATAGCCAAAGTACTGATAGATGGTATTGATGAAGCTCCAAGTCAACTTACAAATCCAGGCAATGTCTCCCAATTTCGAGGTGTCATCATGCGTGTCTGAACCTCGTGCCTTCTGAAAATAAAAGGCAAACGCCATAACGCCTCGCTGTTGTTTTGTTCCCCGTATATCCGTTTCATGGGGACCTTTTTACCATGCCCATCCCTTTGTGTGTACCAGATCCATTTTCAAACGCCAGACAAACCTGAATAAACTGCTCTTGCGCTGCCCTGCTTTGATCTGATCGCACGTGGAAAGACCAGACTTCTGTACAGTCTAGTCTAGTCAAGTTCCATAGCATCATCATCAATCTCATCACCAGCAGCAGCACCACCAGTATCAAACTGCGGCAGTGACCCGGGATGAATAATCTGCACCGTATCCGTCAGTGTGTTGTTGACCTGCTGCTGCCTTTCCTGCTGCTGAAGCTGTTGACTCTCCATCAGATGCTTCTCACGAATGCGGGCGCGCGCCTCCAAGATGGCTTTGCGAACGCTATCCTGCTCCTCGGGGACCGTAAGGGACGCTGGCACGCTGTATAGCACCAGTTGTTTGTTCAGGATATCCGAGTCCACAGACAGTGGCTGGGCACTGAGCACCTGGGCCGGGATGCGGTTCTGTCGCAGGTGACTCTCGATATCCGGAAGAAAAATCAGCTTGCCGCCGTCTTGTTCGGCCTCGCTCTCAGAGGAGAGCTCATCTTCGATGTTGTAGATGTACACTTTATGCTTGGTGTTGTCGACTTGCATGAATTCGGTGTCATCTTGACCTACGGCGGCGGCGGTAGGGTATTGGTTGGTCTGGGACGATAAAGATGATGGCGGCGATGTGGTGGAAGGTGTAGTAGTAGATGGAAATGAAGATGAGAAGGAGTTTTGCGCTTGTGGGTTCCCGACGGAGACGTATAACCTATGGCCGCCGTGTTCTGTTGTGGGTTGGGCCGTGTTAGTGACTGAGCGGTGGAACGGAAGACATGATGTCACTGATATGATAGGAGATAAGGGAAGAGAGGAGCGGTGGCGGTGGCGGAACATACCCAGATTCAACAGGCTCATACGCTTGGAGAGGCGCTCGTGTTCAGGCTGTGAATCGGCTTTGCGCTTCCGCGCACATGGTGCTGGTTGAGGTGCAACATATTGTTGCCGAATGAATTGGCTGGAGCTGATGTTGTTGGTGTTGTTGTCGTTGTTGTGATAGTTGAGTTGTTGCTGTTGTTGCTGTTGCTGATGCTGGTTCATCATACTGTATCCATATCCAGGCATCTCCATGGTGCTGGCGGTGGTGGGCGTGGTGGGCGTGGTGGGCGCAACCAGGTGTGGTAGTGGTCCAGATTGGAAATGGGTCAGCATCATTTTCTCCCCGCGGCCAATTTTCGCCTTCGAACCTCCTCTTTCTCCGTCTTTTAACCCTCCTCCGGACCGCAACTGACGTTTAAAACTTCCGTATCTCTCCCCCGCACGACCGGTAGCTCAGATACCTAGCTGCAGGGTATTGGATACCTTAGTGTACAGGCTCCGGGTGACCTGGGTGATTTGCTCCAATCACCTTGCGTTGAGCTTCCTGATTGAGAGTGGGTTGGCGAGAGATAGCAGCCGGTCCAGCCCGAGGTAAGCGGTAGGTTCTAGATTGTCAGATCTGTTGCCGCGATAAAGGTGGTGTTTAATTTAGCTACTAGCGCTGCGACTAGGCTCTTGGGTTTCGCTGGCCGACTTTTGGTGGGAGACAGACGAAACTCGGTAAAGAATGAAGAGTCTTGTGACAAACAGGTTGGGATTGTCGTTACGCTGGTTCTCTGCGTATGGGCCTGGAACCAGCGGGAGCAGGAGCTGCAGTGGCACGAGACTGCCCCCAGCCTTTAAGGGCTTGAGTCATTGCTCACGAACCTTCCACAAGTATCGCGGCAGGACTATTACTAGGCCGATCCCGCCCTCCTCGCTCGAGAATCTTCGAGCAGTCACCACGCCCTGCAAGTCCACGAAGCCGCTCACCACCTGCACCCCGACAACACCGACGGCCACCACGACCCGCACACGCACACGCACCACGCTCACTACCGCGAACCCCTCCACTTTCCCGGCCCTTGAGCGCGTTTCGACCGGATCCGCGTTTTCCTCCTCGCGGCTCTTTTCTTCTTCTTCGTCGTCGTCACTTGTTCAGTCTTCAACTCTGCCCGTCATGGCTTCTGATTCTCAGTGGACTGGTGTCCAGGTCCGCAAGACCTTTTTGGACTTTTTTGCAGAGCGGGGTCACAATGTCGGTATGCAAACATCCCTCCGCCACATGATTGCTGGCTACCCCTCATCCCCTCCCCTCCGCTGCCCTGTCCTGTCCGTCGCGGCGGGAGAAAAAAAAAAAGAAAAGAGAAACCTGAGAGGGCATTCCCACATGCTTCACCTGCATGCGCCCGCCGCAACAATGGGCCAAGACACGCCGCGATGCATTCATTGCCATCCCTATACACTATCATTCAACATGGTACCTTTATTTGCAATGCGCTGACCATTTTCGCCTCCTGTGCGCAGTCCCCTCGTCGTCGGTCGTCCCTCACAATGACCCCACATTGCTATTCACAAATGCGGGCATGAATCAGTTCAAGCCCATCTTCCTGGGCACCATTGGCAAGACGGAGGATATGGCCCAGCTGAAGCGTGCGGTTGACACACAAAAGGTGATATCTCGTCGTCTGCTGCGATATGGTTGTTGACAAGCCTTTACTGACCCTTTGGAACAGTGCATTCGCGCGGGTGGCAAACACAATGTAAGTCCCGGCTCCCTCCTCCAACGCTTGGCCTACCAAGAGCAATTGCTAATATAACCCTAAATAGGATCTCGACGATGTCGGCAAGGACAGCTACCACCACGTACGTACCGATGCGGTCTATATATAGCGAGCTCATGGCACTAACACATGTCGGCAGACTTTCTTTGAGATGTTGGGCAACTGGTCTTTTGGCGATTACTTCAAGAAGGAGGCCATTGCGTGGTCTTGGGAGCTTCTGACAAAGGTCTATGGGCTGGACCCTCAGAGACTTTATGTCACATACTTCGAGGGCAGCCCAGACCTTGGTCTCGAGCCGGATCTTGAGGCCAAGAACCTCTGGCTTGAGGTTGGTGTTCCCGAGGACCACATTATTCCCGGTAACATGAAGGACAACTTCTGGGAGATGGGTGACCAGGGCCCTTGCGGCCCTTGCAGCGAAATCCACTACGACAAGGTCGGAGGCGGCCGGAATGCCGCCCACCTCGTCAATATGGACGACCCCTTGGTGGTTGAAGTCTGGAACATTGTCTTCATCCAGTTCGACAGGCAGGCCGACAAGTCTCTCAAGTCTCTCCCTGCGAAGCACATCGATACCGGTATGGGCTTCGAGAGACTGGTATCTGCCCTCCAGGACAAAACCTCCAACTACGCCACCGATATCTTCACTCCTCTTTTCACCAAGATCCAGGAAGTTACCGGTGCCAGGGAATACACCGACAAGTATGGCAAGGATGACGTCGATGGTATCGATACCGCTTACCGTGTTATTGCCGACCATATCCGTCTTCTTTCTTTCGCCATTGCCGACGGCGCTGCTCCCAACAACGTCGGACGCGGCTATGTCGTTCGCCGTGTCCTCCGCAGAGGTGTCCGCTATGCCAGAAAGTACTTCAACGCTGAGATTGGTACCTTCTTCTCCAAGATCCTCCCCGCCTTGGTGGAGCAGATGGGCGAGCAGTTCCCTGAGCTCGTGAAGAAGCAGACCGACATCAAGGAGATCCTTGACGAGGAGGAGGTTGCTTTCGCTGTCACCCTTGACCGAGGTGAGAAGCAGTTCGAGAAGTACGCTGCTCTTGCCATCAAGAGCGGTGAGAAGAAGCTTTCCGGTGCCGATGTCTGGAGACTTTACGACACATTCGGTTTCCCCGAGGATCTTACCAAGCTTATGGCTGAGGAGCGTGGCCTTACCATTGATGAGGCTGAGGTCAACGAGGCCCGCGAGAAGGCCAGAGAGGCTTCCAAGGCCGTCAAGGAGGCTGTCCAGGAATTCGCCAAGCTCAACGTTCACCAGATCGCTGAGCTCGAGACTGCTCTTAACATTCCCCGCCCCAACTCAGATGCCAAGTTCCTTAAGGGTGATACCAAGGGCAAGGTCCAGCTGATCTTCAACGGCAAGGAGTTCCTTAAGTCCAGCAAAGATCTTCCTGCCAAGACCCCACTTGGTCTCCTTCTCGACAACACCAACTTCTACGCCGAGTCCGGTGGTCAGGTCGCCGATACCGGCCGCATCATTATTGATGGCGTTGCCGAGTTCAAGGTCCTTGACGTTCAGGAGTATGGTGGTTACATTGTCCACAACGGTTTCCTTGAGTACGGTGAGCTTACCGAGGGTGATGAGGTCGTTTGTGAATACGACGAGCTTCGCCGTCAGCCTATCCGCAACAACCACACTGGTACTCACATCCTGAACCACTCTCTGCGTGAGGTTCTTGGTGACGAGATCAACCAGAAGGGCTCGCTGGTCGACCAGGACAAGCTCCGTTTCGATTTCAGCCACAAGGCTGCTATTTCTCTGGAGGACATCAAGAAGATTGAGGATCTGTCCAACCACTACATTCGTCAGAACCTCAAGGCCTACTCCAAGGATGTCGATCTCGACCTTGCTCGCGAGATCGAGGGTGTCCGTGCCGTCTTCGGCGAGACCTACCCCAACCCCGTTCGCGTCGTCTCTATCGGCATGGAGGTTGACGAGCTGCTCAAGAACCCAAAGAACCCCGAGTGGCGCAAGATCAGCGTCGAGTTCTGCGGCGGTACTCACGTCGAGAACACCGGTCTGATCAAGGACCTGATCATCGTCGAGGAGAGCGGTATTGCCAAGGGCATCCGCCGCATCGTCGCCTACACCGGTGAGGGTGCCCACCAGGCCCAGCGCGAGGCCCAGGTCTTCAACGAGAAGCTCAATCACATCAACGCCCTCGCCTACGGCCCACAGAAGGCTGCCGAGATCAAGGCCGCCGCCGTCGAGCTTGACGGTCTCACCATCTCCGTCCTTACCAAGGAGGAGCTCCGCACCCGCTTTACCAAGATTCAGAAAGAGGTCGTCGACGAGCAGAAGAAGCGCCAGAAGGCTGAGAGCAAGACTGCCCTCGACACCGTCGCCAGCCACTTCCAGAAGGACGAAAACAAGGAGTCCAAGGTGTTCGTTGGCCACCTTCCCATCTCCGCTAACGCCAAGGCCATCTCGGACGTTATCACCTACTACAAGACTAAGGACAAGGAGAGGTCCGTCTACGTCTTTGCTGGTAGCAAGGACGACCAAGTTATGCACGGTGTTTATGTCGGCACTGTAAGTTCTCACTGATCATCCCTCACTATATAAGATTAATCGATCCTACACGATGCTAACCATCTCAACTCTACAGGCCCTCTCTTCCAAGGGTGTTACCGCCGAGCAGTGGACATCGGCCGTCAGCGCCGTCATCGGCGGCAAGACCGGTGGCAAGGAGCCCAGTCGCCAAGGTGCCGGTGCCGAGCCCGAGAAGCTCGAGGAGGCCGTCAAGAAGGCCGAGGAGTGGCTGTCTGAGAAGCTCAAGGATCTTAGCATCTGAGAAAAAGAAAATAAAGAGCTATGTGTTGGAGTAGAATCAAGTGATATTGGCTTGTGTCGTCTCCCTGTTTCGTTGATATCCAGAAAAGAGTTCGTTATCTCACTTGGCTCTATATATGAAAACCAAGTTGTGTATTTCTTAGCGGTCTAGAATGGGTGATGGAGCAAGCTATTTCATGCAACGAAAAAAAATAAAGAAATGAAAATGAAAGAAACTTAAGAAAATGAAAAGAACGTAGAAAACGTCAGTTGCAAGTGCAGGTCATCTTCCACTTCATGACAGGGACTTGCGGGATATCACACACACAGCACGTTAACAGGTGTCGTATTCTTATTTGGGCAAGTAGGGAGCTACCTATATAAGCGGGATAAGAACATGGGCAAAAGAATGCAAGTCTCCAACTTTACAGCTCTCAATTGATATAAATAGTACACAATCAATGTACAAGGGCCTGCTTTCCCACTTTCTTCATACATAGATGATATGTCTTCTAAACCCGATCCATCTAGTTTTATACAGTATACATAACACTGGCATTTTTGTACCATTTAAGCAGCGGGTTCTCGCCGCTTTGCGTCTCCGTCTCTTCCAGGTAGGCCCAGCTGCGCATGAACTCCTCGTGAGACATGACCCGGGACAGCTTGCCGGTGATGGCCTGGTAGACGAGTTCAGACACGCGGAAGTCTGTGGGGAACATAATATCGAAATAGCCTTGATGCACCTTTAGTGGACGAGACAGTGCTCTGGTTAGTATGGCACGAGAGGATAAACTGAAGACCATGAAACTCACCAAGGGTGTAGTAACTGGCACAGGCCGCCGTTGATACCTCGTCTGAACAATCGGCGCATTCACCCCCGGCACGGCATCAGGCAGCGAATGGAAGTCACTCGTCAACAGCCGATGCGCAGGAAAGTACTTGCTCAGCACGTCGAAGAATTGCATCAGCCGCGTCGGGATATATTCGGGCTCGCTCATTGTGCTGCGCAGCGGCCTGATGGAAGAAACCCATTTGCCCAGCTTCGTGGTCGGGTACGGCACCTTATACCGCCCGCCAGTGGCCGCATCCCGCACCCGGAAGTAACGCGCGGCCACCGGATCCAGCACGGGGCTGTAGAACTCGAAGAAGTCGTTGGATTCGCTGATCAGCACGACGGCCTGCATGGGCGTCTCAGTCGCCAGGTCGTAGCGGATGGCGTCGTGGGCAAAGTTGTCGAAGACCTCGAACGCCAGGAAAAAGCATGGGGACGGGACCGGTTGCGTCCAGTCGAAGATGGACTGGTTGATGATTTCCACCTTGTTGAGGTGGCCGCGGCCGGCGGCCGACCGCATCAGCGTCGAGTTCTGGACTTTGGCCAGCGAGTCGCTGATCTCAATGACCTTGTACTGCGTGCGCGCGTACACGTCCGGGTCCATGTCGCGGATGTAGTCGAGGATGTTGAGCATGAGCGTGCCGCGGCCGGCGCCCATCTCGTAGATGATCAGGTCGTGGTACGGGTACGTCGTCAGTTTGTAGTTGGCCACAAGGTAGCGGGCAATGGCCTCGCCGTAGTAAGGGCGGAAGAGCTCCGTCGGCGTGTACCAGAGCTGTCGCGTGTCGGAGGGAGCGACCTCGTCGAGCTTGTCCTCGAAATCGACATAGCGCTGGGAAAGGACGTTCTGGAATTCGGTCTCGTCGCGGAGGTTGGGGAAGTCGAAGGGCTCGCCGGGTGTGAAGATGGTGACTTGCTTGGAGAAGTAGCCGTAGTTGGGATTGTAGAGGCTGTCTGCAGCATTATGCGAAAGGAAAACAGAATGTCAATGTCTCGTGCTTCTCTTTTTTCTTTTCTTTCCTCTCTTTTCTTTTTCATTCTTGGGCTTTGTGCTGTCGCAGCTAGGTAGGTGGATATCTCAACCCCTCGGGTAATGCGCCATGTTTTTGTCTTGGACCGGCAACCAACCTTCGATAAAGTCCCTTAGGAGCATCTTGACCCGACGTGGTCTCTGTTTCCTGCCCCAGAGCTCGGCCGCTGTCACCATTGGCGCTCTCTTGTACTCCTCTGTCATGTCCTGATTCAGGATCTTTGTTCGCTGCTGCCATTGGCTTTCATCCCCCACGGGAGAGCTCGCGCCACGACGCTGGCTCGAGTATGGTCGTCGCTGCTGTCGTCTGTGGTATTGCTGTACTCGATGTCCATTATGGGCTGTCGCGGTCGCAAGATGGCGGAGATGCTTCTGTGATTGACATGCCGGATGATGGCGAAAAAGCTGTCTGAACAGCTGGTTGACGAGTTGCGAGTCCATACTGACTGGGTGAGTCCAGATTGTTGGTGGGCGAGAGAATGAAGCCCGGGCAGTATCCCGGAGGTTGCTGACGGTCTGTTCGTTTCGCCACCTGCTCCAACTGAACTCCCCGCGCCAGTGAGAAGGAAGGTTGAGGTACCGTATACCTGGTCGGTAAATGTGGTGGAGTGGAATCGTCAAGGGGACACGGGGCGACAGGTGGAGGTTGATGGGGGAGGGGGAATGGATCCTGGAGCTTTTGCGGGGTGGCCCGAGCTCACTTCCTCATTCGGTTCTAGAACTAGCTGACAGTGGCCGCTCAGGACAACGGTGGTGGCGGCCCAGGCCAGGGCACACGACATTGGAGGATGGCTCGGCTCTCGCTGTCCGTTGCCCCCAACGGCGCTTACCATTCAGTGACCCGCAGCAACGGGGAAGTGCCGATTCACGACACTATCTGTGACAGGCCTCATGGCTTCCGATCTGACCGGCTTCAGCGGAGGCGAGGCCGGTCACCGGAGCCAAAGGTTCTTCCCTGCCTGCCGTGGGAGACGAGCGACTGAATCGATAACACCATGCTCGAAGTTCCATCGTTGCATGACATCAACAGCAACTTCACAGCAAAAACCTCACAACTTTTGAGGACAACCCGACCACATCAGACAAGACACCCTCTCACTTCATTTTCCGACATTTTCTGTTCTCGTGAATTCCGGCTTCTGTGCCTTTACATCTCAAAGAACTCAACAACCGAATTCTTCTTCCGGGCAACAGCGCCAACGGCGCAAATTTAACTACATCACCACCCACACCAGACGGCATTGACGAGACACCACCTACTATGAGATAAATCTAGATTCCCTTCACACCGAACAACCGCCAAGACATGTCAATAAGCGACCATCCCCGTGTCTACGGCACGGTAGCTCTCACAGCCGCCTTCGCCGCGGGTATCCTCGTCACCCTTGGCTTCAAGGATTGCTACCCTGAACTCGAGAATCGGTACCAACGGCGGAGGAACCGCAACCTAAGCCGATCCAATGGCGATTATGGCGTCGTAGTACCCACGGCCAACCGGGTACACCGTGAGAGTCTCATCTTCGGTCCGGTGCGACTAGAAGACCACGAGGAAGTAACAAGCAACATCAACAGCAGTTTCGACTGGGTCGAGGGCATCGAGGGCTGCATCGGCAACACCCCCTTAGTCATGATCCGCAGCCTGTCCGAGGCAACAGGCTGTATCATCCTCGCCAAAGCCGAGCTTCTCAATGGCGCCGGCGGCAGCCCCAAAGACCGAGTGGCACTCAACATGATCCAGGACGCCGAGGAACGCGGGCTGCTTGTGCCCGGGCGCGGCGATACCATTTACGAAGGGACTGTGGGCAGTACGGGCATCTCGCTGGCGACGCTGGCGCGCGCAAAGGGGTACAAGTGCCACATTTGCATGCCGAACGACATGGCGATCGAGAAGTCGCAGCTGCTGCACCACCTGGGCGCGACGGTGGAGCGGGTCAACCCGGCGCCCATCACGTCTCCTGATCACTTTGTCAACCTAGCACGCAGGCGGGCGCGCGAGCACGAGGCGATACACGCGGACGGCAGCGTCGGGTTTTTTGCTGACCAGTTCGAGAGCACGGCCAACTACCAAGCACATGTCAAGACCACGGGACCGGAAATCTACCGCCAGACGGGCGGGCAGCTGGACGCCTTTGTGGCTGGTGCCGGCACGGGCGGCACTATCGCCGGCGTGGCCAAGTACCTGAAGGAGGAAAAGAACCTATGGGAGACGCGCGTGGTGTTGGCGGATCCGCAGGGCAGCGGGCTGTTCAACAAGATCCGCCACGGCGTCATGTACTCGTCGACGGAGCGGGAAGGTACACGCCGGCGTCAGCAGGTGGACACGATGGTGGAGGGTATCGGCATCAACCGCATCACGGAGAACTTTGAGTCCGGGCGGGTGCTGATTGACGATGCCGTGCGAGTGACAGATGAGCAGGCCTGCCGGATGGCTCGGTGGTTGGTGGAGCACGACGGCATTTTTTGCGGCAGCAGCACGGCTGTCAACTGCGTGGCGGCGGTGGTGACAGCCATGAAACTACCCAGAGGCAGTCGGGTGGTGACGTTATTGTGCGACTCGGGCAATAGACATCTCAGCAAGTTCTGGAAGCATATTGGCGATATGGGGCTGGAAAACGATACCCAGGCGCAAGCGGAGGATCTTTTTGCGGAGTTGGGGCTAGAGGAATTGAAGAGGTAGGAATTGAGACGGACTGAACAACGTAAATATTGTGCCTGCTGAGTCAGGCTCGCTGTCCGCTGCTGTCATCAAACATGTGACATGTTCTAATCGTATCTCATCCAAGAGTCCAACAGGTCCACATAGAAAGGTTTGTTGAGCCATATCGGCTATATGGCCTCTTAATGGTTATATTACTGCTAATGCGTGGTGTGAGGTCTAAGTAGGTCGTTGCCCGTCTCAATATCTACCTCTTTCCAAGTCATGAAGTAGCTAGTGATTCATCGCTCACCTCTTCGCTGGGGTATAAAAAATAATAAGAAAAGTTAGATGATCCATACTCCGATGTTTGAAGAAGTTCCCGAAGGTACAGAGTCTTCCGTCTTCGAGTAACTTTGTTTTCCATTTCCGCTCCCTCCCCCCCTTCCTCCTCTTCTCTCACTGTGCTCTCTAGGTGGAGGGATATTCTTGAGACACCTCAATCTCATATTGCTGCCAAATGAGCTTCCAAACGTGAATGTGATCCAGTCATGAATTATCAGCCAACGAAGCGTGCAACAGGCGGATTTCCCCTTCAAAGTAACATATCGAGCCAGAAAAAAAGACGCGCACTTCGCGGCCCAAGCCATGCCAAAAGGAATGTAATGAAGGAGCTTGTTGTGCCCCGCCATTTAAGAGAACTAAACATGCAACTGTTAGCGATCAAATTGACTTCCGTCAAAGAAAGCGTGTGTATCAACCATACCTTCCAGCGGTTTCCGCAAACTGTGCACTCGCAGAAGGTCGTCATAGGCTCATCAGCCGACCGTGTTTGCGCCTGGCTGTACGACACCTTCCTCTGTCCGCACTTTCCGCACTTCAGAGCATCACTGATCGACTTCTCCGCCATGGGTACCTGGGCCTTCTTCATGTTCTCCTTCTCCAGCTCTTCATCCCTAGCACGCTGTTCCTCCGAGGCCAACTCCTTGTCCGACAAGACGACAAGGCGTTCGACCGGCAGCTCGCCCGACATGACTCGTCGTCCCAACGCAGCGTTGTCCTTGCGCTTCAGGCTGGTAAAGAGGGTGCGACCCTTACTCCGGTACTCCTGGTTCTCGCCCTTGCAAGCTTTGAAGAGGGCATTCTCGACTTCGACGGCACGCTTGACGACTTCCTCAATCGACTCAGTTCTTCGGTAAGCGAGGCCGTTGTAGAGCACACCGATGGTGTTGTTGCGCGTCTGGCTCGAGGTTCGGTTGATGTCGACCTTGTCTGTCTTGAAATGGCGCTTCTCGACGTCACCAGTGTAGGGCTTGTTGTACGCGGATGATGCGGGCGCCGGGGATGCATTGGGTGCTGGGGAGCTGGCACCGGAGGCCGCGGCGGCCTGGCTCTTCTTCTTCGCCTCCTTCGCAGCTTCGACGAGCTTCCTCCACTTGTTGACGATCTCGCTGGCAATACGGGCGATGTCCTTGTTGGGATTGGCTCGCAGCTTTCCCACGGTCACGCCTGCTTTTGTCGACTAGGACGGGCAAAGTTGTCAGAACTTATACCGCTCACATAGATCGCTCTGCGCTGATGGGAGGGCAGAGCAAGACTCACGCGAAGCTGTTCCTCGGTCGGCTTTGCATCTCTTTTCAATTCCTCCAAAAGTTTGATGACCGTCGCAGGAGGTTCGCTGGTGACAGCCTTGGAGAGCGCCTTGATGCGCGCGGCGAGTTCTCGGTCATCCATGGTGTGAGTGGGAGATGACGTTAGGCTGGCCGTGTGTGACTATGCGCAAGCGATAGCGTTCGCGTCGGGTAATCGGCGGCTTCGATTGGGTACGCGGAAATCTCCCTCTACTACGAGGTCAGATAGATGTCGAGCCAAGGCTTAGCAAGGACGAGTGAGCTTGTCCTGGACGATGTTGCGGATGAAGATGGTCGAGCGGGAAAAGCAATGACGAGCAGGAAGAAGAGTCGCAAAGTGAGCAGCGATCGTTGGAGAAATGTTAGTGGAGCTTGAAAGAAAGAGCCCCACTCTGGCCGGTCTTCAGGTTCCACACCGAACAAAGTGAATGGACTAACAAAAGGGCTGACAGGCCGAGACCGTCAAATAGCAATCGCTCAACGGACGAAACAGGCAGTCCGAATCTAACCGTGCACCTGTGGTAACCGTGGTAACAAAAGACTTCCTTTCAATTCCACGAGAGAGAGATCTCTTGCCAAATATTCAGATACTGACGTTTTGGATACGGCAACAGTTTGTCTTTGCCATTGATGGCTGCTGTTTGAATCCGAAAAAGGCAGCTGGAATGAGAGCAAGTAGCAAACAGAGGAGAGGTCTTTGGTCCCTAGATATGCAAATATATGGCAAAGCGATGCTGCTTATCGCTATGCAACATTATGTATTTACAAGCTCCAACTTGTCACAGGCTTAGGACTTGAAAGCGCGTTTAGTAACGCAGTAGACTCCTATCGTTATTCTGCATATATCTCAGACTCCGAAGCTTTATCACCTCGCGGCCGGCTGTTCGGGCTCCGGATCCGGTGCAACCCTCAACATATTGCCTGTCATTGTTGATGTAGTATCTATCAGACATTACAGTACTCAAGGTATGCACTTCAAGGAGCTCGGCTGCATTTGTTCACTGTTCCCCTGATCGCACCACTTGCACATCGACTTGTCAATTCTTGCCCCAACAACAGGAAACACCCTTCACAACAACAGTTACTATTGACTTCAGTCGTCCCTCACTAACCGTCACAGAATACGCTCACTCAGGTCGCAGGGTGACATAAATCCCTCCAGACAAATTCTTGAGCTGACCTTCAGAATATTGCTTGGAATATTTGGCAATCATGCTGACCTACCCCCTACTTCTAGACCATATGGTGCTCCTCTTGAGCCTATTTACTCCTCCGAAATTCTGCAAATGAATCGCCCTAAGAATCCCTTACGCCTGGTCCCGGATTTTTTATACACCTCCCTTTAAATTCATGCGCTCGTACCTGGCCTCTGGTCGGAAAGTTCAGTGCTGCATGTGCCTGACTCCTCGTTGGTCTTTATGGGTTTCTTCACCGATCTGAATTCGATGAAGCACGCAATAAGAGTTGCGAGTATTCCTAGCGGAATGGGGATGATGAGCGCCGCCTGAATCGCCTTATTGTAAACCCGAATCATGGCGGGCAGTTGCTCCGCCGATATCAAGTCGCGGAACGCCGTCGCACCCGCCTCGATCACCTGCTTGATGTCGACTCCCGGGAGCAAGTTGGCGTCGGCTGCCTTGAGCAGCTGATGCTGAAATACACTGTTTCCTACCGACACGAAGATAGCGCCTCCAAGCGACTGAGCAGCGGATACGGCCGCAGTTCCCAACGCCACGTCCTCTTCGCTAAGTACCGTCTGCACGGCTGTGAAGCCTTGTTGAATCGACAGGCCAAAGCCAGCGCTCGTTAAAACTTCATAGCCTACCCATTGGGCTGTTCCTGTGCCGGGCTTCAACAGGGTCAGCAATCCGAGGCCAACAGTGCCAATAGCAGAGCCGATTACTGCTGGAGGGGTTGCATAACCAGTTTTGGACACGATGCCTCCTGCAAGCAGTGAAAACGCCGACTGGGTTACAAAGAACGGGACCATGTGCACGCCTGAGCGCATGGCAGTGTCATTTTTGACGGCCTGGAACCAGATCGGGAGGAAGAAGGTCATGTTGATCAGGATCGCGTATATCATGAAGGCCGTGCCGCATGATGCCGCCACCGTACGCTGCTTGATGATGCGAGGGGGGATCAATGCCGCATCCCCTTTAGCCCATTGCCAAACCATGAATATAATGGCGGTAATACCACAACCGGCTAAAAGCCAAATTATGAGTGGGTGGTTCCATGAAAAGCCTCGAGTCGTATGTTCAAGCGCCAGGAAGAGCATGATGAAGGCGCCCAGAATGAGGATATTGCCCACGATGTCAAGGTCCTTAAATCTGTCAAGGAATGTTCCGGCGTTGCGATTGCTTTTTTGGGGTTTGAAGAACAGAATCAAGCAGATGATGGTTACACCTCCAAGCGGCAAGTTGATATAAAAGCACCATCTCCATGTCTTTGAATAAGATTAGAATATCTGTTATGCAGGAGTGTAAGGCAGACTTACCACAAGGTCCGTAAAGACACCACCTAGGAGAGGGCCGACCGAGGCCCCGACACCGAACCTAGATGTGGTCAACATATGAGGCCTTATTCAGAAACAAGGGCAGTCAGGGCTGCGACACTTACATCAAGCCAACCACGGACGTGAAGACGGGACGCTTCTGCAGCGGAACAGTCATTGTCACGATGATAAAGCTGCCGATTAGAATACCAGCACTGCCGAAACCCGCAATAGCCCGCCCAACAATCAGGGTCGTCGAGTTTGGTGCCAGTCCGCAGAGGAGGGAGCCAAGTTCGAATAAAATCATGGCAGTGAGATATGACCACTTGACCGAATACAGCATAAAAATGCGTCCAAAGACTGGCTGGAAAGCACACGATGTGAGCATGTATGCCGAGCCATACCAACCTATGTCTGATGTTGAATGAAATCGCTTCGTGATGTAGGGCGTGGCCTGTTCGAACGGTGTAAGTTCCGGGTCGTTCACTTCACTCATCAGTTCCGGGTCACCTACCGTAGATATAATAGTACGGTCAATCGATAAAAGTAGCATACCGAGCATAAGGCCCGCCATGAGTAAGACAAGATGCAAGCCTGTGACATAGTCTATGGTTGGCTCCATCTCGCCGTTTACGGGCGGGTTCTCATCGAGTGTCATGGGCTCAAATGTGCGCCGCGTGCTTCCCGCTGCTTGACGTTGCACATCCTCGGAGCCATGCTGGCTTGCAGAAGGTCTGGCCTTGATGATTTCCGTCATCGGATACCGTTGCTCTCCAACCGGCGTTACTTGGGGTCTGAGGCTGGAGTTCCGACGGCCAAGTGACGATGTCGAAGAATCCAGGCGCAGAAATTGGTCCCTGGATGATCCACCCAGGGGGTAGGGGTTTTCGTCGTCGCAAGTTGGTGTCATGGGGTCAAAGAACATTGACCGTGATGGTCGTTGAGAGTGGTGCTTCTGTGCGGTTCCTCCACGATTCTGGCTCTTTTGCCCGGTTAATAGCATGGTCCCCAAGGCTGGGATGCTAGCTTCGCCGTCAAAGGTGAATGATGTTGAAAGAGAAAGAGGGTAGAATGTGAGTTTGGAGGGGGAGGCTTTATTTTCTAACGCCTCCAAGGAATCATCATGGGTTTTCGGTCCATCCATGGCGGTTGGCGAGTTCGAGTTGATTCACGTAGGGATCGGATGATGGGACCGTGAATAGGATTGATAATAGGAAAGACAGAAATGGAAATCATGAAGTAGGTAGCTTGAAACGCTTCTTCTGTCCCTGGGGGCTGTTAACGATAGATTCTGCGTTAAGGTTCCTTGTTTCGCTTGAGGTCGGATGACAAGATTTTACCCGACGCAGCTTCCTCGAATGAGTTTCTTTTGCTCAAAACTCACTCATGCCTCACAAATAAATGTAGGTCGTACTTTCCTAAATTTGATACCGAGGGGACCTTGATGGATAACCCATTGCGTATTAGACGGTTCCCGTGAATATGGTGTGATCCGATAATTCAACTCGTAAGTGGAAGGCGCGCATTGAAGGGCTGTGATGAAGTGGGCAATCGGAACACTGGTCCTCGATCTACTGGATGCTATCACCATCACCTCACTCTAATGATTTGGAATTGTCACTCAGTGAGACTGAGTCACTCATTCCGACAAGCTTTTTCCGTATCACGCGCACAGCTACTAGATGGACGTCGAAGCACGCCAGCATTCGAGGCCTGAGCTGGATGTAATTCGAGCCAACAATGTTCAGTTCTAAACTCCATCCACGCCAGCTCGTTGCTCACCGTGATGTCGGGATGGCCTGTGACACACTCAGGTAATAGGTCGAGAGGGACAAGTATGCCGGTTATCGTGTCGACTTATTTACCAAGTGCCTGCCATGATTCGACACTGTTTCCCTTCTCATGGTGTAACTTGCGGTTGGTTACCCTTTACCCGTGTCGAAGGGGTCTCAAGCACACAGACATCTTTCACTTTTCCATCCGCGACTTGGTGGGACAAAGGGCTACTTAGTGGACAGTTACTCAGGAGAGACACGTCTGGGGAGGTGTATTCTTCCATTGAGGCTCTGCCAGTTGCCTTTTGGATTCGATATGGTAAGGAGTAACCAGGCAACGCAGTAAGATGGAGAGGCTCTCAGCACTGCATGTTGCATGCACCTAGCATGGAGCATCTACATGGCCATTTGTGATGTTCTTGGGTTTTTCTTCAGATGACTTCCCTCAGACCCCCATAGAATAGGTAGGTCAAGAGCATTTTGGGCGTATGTAACGAACGAACACTGACTCGACAATGCCGCGTAAGTTGCCAGTGGGCTTCATCGGATATTCGATGTCATATGTTAATATTACGTATTTACAGGTTTGTGTCTTGGCTCGAGGTCCTTTTTTGCCTTCCCCCATCTCATATCCGATAGAGTCTATGTCCACTCATACCTCAATCATTACATATCGCATTATCCAACGTTAGCGGTTTCATACCATATTTAGGGCATGATCCTGTCTTTCGGCGTGATTCGTGCCGCCTCTCATTACTCGTCGCCAATCATATCCGTTAATAGGCAGCGCTATCCAAGATTCCCCACAGCGAGGCGTACAGCTGCCTTTGAGGGACTGCCTCATCATAGGAGGCTAGCTGTTCAGATAGGGATGAGCCCGCTCGAGGATCATCCATCGCCGCGGAATCTATCCAAGGTGTATGGTGAATACCTCTCAGACTTCCTCATGACAGCGAAACTGGGATCTGCCACACCAAGTGCCTATCAACAATAGTTGCACCGTCCCGAGGAATCAGGGCCAAAGGTCAGCGGAATGACCAACGGCCTTTTCCTCATCTGAAAGAAAATCAGCCAACCCTTTACCGGTTCCAACGGTCCTCCATGTCAGGGGTGTCCCTATAATCTCGGTCATCCACCTCAAACTCGTCACGCCCCATGAGTCTGATACCTTCATCCTTGTTCTTCTTTCCGAAAAGACCCTTCTTCTTGCTCTTACCAAGGAGGTTGTAACCCTTTCCACGGCCCATGACGCTACCAACGCCAATGCGTCTTAGCTTCCTGTTCATCAGGCAGGTACCGCATGACACGAGTAGGACGAAACCGACAATGGCGGGAATGCCAATGTACAGAGCTGCACCATCAGGAAGCTCGTTCTTGTGCTCGTGAAAGCGGCGGGTACGGACAATGGTAACAGTGGGACCACGGACCCAGTGGACTCGGTGGTCGTTGTGGTTCTTGGCGCCGAAACCAATGGTGATGTTGAGCGCATGCTGCTTCTTGAACTGCTTAGGAGAGAAGAGGTTCTTCTTCACATTCCACTCGTAGTAGCCCCAGCCGGAGGACATGTAGTCGGTAGCAAAGGCTTGGTCAGTGCCCTTCTGGTCGTAGAAGGCGACGATCTTGATGGAGGTGTTGTGCCCGAAATATTCGGGGTCCCAGGTAACTTTGAGGCAGAGATTGTCAGCTTTGTTCTGGTAATTCGGGAGGTTAAGGACAAGGAAGGAAATCACGTACTGTGCTGGTCGGTGTTAATAGAGATGTTTTGCCCATGAGAAGGCTCGCAGAAAGGCGCATATGGACCATCTTTGTTATGACACTGCTCGAAGGCGCCGCTCCCGGTCTTCTCGAATGGTGGTAACTCATCGTCGATGATGATCTCGTCGTCGGATGTGGGGACTGGGGCAGCAGAGATCACGGTCGGTGTACCGTCGATGGTAGTGAGCACGGGGGTAACGGTGATAGGCCTGCCTCTATCGTTGACAGTGGTCCAAACTGCTGTGAGGGCGGTGATATCTGGCGCAACGGCAGTGGCGGTAGAGGAACCGGTGATGGAAGCCTCGGTACTCTCAAAAACGCCCGCCGGCATGGCCGAACTCGTGCCCAAGAGCATGAGCCATGTGGCGGCGGAGAGAGCGGGAATGGTCGCAAGCATTGTGCGAAAACGTGGGCCGTGGTCCGTATCAAGTCGTCGTTTTCCGCGATTGGATGTATGTGTGGGTGGGGGACCAGTCGACGATGGGATGGAAGAGAGATGGGAGAAAAGAAAGAGAACCCGGGTCAGAGAGGATGAACTGCGCCAATTGATCCGATCCGAGCGAGTCGGTGGAGCGCGATGTAGGAGCAGAGCTAAGAGCGGACACGCCAACGGGTGGATGACAAGGAACTGTTTCGGCTTCCGGGGAAGAAGGAGTGATGGGGAGAATTCAGCCGGGCGGACAGTCAGCGGCCGGTTGTCTTTCCAATCATTGTAGACCTAAGCAGCGGAAAGCGGCAAGACTTGTCGGAGATCACGGAGGTGATCTCAACTTTCTTGCGGACGAGGTCAAGAGGGTCCCGTCCCGTCCTTCTCGGGCCCTTCGTTCCCCAGGCGACGCGTGACGGGCAGCGTCTTGGCAGGCGCTGTCCACCACTTTTAGCGCGAATTTGCGAAGCTCCAGTGGCATTGTTGAACCTGCATATGCCGGGAGCCCGGGACAGCATCAGGTACTTGCCAGGCCGGCAACCCGGACCAAGCGGACGCAAACCCCTGCATAAACACATCTAACGGATCAATGCCAAGAATTCATCGACTTTTCCATCGACAGGGGGTCGCGAAGACAATCAAGGGGTACAAACGAACAGGGGTAAAGTGTAAACACGACGAAAAGCCCCGAGGCTTTTCATGCCTACAACACCATCATTACACATTTTCTGGTACAAAATGCCTTCGTTCGATTATCAAAAACAATTCAAACTGTCACATCCTTCCAAGCTTCCCAAATCACTGCCTTCAAGAAACAGTGTTCTTGGCAACGATGCCCCGCGCAAACTCTCCAAAGGTAATGTGCTGCTCCATATCAACCTCATCGCCCAAGTTGGGCTGAGTGAACACCGCAAGCGTGTTGCGCGCAATCCTCCCGGCGCTCATCTCAGCCCGCGCACCCCGTACAAAGTGCGGCACCGCTTTGAACTTGCCGCCCGTGATGCGCTCCAAAGCCTCACCCGTCTGAAAGGCGATGCAATCGCGGGGAATCTTGACCTGTACCGTCTGGCCCGTGCGGGACTTGATGTAGAGGCCGGCCTTCGGGTCTGGAGATGTAGGAAGCTCACCCAGAGGGGGTAGCGAGCCATTTACCGATGGGTTGACAATCGGGGGCGTGGCCGCCTCGTCGACGAACATGGCGGAGGTCAGGCCGGTAAGACACCCGTGGTCAAGATGGGTGGCGCACCAGTCGTCCTCATCGCCCTCCTCCTCCTTGTTGCTCTCCTTGCTGGCATCCGTCGCGGTGGCCTCCTCGGGGAAGTAGTGCAGGAGACGGGCCTTGGTGGTAGTCGAGGTCTTCACGACACCCTCTAGATAGCCAGCCGGATAGCCAGCAATCTGCTTCTCGGCAAATCGGTCGCAGGCACGCGCAACAAGGACGGCAACGTCGATAATCAAGCGACAGAGATCCTCAAAGGTAGGCTTGAATCCAGGCAGGGTGCTCTCCTGGGGCCACAGGTTGGGCGACAGATATTCGGGGAAGTTATCGGGGTTGAACTCCTCCGTTGGCTTTGCGCAAGACAACGAAGGGTCAACATAAAAGGCGCAGTTGGCATAGTAGGAACCCTTCAGGTTGTCGACCTGGCCATTTTTCAAAGTCTCCTTGCCGAGCGACCAGCCAGTCAGATACTTGGCCTTTTCGTTCTCGAGCCGGTCAAGTTCGGACTTGGGAAGGTTTCCAAGGTACGAGGAGTAGGATAGCAATCGGTGGCGCAGCTCAGCGAATTCCGCGGGGACGTCCTTAACGACCAGGATGCCCAGTGAATCGGGACCAAACGCCTCCTCGAGTGCCTCCAGGGAGACCGTTCCTGTCAAGATGCCATGTCAGTAGAGTTATTTTACATTTGTCAACGCTGATCTGTAGTCAGAGCGGCCGGCTTAAAATCGGTAACTCGCTCGAGTGTGACGGGTAATCTACCGTTCTTCAAATCATTCAAAGATACCGTAACCGCGTGTGCAATGGCCGCCATTTTTATAAGTGGTCGAAAGACAAACTGTTGAACAAACCGTTCAGATACTAAAGCGATCAAGGAAAGCCGTCGCCGCAAAAGAGGACCAAAGGTCTGACTTGTATTACCTCGTAAAATTTTCTGTTTCCAAACAACTTACGTATCGTCTGGATCTTATAAGATACTCAAGGAACCAACCAAGTCGATGGCCGACGCTAACCATTCCCGAGCCGCTCAGAGTCTGCCAAAGCCTTACGGACCTGCTTGACAAGGGAAGTGGGCCCGGCCGATAGATGGGGCATGAGTGGGGGCCCGGCCGGCTCCAACGGGCATTTCCGGGCCTTCCACTACCGCACCCCGAAGCGGGGGTTGCCCAGCAAGCACGATGGGGCAGAGACCGTTGGATCTCTTATCGATAATGATTCGATCTTACACTATCTATGTACCACTAGGCAGGTACCTAGGTATGGGGAGGTAGGTACCACTATGGACTTGTCTTGTTTCCATCATCGTCGGTCGGATCGGTCACGTCAACACACGCGCTCGCTTGAACCATAACTTTCGAAAGCAGACCGCAAAACATCCACATACAGTCCGACGGAGCATCAGATATGGTGAAACCACTCACCTTCAAGGGCGACAAAAAGGCCAAAAAGAGAAAACGCACAACAGCGGACCAAAACGACGATGACGTTCCAGAACGGCAAAAGAAGCAATCCAAAGCATCAGCCACCAGCTCCGATATCACCACTACTGCCGCCGCCGCTTCCAATGAAGAAATAGAAGGCGAGGAACACGACGACAGCTGGGTATCTGCCGACACGCCCTCCGACGTATCTGGTCCCATCATGTTCGTCCTCCCGACCGAGCCTCCGACTGCGCTCGCCTGCGACGTCACGGGCAAGGTGTTTACTTTGCCCATCGAGAGTATTGTGGACGGCAACCCGGCGACGGCGGAACCGCACGATGTGAGGCAGGTGTGGATGGCGAATAAGATTGTGGGAACGGAGAATTATAGGTTTAAAGGGCATCATGGGAAGTACGTCATAATCAAAGTTTCTTCCGAGAAGCCCCCTTCATCTTTCCCGATTCCGACCAAGACTCGTCCTATCCGAATAACTATTAATCGATTCTCCCTGCGACTTTATTAGGTACCTAAGCTGCGACAAAATCGGTCTCTTCACCGCTAACTCCGATGCCATCACCTCCCTCGAATCCTTCACTATAATCCCGACCTTCGATACGCCTGGCACCTTCCAAATCCAAACGTTACGGGAAACATTCTTGACAGTCCGCGCATCGAAGTCATCAAAAGCTAACGCGGCACCTGAGGTGCGCGGCGATGCGACAGAGATCTCGTTCGACTCGACGCTGCGAATCCGGATGCAGGCGCGGTTTAAGCCGCGGATCAAGGCGTCGAAGGAGGAGAAGGCGCGGGAGAAGATTAGCCGGCGCGAGCTAGAGGAGGCGGTGGGGAGGAGATTGGAGGAGGACGAAGTGAAGAAATTGAAGAGGGCGAGGAGGGAGGGTAATTATCATGAGGTCATGTTAGATTTGAAAGTGAAGGGGAAACACGATAAGTATGGTTAAGGGGGCAGGCAGATGTGAAGAGAGACGGGGCTTGCTGGTCACGCGCGCGGGGGCGCATTTCAAACCTACGATGGTATGAGACTTACACGATACCCAAGAAAATGTGATTTTATCTGATTAGCTGGAATTCATTGGTCGGACTAGAAGACTGCACTATGTATCTTCCAGTGATGATTCTATAACACGTTGTAAGCAGCGCAAGAGGGAAGGAGTGACATTGAAGTTGCACTATGTTTCGGCAAGAAGAGGGCTGGAAAGCAACAATAACTTGATACACCAAGTACAGTCCTTGATCTAACTCGCCTTACGCCATACAACGCCGTAAAACCACTTGACCGCAAACTTCCTTAGGCTCTATCCGTTCAGGCCATCATAAAATTGGAAAAGCTATTTGGAGAAAAAAAAGGAAAAATAGAAGATCGACAAAAAGACAAGAAAAGAAAAGTCCAAGATGTGAAGCAAAAACCCATGCCCAACGGAATGAAAGCCAATAAAAAGTCAATCACAAACGCCGCTAAACCATGCTAAGAGTATTATTTTGTTACAATAAGTATTCAAGAACAGAAAGTGAAGAAAGAGATGACGGGGTCGACCTAAGATTCGAGCCGCATCCGTTTAGCATCTTGATTGTTCCCAGTGTCATTCTCGGGCCCGGTACTTTTCGTCTCGGGGCTCTTCCTCTTCAGTGGAGTGGGATCGTCTCTCAAGAACGATGGCCCGGTTCCGTTAACAGGTGTGGCAAAGTTCAATGGACTAGGAAGCGTGTTGCTCTCCGCGCTGATGCCATATCCCCATTCAGGATAGAATCTGCTGGGACTAGGCAGCAGATCGCCCAGAAATCGAGATGGGAGAGCAGAAACGGGAGTGTCGATGTTCATATTGTTGTTGTGCTGAATTGTTGATCGAGGGGCAAAGGGATTAGGTGGTCCTGTGGCACCCGCAGAAGGTAGATTGGAGGCCGATGGTGACGGTGGTGGAAGTACAGAGCCGGTCTTTAGCGGTTGTGGAGCGGAGTCCGTTGTGGTTGTAACACGAGGAGAACTTGCCGACCCAGCAGCGCTTCCGCTATCCGAGTCGTCCGGAATCTGCACCTTAAGCCGCGGTCGCAATGGCCCACCTCCCACACGTAGGTGTTGGGGCCGGGATGGCGGAGGAAGCGTCGATTGTGAGATTACCGCCAATGAATTCGTTCTTTGAGCTGACCCCTGGCCATGTGCACTGGAGAGCTGGATAGATGGTGTAGAGGTATTAGGCTTAGACACGTTACCGCCATCGACAGACTGCGACCGATTGTTTGGCGACTCGGACTTGATATCCGGACGGAACGCGGCAAAATGCTGTGACAGAATAGACTTGTTCTCTGGTTCGATTGGCGTAAAGACACTGCCCTGCCCAGGGTTCTTGACCGATGTATTCAGCGCGGGGATCAGCCGGCGTGGCCTCTCCATAGACTCTGGCTTTGGCGGTGCAGGAGGTTGAAGGTTTTGATTAGGCATAGACTGAGGTTGTTGCTGCTGGTGACGGTGCTGCTGCTGCTGCTGCTGCTGAGGCGGTTGAGCTGGCTGTGGCGGAGGAGGTGACATATTTGCGCTCGGTAGCCGCTGCGGCTGCTGTGGAAGCTGGGCTTGGTGAACTTGAGGAGAGGCAGAATGGCGATGTACTTGTTGCTGCGAGATCTGCGGTTGGAGAAGTTCAGGCGGGGACGTAGAATGGCGATGTGCTGGATGTGGTGGCGGTTGAGACACAAAAGTCGGAGGAAGAGGCGATCTTCTCTGGTCCTCGAACTGTTGCATGGAATGAGCAGGCGGTTGAGACGGCTGGAAGGGATACTGGGGATGCAACTGTGTGGGAAGACCGTGAGTAGGCGCCATGGTAGCAGGTGGTTGTGGGTTGTAGATGGGAGGCGATGGCACAAAGGCGCTCCTATTTTGAAGTTCCTGGGCGACTCCCGCAGGACGGACCGGCTGCCCGGGCCTCAGCCTTCGGATATCGTTGACAGATGGTGGCCGAGCGACGAAGGGCGGCTGGGGAGTATGGGCGCGGCTCATTTGATGTCCCGGCTGAGGCCCGAACGCGCCGTTTGGTACTGGGGGTGAGTCCGACAGACTTGTGTGCCGGAGAAAGGGGTATGAAACTGGCGGGTTCGGTTGGTACATCATATGTTGTTCCCCTTGCGAATTAGTCCCATTCTCGTCATCGTCGTCATCGTCGTCGGCGCCACCATTGAAATCAGAAGGGCCTTTGTGCTCATTAGGTCCTCCGTGCTGTACGGTGTATCATGGTAAGTACTTGATGTCGAAAGAAACAATCTTCTTGGGGTCTGCTTACGTAGGTATATCGTTGTAGTATATCGCGAATATTACTGGATGAATATTCGTACAGCTTTTTGTTGTTGCCGAAGATAATAACGGCAACGTCGACAGAGCACAGGACGGAAAGCTCATGGGCTTTCTTGAATAAACCCCCTTTGCGCTTCAAGAATGTTCTGTATGTTCCGGAGCATCAGTTTCAGCTACAATGGAGCATTTTCCACCGAGGTTGAAAGCTTACACGGAGCGATTCCTGTCATCCTTAATGGCCTTGATTTCTATCTTCCTCCTGCCCATCTTGGCGAGGTGTATGTGCAGAGCACTGCGATCAGATCAATACAGGTGTGATTCTCTCGGGGCCACGGAAGTGGTGTCTTGTATCAGTTATCAACACGATGGATTCGACAAAACAGCAACGTGTGAGTGGTGAGAGACAACGCGTTGGGAAGTCGGGATGTCGTCGGATGTTTGTAATTGACAGCGCCGAGTATGCGGTCCTCGGGTCGGAACGGGAGTAGTTCGATCTGATGATGCTGTGGAGGCACAATTGGCATGTATATGCGACTGGCACTATGTCGACGCTTGCAGTGAAAGAACAAGCAAAGGCCTATCGATGGCCAAGGACAACGAAATTGATGCAGAAGCTGGATGTGCTGCTAATGGAGGATTCGGGGAGGACGTCTGCTAGAAGAGTGAAGTCGTCAACACCACCGGCAAGGTCGACAGCTCTTCGTCGGCAGCCGGTATCTGGATATAAAATATCCAGCAATGCAAAGGATGTTCGAAGACGTTGTAGTACTGCAGTACCTTGCGGCGCCGGTCGATGCAGATGAGGCTGGCTTGATGATGCTAATAATAGATCGTCTTCTTCACGTTCACACGCAAGTTGGGGGAAAGAGGACAGACGAGCGACGGGAGTGCGCGAAGGGGGGAGAGCCCAGGGCCTGGGGCACCGCTGCACTAGTACCTCCTAACACACAGTTCGGCTGGGGATGAACTGACGGACCTACCCATTCAAGCCACTACCGTAGGTTGTGGAGGGGGGTGGAGGGTCCGGTCCCTTGGGTGCCCTGCCGTGGAGCGTGGGTGCCACGGTGCTTACCTATGTGGTGTACACTAGGTACTGTAGCAGCCGGAGCGAGGTGGATACCACACCACCCAAGGGACACCTACATCAACTGCAATCACAACGAAGGAAGTCGAGGGACACACGAGTCAGGTCTTGGCGGACAAGGCTCTCCTTCATCTCTCATCGGGACTCGGTATCCAGGTCCGCACACAAATCCCCAATTACCTCTTTGGGAAGCATACGTAATAGAGTATTAGCTACGAAAATACCTTTTTTCAAGCGCCAGAAGTCTCGCGCAAGCGCGTACTAACAATTTTAATACCTTTATACTATTTTAATTATAGATCCTCTTTAATTTCCGTACGGTTTGTATTCGTTGTATCTGTATTGTGTTTATCCCGTTTCTCGCTTGCGTGTTATTTATACAATATCCCGCAACCTAAATTAAAATTATTATTATAGTATAAACCTACCCTAATTATAATTGTAAAAATAAGTAAATTACTTGTAGTTATTAATTTATTTTTATTTTAAATTAATACTTATACGTAATAAATATATTCACTATTCCTCTAAACAAATAAGAATTCGTTCAACTACTCTTTAATAATATAAATACTTCTATTGTAAATACCGTTTATAATATATATTAGCCTCCTTTAATACCGGTACTTAAAATTAAAACTTAATAATAGTAGAGGCTAAACTACTCTACCCCTAAGTTAATTAATTCGCTATTAATAGCTATACTAGGTTTGCTTCCTATTATTAGTGAAGTGAAATTTATTAATAGACCTTCTAATAGGTAATAGTAATAATTAAAAAAATTAAAACAAATAAAACCGTAGAGGTCTTCCTTACTTCTACCCCCTTTCTTCGCTAGTACCTCCTTCTTTGCTAGTACCCCCTTCTTCGCTAATACTTCCTTCTTTACTATTACCTCCTTCCTCCCTACCTTCTAATAGAGGTATTAACCCTATACCTAAGCTATAAAGTAGCCGTCGTAGGATACAAAACCGGGAATTTATTAAATTAGTCCGAACTATTCTAAGGATATTTAATAGCAGTTTCTATATACTAAAGGAAATAATTACTATCCGTGAGCGTTACTTTCAAATAGACGAGTTTTAAGTGAGTAAGAATAAATAGGAGTATAATTAGTAGTAGGTTTCATACTTTTAAATTAAGAGTGATAAATTAAAAAGGTTAAAACTTAGTCTTAAGTAAAACCGCTACTACTATTACTTATACTAAAGTAAGCTAGATAATAGTAGTAGAACCGGTTTTACGTTGAAAATTATTTGTATACTTAATAATTACTCTATAAATTTACAATTAGAAGAAATTCTAGAAGGGATTTATAAAATTACTATTATTAACGATTATATTTATAATATACTAACGTATAATTAAATTACAATACTAATAGCTATTTAAAAGTATATTATTTTCTTATTAAAAACTAATTACTTTCCTACTATAATAGAATATATAGTACTCGGGTAGGAGAATGTTCCTATTGAAAGACTACATCTAAAAAGCTACGGTAGTCGATGGTTTAATATATAAAAGATTATTAATTTAAAACGGCGGTTAGGTATAAAAATTAAAAAGTATTATTAATTTTCGAAAAAGGATAACCTAATGAATAAATTATAAGAGTATTTAAATTACTTTAGTAAATTATTAGTGTAAATAAATAATAAGAAATTGAAATAGAAAGGCTAGTTAGTTGTAATAGTAGGAGATAATATTAATTTAAAAAAGAAAAAGAAAAAGGAGAGATTAATTAGGTTAATCTTTATAAAGCAATCTAATTTAAATATTTTATAAGAGCGAGGGAAGATTACTATTATAAATACAACCTATAAAATAAATTATTATAACTTCTATTTATTTATAGTTATAGTACGAGACGACTACGGTTCTTAGCTTCCTATTACGTTCTTCTATATTATTTATTAATATACTAATATTATTGAAATATATTTAAGAACTTTAATTAATTAATATAGTAATTTAAATAGTTAGGTTGTAAAGTATATAATAATAGACAATTTAATAATTAAATAATTAACTATTTATAATACTTTTACTAATAAGGGGGGAGCTACTACTATTTAATACTTATTGTATAGGAAATACTCTTAGAATTTATTATATAGAAATATTTAAAATAACGAAGAATATTTAGAAGCTATAGGTATAATACTATACTACCGATCAACTAAGAAGAAATATTTCGCATCTATTAATATAGTTATTATTCGAAGTATTTGTAAATAAATAGTTTATATTAAGAAAGATTAGAAACTAAAAACCAAGTACTAGGTTTACTAATTTAAATATAGTATTCTTTTACTTCTTTAAATTAATACTACGAATATAATTAAGTTTTAGTATAGTTACTTTAAGACTAAAAATGCTATGAAATAGAAGATAGTAGGGTTTTATAGTTTGAAAGGCAGTTTTATTACTATTATAAATAGATTAGAAGATTATTACCGTTTAGCTAATAAACGGAAGATTTATAGTAAATATTAATGTAGACCTTTCGTATATATATTTCTAAACTTTAGTTTCGAATAGCTACCTATTTGTATATAGACTATAGTCTTTCAAAAGCTTTACGAAGTAAGAAAAAAAATGTATACCCTTAAAGAAATTTAGGAAGGATATACAAAAGTACTTAATTGGGAAGTAATATATAAGAAAGATAATTAACTATAAATTCTCTACTTATTTAATACTATTTAGAATATTATACTAATATATTATAGTTATAATACTAATAAGGTTTCTCTTCTTAAACCTCTTAATAATAAATTTCAAAATTATAATTACTTTAAATTAAATTATCTATTATTAAGAAATATTAATAATAATTAGGTAAAAGTAAATAATCTTCTTGCTAATATACTTCTCTATAAATATAAATAGTTCGCAATATAGTAGCTCCTATATACTTATATCTAATATTATTATATTATATTCAATTTATTACTTCTAATATATTTTATTCAATTAATTAATCTTTAGGCAGAAAATAGCTTTAAGGTTTATAAAGAAATTAAAATACTATTTGAAGGTATATTTAATAGTATTATTAGTATACTATTAAAATAAAAGCTATAGACTTAAGAGATTAGCGAACGGTTAAATATAAATATTTACCGAATTAGAAATTTAGTAATAATTTGCGGAGGTTCCGTAGAAGAAACGGATTACTAATTTCAAATCTTTATTAATAAGGTAAAAAAAAGCATCGATGTTATCTATACTATTAATTTAGAAGATTTATAATAGTAGCGGCTAAAAGCTTTAAGGGAGGATTTAGATTAGTATTTTATTTAAAGTTTTATAGTATATCATTTAATATTTTACTCGAATTAAAAAGTTAAAGTTTTAACTATTTTTTTTAAGGCTACCCCCTTTAATATATTGTAAAAATATATTTTATATACTATCTACTAAAAATTAGAGGGCTATAGGTACTATATGACTATAACCCCGTAGCGGAGTAGTACTATATATATAACATTATAAATTGATAATACCTTAACCTTTATAGAGTATTCCTAAATATAAATATATAGTAAAATAAAAAAAAGGTAATATAATTATTAATAAGTATATTTTATACTAATATATCGATTTGTAGGTTATATATCTAAGTATATACACTAATATAAGTAGAAATATATATTTCTCTTAATTTTCATTATTATTTTACTTAGTAATAGTACTAAGCTACCCCTCCATTGAACCTCTCGTATAAATAATAAAATAAAAAATTCTAATATAAAATACTCTAAATTCTTATATAGGATAATATTTAATATAGTAAAGCAAATAAGTATATAAATAATACAGTAATTTATTTAAATTTAAAATTAAATTACTAATAAATAAATTACTAAATAAATAATTACCCCTCTATTTTACTTTCTTTTATTGTATTACCTTCTCTTCTTCTCCCTCTTCTTCTATTATATAATATTACTACTTTCGTACGTATCCCTCCCCTTTTCAACTATACGTATAATTTTTATTAATAATATTTATATATTTAATAGATTTATTTTCTTATACTACGCTACTCTTTTTATCGTACGTATCTATTTTTCTTTTCTATACGCAATTTAATTCTAAGCACAAACTTAAATTAATATATCTATAATTATTTAATATACAATAATAATAATAACTGACTATTCTAACTATAATTCCCAATACTCGTACTAATAATAGTTCTACTTCTAATTAGGGCTTTATATCTATTAATATATAAAATACTCCTACTATTAAAATTAGTATTAGCGAAAAGCGTAAGGCTAATATTATTACTATCAATTCCCCCACCCCTATTAAAAAAATTATAAGAGCTATTCTTCTATAATTCCTTATTTATATTTCTATATTCTAATATTAATTAGAAGGTTACCGCTCTTACTACTCCTACTAAGAAGCTTAGCAAGGAGTATAAGATTCCTTGTACTCCTTATATTATTAGGGTTGAAAAAAACCCTAGGTAGAAATACTATAACTAAATTAATAGAGGAGTTCTATACTTTAAATATTCTAAAAATAGTTACTACAAATATTATATTCTAATAAGAAGTTTCAAAAAACTTTAACCTAACCTCTAATAATTTATTAATTTTTTTTTTCTTTTAAGTTCCCGAGGGTATTAAAGATAGAGTTATTACTTAATAGGAGGAGAATGCTAGTAAAAAATCGATTAGTAAGCGCTCTATTACTTTTATAGAAGAATATAATAATATTATAAGAATTATTACAATTATTAAAAAAAAAAAATTACTACTACTACTATTATTCCTCCCTATATAGGTATAAGCCCCTTCGGTCCGTCCTTACGCCCCTTTAATAGCTATACTTCTACTAGTTCTTTCTAGGACCAATTTATAATTAAAAAAGAAACTAAGGCTAAAATTTAAGAGGAGAAGGAGTTTATTTTATATATTCGCTAGGTTGAGGCTTTAGAGAAGATTGTTAATTCTTTTAGTAATTATTTACCTATTTTTGCTATATATATTATAGGTATTAAGAATGTTTTTAATACTATTAATTAGAGCCTTATAGGTTTCTAAATTTTTTAAATTTACTAAGAAACTTCTATTAATTTATTGTAAAATAGTTTAATATTAGTAATTATAGTATTTATAATACTCCTCTCCCTAAAGATAACGAGAAGGAAAATACTACTATTATTTAGAAGGAGGGTAATAGTAAGGAGGATATTAATAGTAAAAATATTAGTAATAAAGGCAGTAGTAAAGAGGAGGATTTATTTTTAATTACTATATAAATAATTAAAGGTTATTATCTACAAAACTAGAGTGGTTTAGCTCTTTTCAAATATTAGTTAATATTTATTAGGAGGTTTTTTATCCAACTTTCTCTTTTACCTTTTTCTTATTTCGATATTATTATTTAATTTATATCGAAAAGTACTAATACCTCTATAAATATAGTAAAAACGGTGTTTAAAAAATAAAAAATAAAAATAGTATTTAGTAGTAACTATTTCAATAATAAAAATTTTTATAATTATTTTAATTATTAAATAATATTCTTATTATATAAAACCAAACTTAAATATTCAATTTCGTAAAACTTAATATAAAATCTACTAATTCTTAATTTAAAAGCTCAATATTTAAAGGTAAGATTCATCCTACTATCCAAATTATACTAGTAAAGTCTTAGATATTCCGCACTAGATTTGCTATTTGCACATCGATGCCAGTATTATCGTTAAAATACCAGCCAATATACGGTTCCCGCAACCGCGGCTTAAGCGCTTACGTACCGCTACAGTTCCTACCTAAGCGCGTTGCGCACGGAATATAGAAGTTACTAGTGACATTAGTATTGCATCCGTACGGTGGTTCGAAGTAGGCGCAGTACTTGCCAAAATAGGTAATTGGGAGATTTTGCGCGGACCTGGATAACGACCCCCCTCTCATCCCCAACAGGCTCCATCGCGTTGGTTTTCGTTCTTCTGCCCATCTGGCACGTCCTACTCTGGCCTGTATTTGCGCCGGAAGTTTGGACGAGAGGACGAAGGTGAAAGCCTAAAACACCCCGCAACTGGTTGATACCCTTCCGTCAGCCAGCCGACGCCATCTCGCTTCACGCTTCAGGGACACTGTGACAAACATGCACAGTAAACAGAGTTTAGCCCGTCCCCGTGGAAAATCGAGCCGCATTTACCTAGGCTTGGATTTTCAGGACAACAAAGGACGCCTTTCGACTCGGTCAATTCCTGGGGAAGACAGAAGAATGCAAGGTTTGGGTTGTAGTACGAAGATCGATTAAGAAGCCGATTGTTTCGTTGCGGATGAAACATAGAGCGTCTGTAAGAACATTCCTTCGTTTTACCCCCCTCACGTGCATAAAACTAAACCTTTTAACCTCCCAGTAAAACGCCTCCTCGCTACATCTGCTCGAAGTCGTGCTAAAAGATTGCGTGCGTCTTTCACTATCGGTGTAACCAGGGTTCAATGACATGCAACGAGGGGGGATAGGGTACGACATATTTTATTGCTCGATGAATTGACTAACCTCGAGCTAACCTCGCTCCGCAACATGGATGTCGATCAAAAGCCTGCACTAATTTGCCGGAACGATCTGATATCACCCATTCAACCACCCCGGTTCACCAGTGATAATGAAATGAACGAATTGCTTTACCAGCACTGGCGATGTCAATAAGTATGTGTCTCCTTTTGCCTTCTGCTAACCAATTCTCAGCGCGTTATAGCACATGCGCGTTTGGCCATAGCTTTGTTGAGGTTGAAGTCGCTGTCACAGTGCGACGACTGAAGATGCTACCCCTGGTCATCCAAATGCTTGGATCGGTTCGTCCCAGCTCTCTCCTCCCGGCCTTCAGCCCGGTACGTACCCTCGTGGACGTCTCGGTATGCAAGAAAGGTACATACTACGTGCAGACAGCATGACGGCCCCGGCCCCCGGGATGTCTCGGACTTCATACATGCTGTACGTACGACGTCCTCCGGGTCATATTGGAGCTTTCATATCGACAGCTGCGTAACACAGGACTTTTCGTTCTTGACGATTAGTTGCTTCCATGTCTTTAGATGTCGGCTCAACGTTGAATGTGCTCTCCAGATTGATCAAAACGGAGGCCAATTCACGAAGAAGGTATTTACGTCTATCTACCCACGGATTTTGTAATGTCAAGGTTTACAACTGCAAAGAGCCGAGGCCACAAAATACTCATCTTGTAACAAGGAGAATGACAAAAGTTTCCAAGCCATAAGAGATGCTAGTTATCGCCGTTGTTGACAGATTTACCCATATCTGCAAGGTTTCAAACAGAAAGAAAGCTCGTCATATCTAAAACTACTACATCTTGGGCATGACTCCGAATACCTAAATAGAGACATAATGATTTAATCCCCTCACCCCCTCCCACTGAAAAAAATGGGGCTTTTTCCTTTGTTAAGGGTTTTTTTTTTTTTTTTCTTTTGGGTCTAGTGGCGGTGACTACCTCTCTGTGATTGTTCATACAGTAGCACAGGGCTATTTCAAACCACAGATTTGATTATGGCCCATGATATGTCCAAGTCGTCTATTTCTTCCAAGACATCAGGCTCTCTCGACTTAGGCGCTGTCGCTTTAAGTTCATGAAGACAATGTATACCTGGTTGGAAGAGAGAAACCATTGCCAATACATGGAACCCGAGACACCAAGAGAGGACCTGCGCAGCGTTTCATCACAAGGTATCCAAAGTCCCAGAGAGATTGATAAGTGAAAGTTAGGATGGATGGTGACATTTATCGTAGAAATCTGCTAAACCTTGGAGAAGGGGGGTAAAGACAAGTCGGCCTGGTCACGGCGACCAGCTGGCAGAGGGCCAAGCCTATGGTCCTCAAGCTGCATCAGAACTTACCTTTCTCCGATGACGTCGCGGGGTGGCTGTTGATGGTCCCCTTCCCCAGCGGACTTGGCTCCGTCGAAAGCTCTAAAAGAGCTGGGATATCTGGAATCCGGAACCATGCGACAGCCGAGACAGTCGCGTTCATGATCACATTACTAAAGTCATAGCTCTGCACTGTTGACTTGCCTGAATGACATCCTTCTTTTGCCCATCCTCTCATGTCCGTCTTCTGCATGTTTCGAAAGTCTGGACTTCGACCAGCCCATGAGAGATTCCCACTACATAGACAAGCGACGACGAGCCAGTATTCTAAGCGAGGTGTTGATCGATCGTCTACTCTCGGGTTGTCGGAACCGGAACCATGTCATTGTGCAACGATGCAAGGAGACCGCAACGGTTCACGATGTGACGCATGCACATTGCTGCACAGCACTCCTCCCCCCCTTCGAAGTCACGAAACGACACGCCATCTTGTTCCTCTGATTGGCCAGTTGCCGTGGGTGGGAATTAGCCCACAGTCGAGCTACAAGCGCCCAAGTGGGCTAAAAGCTCTCATTGGGTAAGCCAAGAGTTAGCCCACTATCGGAATCTCACCGGGCTCCGCTAGAAATGATCTATTTTTAACTTATTTTTAGCACTTCGCACGGGCTGTATCAATCTTTGATACACTGCACCGTCAGCACCCATCTATTCCACACTCCGCAGTGTCACCTACAATGTCAATCCACCCCAACGAAGTTTCTTTTTGCTCACTTATTGCCCAATACAACACCCTCTTGTTCCGATGCCCGGCATTGGCGTTAGATGACCCTGGATTTTGAGTTTTGCACCTTCCATATCTGTCTTCTACCAGGATCCAAATCATCTTCCCCGATTATTTCAGGAATGTCCATCTTTTCAATCTGCAAGAAGGAGGAGCTGAGTGTTACCTTTCTCCAAATCATCGTCGTTCTTTCCCATCATCATCCCGGTTCAAGCATGCCGTCCAGACTAAGATATGGCTAATTTGGGACTCCCAAATCCTCATCCTGCACATCAGCGTTCCATTTCGTTGATCTACAGCGTCAGTGCATGTATATCCCGTCCACACAACACCGTCTTGCGGCTCTGTCAGTCCATTCTAGCTTCCACTTTACCGGAACGGCGGCTATGTAAGGAACACGATCTTATCTCCATGGAAAGAAAGGAACCGATATGCACCGCGCCAAAGTTAGAATCAGCGCAAAAGGACTTTCAAGACACTCAACTATTCCAACTGTTGTGCTGTGTTCAAGCCCCTAGTTCCGGCATGATCTTCCTCGAGCCCTCCGGCGTCAACTGATTGTCCGGGTAGTGAGAGGGACCACGACTTTCCCATGCATATCACACAGTCGATTTCTAGGCCGGCGATTACTAGCTTGGTGTTGATCACACATTACGACCGTGTTGAAAATCAGACAGGGTACCCCATAAGTATCTTATCCAAACAAACCACCACCAGGTTTGGCGTCTGTCCCCGCGCTGGAAAATCTGGACAATGACTTTACTGGCTACATCTAGAGGTACTTAACCCGTGATTTAGCCAACAGGACCTATGTACACTACCCACGTCAAGTGCCCCTCGAAAAAGCAACCGGGGACAAGGGTAGCACATGGTAACCTGCAGTCAAGTTGCCGTTTACCGTCCAATGTAGCTGTTGCTCATTGGACAGTACTCCTATGCTGATTGATACGAAGGTACACCATCTCCAGTTTCAATTGTTTTTCTTTCATATTGAATCTAGCATATGCCTGTTGGCAATTCGGTAACGAGTGAGCCACTTCCATCAGGCACGCATTAGATACCTCTCTAAGCACATCTACATGCCAGGAGCAATGAAGCTACCGTGCTATTTGCGAACTCGCAGTACCGATGATGGAAAACATGCGAATCTCATATTAGCCAAGATTGGAAGTTTAACTAGATGCCGCGGATTTTCACACATCTTCAGGTAGTAGTATCCCACATATCTCGATTTCTCGGTCGATTGAAAATTCAACGACGCCTAGACAATCATTAGTTAATGGAGGGAAGGCCACAACAATAAGCTGATAGACAAAAGCAAATTGGAGAGACACACAGGTTCACCCACAATTACTCCAGACGCCGCTCTGTGCCACTGATGAAGCCTCAAGCCTCCCACAGTTCCGGGATCCCGTCCCTTTTATTATGTGTGGATGTCAAGCCTCATGCCCACACACACCCACTGAGTGGTTAGAATAGACGCGGCGGTTGGTTCCACGCAAGAGACATGGTGTAGTTCACCTGTGGCTTTTGTTTCGTCCTACCGCCTTCCATTAGACTTCTGCGGGGCGTAGGGCGCAGTCAAGCCATGTATCGAAACAAGCCGTGTAGGCAGGACTCTCAATCAGTCGGTATTATTGGGTTCCCACGTGGGTTTGCGCCTCATGGTAGTCCTTCGTCTAGAGGAGTAGGTCGTTCTCCATGAGCTTCCGTTGTGGCTCTCTTGTTTTGTGGCCAAATTTGCTTCTCTCATGGACCCCACGTTCCTGACCCCCCCCCCCCCCACCACACACT